TATTTATATAAAATTAAAATATAGCTAGTATATTTATTAAGCTAAAAAATATAATTATATATTTATAGTAATTATAATAAGTCTAAAACGCCGTTTTTTATTTATCTTCCCTTTTAATTTATATCCTATAATACATGTCACGCAGATCTAGCTTAGTAAAGTATTAGGTATTTATTAGCTAATTTATTAGCTTGTTAATACATAGTAGTAAATACTAATTTTTATTAATTATTATATTTAAACCGCGGTAATTAATATAAAAATATAAAAATTTATTAGGTTTTTAAATAAAAAGCACTAGCGCTTTAGTATTACTTTAAAATAACTTAATTTATTTTTTTTAAGTATTTTATTAAAATACTTTTTTAATATTTATAATTTATACTTAAAAAAATTATAAATAAAACCCTATAAAGGCTTCTTACCTTTTTTTAATAAAATTTTATGCTTTACTTTACTAATTAAAAGTTAAGTAGCTTTTTATTTAAAAAAAACTTTATTTTAATAAATATACTAGGGTGGTAGGACTACCTTTACTTTTTTTTTAATTTTTTTTAATTAATAAAATATTATAAGTACTAGTTTCCTGCGCATAGTTTTTATAAACTTTTATAATATTTTAATTTTAATAAAAAATATATAATTTTACTAAGTTTATTTTACTATAATAAGGTAAAAGTCTGGATTTAATTTAATTATTTAAGGATATTTTAAAACTACTTAATAGTTTTTATAAATAAAATTAATAATATAATATACTAAGTTAAATATTTTTATAACTTTTTTTAAATTATAAACCTAAGTACAGGCTTGCAAACACCCGTAGTAAAAAATAAAGATATTATTAGTATATTAAACTAGCTATATTATATAGTTAGTATTTATTTTAATACCTTACTTTTATAAATATTAAACTAAAATAAAATTAATATTAGCCCTAGTATTAAGTAGTACCTTAAATTATTAATTTATTTTATTTTTTTATATTTTAAGATCCGCAAGAATAAGAAAAGTAGTTTTTTTTTTTAAATTATATAACTTTAATAACTTAAAACCAGGAAATTATTATTTATTTTTTACTAGTTTTTTTTTAAGCTTTTTTTTATTTAAACAGGCCTTTAATAAGTAGCCTAATTTATTATAATTAAAATAAAAACCCTTTTTTTTATAATATTTTTTTTTTTAAAAAGCAAGTTGCTGCTTTTTTTCTTACCTTTTTTTTCCCTTTTTTAAAAAAGCCACTTTACTACTATTCTAGTTTTATCCTAAGTTATCCTTATTTTTTTTATTTTTAAAATTAGAACTAGCTCCGGACTTTTTTTTTTCTTAGCCTTTAAGGCCTTATTATATTTATTAATAAATTTTATATAAATTACTACTATATTTACTTTAAATATAGTTTTTAAGGGTTTTTTTAACTTTTTTAAGTATAAGTAAATATTTTTATTATAAGTTTTAATAAGTACTTATATCTTAAACTTTAGATTATTAAAGTATAGGCCTAATTTTATAAAGTAAAGTCCCTAAAAAATAGTATTTTAAATATTTTATTATTTAATTAAAAAATATTAAGTAGCGCGGTGGCCCTGGTTTGTAACTAGGTTAACTTATATATATATAAATTTTTTAAAATTTGCCTAGGTTTACTTATTATTTTAAAATTTAACTTAACCTTTTTAATAATTACAGGCATTTTTTAAAGCATTTTAAATAATAAATATAATTTTTTTATTATTTATTTAAAACCTTTTAGGGGCGTTATAAAAGTAATTTTTTAACTTTTTAACCTTTTTAAACTTAATTTTAAGCTTTTAAAAAGCCTTTTTTTTTTTAGTAAAGCTTATAATTTTTAATAGCCTTTTAGTACCTTTTTTATATATATTTAAAACTTTTAAACCCCTTAAAGCTAGCTTTACTAGCACTAGGTTTTAAAGATAAAATAATTTTAAAATAATAGCTTAAATTATTTAAGCTTAACTTTAAACTAAAATTAAAAAAATTACTAAAATTAATTTTTTTAAAGCTTATTAAAAGTATTAATAAGAAAATTAGCGCGGGGATTAATAGAAAAATTAATATAAAAATTAATAATTTAATATTATTTTAGCTTTAGGTTATAAGGGTAACTTTCCCTTATTTTTTTTTAAAAAAATATCCTAATTTTAATATATAATACTAATTATGTTAGGGTTAAAAAATAAATAAGCTAAAAGTTATAATTTTAGGCTGCTTTTTTTTTAAAACACCTTTAATTATAATAAATTTTAGATTAATAAGTTTTAATAATAATATAAAATAATAAAATAAAGGGTATATTTTACCCTATACTTTACTAAGCTAGTAAACTAAATTATTTAAGTTAATTTTTTTTTTTTAACTATTTTTAATAGTAATAAAATTTTTAAGTATAAATAAAAAAGGGGACACTTTTTTAGCTATTTAAGTTTAAATTTTAAAAACCTTAATTAAAATGCTTATAAACTACCTTTACTTACCCTTTAAAAATTTAGTTTAAAATATTATTATTAAAAAAGTTTAAAAAGTAGTAGGTGCAAGCAACTTTAATTATAAAATTAATAAGTTTTAAAAATTTTTACTAATAATAAAAATATTAATAAAAAAATTTAATTAATAAAAATAAAGTATTTTAAACCCTATTAAATAATATTAAAAAAGTTACTTAAAAATTTAAAAAAAAAACTAGCTTTAAGGCTATTTTTATAAACCTTTAAGCTATACTTAAGCTATTTTTAATTAAAAAATAAATATAAATTTAAATACTTTATATATAGGTTCTTACTTTAGCCTATATTTAAAATTTATTTTAGCCTTACTTAACTAGTAGCTAAGACCCTAAATACTAATAACCTAGTTAAGTTATATAGCCTAATATAATAATAAGGTATACTAAGCCTTGGCGGCCTAAGGCTAAAGCTTAGGTTACCTAAGGCGCTAACTCTAGACTATTAGTGGATTAGCTCCAGTAACATCAAACAGAAAAATGTTGGCCCTGACACTTATAAGCTTTTATATAAGTTAAAAAATAATATTAATAAAGTATATTTTTAAAGCGCTTAATAATATAAAAAAAGTATTAATATAAATATATAATAGCCAGCCTTTACTTTTTTTAAAAAAGCTTTTTAAGGTTTTTATTTTATAAGAAAAAAAAAGGTATATTAATATAAAATAAAAGGCAAGCTTAAAATCTAGCATGTTATAATATTAATATTTAATTTTTTTAAAATAAAAAAGGTATAATTTAATAAATTTCCTAGGTATTAAAGCTATTTTTAATTAATAAAAGGTCTTTATATAAAAAAAGTACTTTTTACTTATTAAAAGTAAAATAACTAGCACTCTCGCGGTATTTAATTAAAATTAAATTTAAATAGCTAGTAAAGCTTAGGGCCGTGGTAAATATAGTTAATAATATTAATTAATTAATTTTTTTAATATATACTATTAAGGTGTTTATAAATAATATTATATTATTTATTTTTAATAACTAGGAATATTAGGGGGGGTATTAGTACTATTAATTAATATATTATATATAATATTTATATTTTTATATAAAATTATATGGTGTTATAAATATTATACTTAATTTAATAATTTAGTATATTTAGCGCGCCGCGTTGGGGTTATATAATATTACCTAATTTAAAACTGCCGGCACTACGAATTTAATGGATTTCGCCGAGCGCTCCCGTGGCAGAACCTCTCTAATGACGATCGCTTCGCCGACTCCCCTATATATACTCCGGAGTACTATCCGAGCGATCCGGCTACGCAATAGGCACAACAGCCTCCGGGCTGGCGCTAATTGATGCTACACCAGGGAGTAAAGAATTCGGTAAATTGTTTGAATTCCACAGATCCGTTTATGGGAGTTTGGCGAAGTCACGATTTTGTGGCTTGGCCATCGAAGGTCTAAAAAGGGTCCCTCTCCATGAAATATCAACCTTCACCGAACACCAATCAGTAGCTTGGTTGACCCAACACTTGCTAAGTCCACTAAGTGTCTCGAACCCTCCAAATTGAAGACTAGAAGCGCCTTCGAATACACCTGCATGATAGCGTCAATTACGGTCTAGACACCTGCGAACCGCCCAAGAATAGCCGACATCCTACTGAAGCAATTCTGGAGCCGAAAGTCATGGGAGAGGAGTGCGATCGTTGGCAAGGGGTACTCTTTCTACAGGTACCTTTGACCTTCCATGACGAAAGACAGTGATTTCCTAGGCTTACACCACAGTGACCTCCAGCTTGGTTCTGTCGTTTGCAAGCTTAAGGTCTTACCCACTTAATGGACCCAGATATAGCCCGCGAGGGCAAATCCAACCCGATGAAATGAAAGCGGATGGGCACACATTGACACAGGCCCCGTAACGAACGATTCTCACGTCCTAGGACTGGGGTAACATGGCTGTTGCATGTGTCAAGCAGGCGCTACTTCAGGTAGACCCTCAGCCGAGGTGGTCGATACGACTCAATAGAACAGTTACCGGCTTCAAGACTGTGCCAACCCATGAGGCATGCCGCGGCTGCAGTCACTATTACGAAGCACATGGGCACTTATAAGGGCTTTTTTGAACGGAAGTACGGGGTCCTATGGTTTTAGCGCGTATACTTCATTTCAAGAGAGTTGTATTCTTTTTCTATCATCACATTGTAATCTAAGTTCGCTGGGGGCGACTATCTAGGTAAGAATACACATCGTCGGCTAGATATCGACACCAACTGAGGATAACAATGCCTGGGTAGATTGACATTTGAACAAAAAGACCCCAATAGTGTCGGTACATGACATAACCCAAGCATGATATTGATCCAACAATTGGTCGTACTCGTCTCGGACACGTTCAAACGCGGAAGGGAAAGAGAAGGAAATGAAGAGACGAAAAAGAAGAGATGAAGAAGAGAACCCGAAGGAAAGGATGCATCATTGACAGCCAAACACCACACTCGTCAGGGCATTCCAACAAGACCAACCCTCAAAGCCCCCTGTCAAGCTCACCCAAAGCAGCATTCACCTCAAACACCTCCTTAACATCCCTCTTCTTCGCCCCCGCCCTCTTCAACGCGCCAACAAGCAGCGCCACAATCTTCTCATTCCAATCATACGACGCCCGCGCCAACGCACTCGGATACCCGCGATGCGCCGCAGCCGTCGGATCCGCGCCACGACACAGCAGGAAGTAGACCATCTCCAGCAAGCCATGGCTAACAGCGACATAGAGGGGCGGATCAAGTCGGCCGGACGTTCTGAACTGGGCGAGGGCGCGCAGCCCCATCTGCACCCGCCCCTTTGGGTTTGTGTCAGCGGTGCGCTTGTAGATGTCCCGCAGTATTTCCTGCTCGAGGGTCTTTCCTTGCGCCGCGGTACGACAGGCCTTGTTGACGTCTGCGCCCCCGTCCAGGAAAACGGAGGCGAGCATGATGTTGTTCTTGCGGATGGCGTGGTTAAGCCCGCTGGCGTTTTGGTGCGCGATGTTGATTGTCATTAGACGTGGGCCCAGGAGCTCGTAAGTGAACTTGTTTGACATTGTGAGGTGGAGGAGGTCGCGTGAGGACGAGGTGTTTTCGGCGACCATTATGATGAGTTCGGAGGGGAGGTCCATCAGACGGAATTTGGCGCCGGGGCCTGAGCTGCTGGAGGTATTGGTGGTGGACATTTTGGACGTCGATAATTCGGGCGTAGGTGGAGGTGGTATTGATGATAGCTTGTAGTATCAATGGAAAATGATAATGATAAAGGAGGTAGATGTTTTTTCTGGACGGTTTGTTGAAATGGCGGGGCTTTTCGAGATGGTTTTTTGATAGTTTTTTGAGATGATTTGTAGAAATGGTATTTGATGAATATGATACGGATAGAGGTAGGTAGAGATGGAAGGTGGTGAGTAGAGGAAAGTTCTTTCTGGAGCAAAGAGATGTTTTATATCAGGACTCGAGGAGTTCCGAAGTTCCGTAATCCCCAAATTGATGCTTCATTCACTTCTGGACTTAACCCTAAGCATTGCCAGTGAAGGATCGTGGCCGCCTTTATATTGCCACCTAGTGCAATGTCCAGGCCTAGCTACTGTGCCATTGAAACCATGAAGATATCTAGACTTCTGAAGTCACGAGCCACTGCTTACAATTCGTCCTTCTGTGCGGTTGAGAGCAGGTAGGTAGATGGACTAGCCGAGCGCAGACGACACAGAGCATAAGCGGAAGATGAGCTGTAGACGCTCTTCAGTAACTGACAATTATTGACTGACTATGGCGAAATAGGAGACATGAGGTGAAGAACAAAGCCATTCCTAAACTTAACCCAGGAGCTCACGCCTGACATAGATAACAACGATAGCCCGTGCCCTTAGGTAGGACACTAGTCTGCTTTAAATTTACCAGTGGTAAGGCTGACCTCCAGTAAGCGCAGGTCCATTCTAGCTCTTCCCTATACCAATTAAAGGGCAGAGAGGAAGAATTTATGTTAATATCACACAGGCCTGTAACAACCCAGCGGGCGTCACAATGCGGAGGGTGGAACTAAGACCGTCCAGGCTCAAGCGCTGCATTTCATGTCCTTTTGCCCTACAGTGGGTAATGCCACTGCGCGGTCGTAATCGTCGCTCTCTAGGGAGCTAGATGCATTGGCCCTACCCCAGCCTATTTAATCATCTTTTGGACCAATGCCTGCTCTCTCTGCCACTTATCTCCTTCCAGTCTTGACAGAGAATCAATTCTGGGTCAAGCTCCCCAATAAACACCTGCCTCACTCGTGAATCTCTACCCATATACGAACCAGCTGTCCATCACTCATCCCGGAGAGCATCGTAGCATTATGGCAAAAGCAGTCGGGGTGGCTTGCTATCTCTAATTACCAATGATATAGCTAGAGCGTTTATCACCACAGCCAGTTGAAGATTGATAGGCAGCCTGAACCCGAAAGAAGTCTACTGATGCTTGAAAGTCCGTATAGTTGTAACTAGACTGGCATTAGGGGGCCAGGCCTCCCAGTTGGCGTCGAGGCCATCTTCTTGGCGTCGAGCATAACGGTCCAAAAACCCCGTGTTTTGGGCCGGATGTTCAATGTGTGAATATATACACTGCTGAATAAATTAGGGCTGGGATGTGGTTGTGGAACCGATGATCTCACTATCTCCGCATATCATTTTATTCTTATCGCCGGGACCCGGGCGGCTCCTCATTCCGCCCACGGGCTGTCAGGAATAATGCATACTCCGTAAAGTGACTGGATCTATTTGTCCGGGAACTGGATCGGGCCGGCTCGGCTGCATAAGGTTGTGCCCATAACAGCAGCAACAAGGCTGCGTCTCTGCTGCAGCGTCCGTGCAACTCCGTGTCAGCTTATGCCATGCCCATATCATACCAGCTAAAACGGTGTTCGGCATAAATTGCCCCCGTTCATTTGTATGGTTCGTATCAATAGCTGACCGCTAGTATATGCTTCGTGGAGGAATAGCAGTAGTCATGGCGTCCTTCGCTGATATCGAGGACGAACAATAAAAGATATCCAGATACTTCTACCACAACAAGGCAGATGGGATCTTGTATTATTTATCACCCTCAATGTCTACTAGTAGGCATAATTTGATATATTCCACATCTATTGTTTTCTGCTTGTCATTTTGCGACTACCACATTGCCCGAACTTCAAAGTCATCACTGAGCCCTACATCAATTTGGCCCTTACTCCTAGATTCAGATGCCTGGTATATCTGTCGAAGCTGCTGTCGGCATTGCTGCGGCGATACTCGCTATCGTTCCTATCTCGATCTCTGGATACCGTTGTTGGAGGAAGAGAGCTAAACGTGGAGGCGGGGGCTCTGAGGCTCATAATCGTATGTTCCCTTATCAGTATGTTCAAGGTGGTTTGGTCCTCTATGTTGACATTTTTGCTATACAGCCCGTTCGCAGAACTATATCTTGCCTCTGTGGCGGTGTCACAACCCTGCTCTAATCGACAAGGACCACAATAAACCGCTTCTAATGCCACTATTACTAGGGCAGGGCACGGGCTCCTCACTGGTAGTAGGTACTCCAGAAACTACAAGAACAAATAATTATTTGTCCCTGCTTTACGGTGCTAACGCAAGACTTGCCAGCAGCGACGGACAATATATATAGGGGGAAGCTTCACCGCCACCCAAATAGGCTCTATCTGCTGGGTTTTCCAGGATTGATTGGTATTATGATTATTCGATCTCAGATTAGCGAAGGCGTCTTAGATAATATCATTTGTTTATACTAGCGATATAGTTACTATAGTGTAGAGTCTGGAATGTTGTTGTGGAACCAATGACCTCACTACTCGGTATCTCCGCCGTGTTTTTCTTATCAGCGGGCACTCGGAGCGGCTCCCGCATTCCGCCCTCCTGCTGGAGCTTCCCTGTTTTCCCCTCAAAGGTTCTCCTGTCCCATGTCACCTCGTTTTATCATTCCGCGGGCATTGAGTACTCGAACTCCATGAGCCTTGTTGACAATGGCAGAGCACATCCCGTCACCTCGATCCACCACTCCCCCTAACCCCGTGGGGTCAATGCCGAGACCCGGACCTCTGGCAACCCACACCGACACCGACAGCCCAAGATCTCCGCGCGACGAAGCCAATCTCGACCCAGATAACCTAGAGCTGCACGAAATCGATACGCAACAGGATGATGACTCGGGCGCGTCGATTTCATCGGGAGAATACCGTATCACAACGCGCCGGACGGTTTCACGGACGGAGACGAGGCAGACGCAGCGGCGACGCGACGGGATCATCGGGCGGATACAGCGGTTCTGGACGAGGAATGTTGTCCTGACGGTGGCGCAGAAGAAGAATCGGGATTATTTCGGTGGGTCGCTCTCTTCCCGTACTGGAAAACTGGGTTGAGGGACAGCACGTGTAGGAATTGTCGGAGAACACTGCTAACGGCCTCGATTCAATCATTAGCTCTTGAGCGAACGTTCCTCGCGTACATCCGCACCTCGGTCATCCTTGCAATGCAAGGCGTCCTTATCGCGCAGCTCTTCCGGCTCCAATCTGCTCACTCCAGCAAGGGCCTCGGATACCACGATGTCGGCGTTCCCCTATCGGTGACTTGTCATTGCGCGGCTATGTTGACGGCAATACTGGGAGCACATCGGTTCTGGAAGCAGCAAAATGCGATAGCGTTGGGGACGGTGTATTCGGGTGGATGGGAGCTGAACTGCATTGCGTTTCTGACGACGGCGGTGAGCCAGGAGAATCTCAACTAGAAGGTTCAATTGAGCTGATGGATGGTCTAGATCACGATTGTGACGTTCGTTTTATCGGTGCTCATTGCGGCGACACTATCGTGATGAGGTTGGATGGTATTCGGCAATGGACGACGATGAGGCCGGGAAGGCGAGATGATGCGAACAACAAGATTTAGATCTCGGGGACCGACACTTTATATTTACAGCCAACAGAAAAAGCAATCTGCTGGGTTCCACCACAGAAAGCCCGCTATCAACGATTTACTGGCGTCTTCAATATTGCTCAGCGCCAAGAAGAATTGCGTGATTGAGGCTGCGCTGACAGACACGATTGGCGAGGCGACCGTCTGAAACTTTCTGGACAATGGTTCGCGACAGAGAACTCGTCTCATTTCCCACGGCATACACATGAACCTGAATCCCTGAAATCTGGGGATACCGACAGTGCGGGACTGTGGGTACAGCTCCAGGGGGATCCACGGCGACAGACCACGGCTCCGTCTTCTAGATTCTACCCCGCGGTCCCCAGGAACATTCAGTATTATTTCATTCTACGTTGAACAAGTCAATGACTGTATCATCCCACCCCAAGCCGTGCTCTTCAGACCGAATTAGACGCAACCACTTGGTCTGAGACCAAGCTTGTAGCCCAATGACTTCAAGGTCTGCTAAGGAACAGAGCTCCGTACGGCACGTCGCTCCGCACTGGCACTGACTCTTTGCAAAGCACCATCCGACGAGGCCCCCTGAACACCAAACTCAGCCCATCCTGGTCCGAGGTCCACGTCAGATGTTTCACGAATTAACGGTTAAACCTTGCTCCACTCTTCTTAGGTTGCAGCTTGCCACAGTTGTCATCGCCAATAAGACCTCCAAATCCACCATTCTGGATTGTTAGCCCACCAGCCACAGCTTATCTCACCTTTTCCTCAACCTTGGGCCTCCAATCTCCGCACCAGAAGACACGCCAAGAGCGCAGCGGAGCTGAAGAGTGGCCTGTCTGTCCGACGCCCAGGACGCAACACGAACACGCCTCACGCCTGCCGGGACCCGGGATTTGTCCGCCTACTGGCTGCCACGATGACTGACAGGTCGTAGGGGTAGAAATCAAAAAGCCGACCGTCCCCTGAAAATTTCTCTCTGGCCTCTTTCAATCTCAACCGGGGAGGGTCATTATGAGGGGTTCAATCGTTTTCTGGCTTGCTGCATTTGCGGTAGAGGGGCTCTGCAGTTTGTCTCTACATGAGAGCGACTCACCCCGCGTTCTTCATCTCGGACTGACAAGGAATTACCACAATGACCCTGTGGGGAGAGATCGCAGGCGATTCAGAAGGCAGGCGGACGTGGTCGATGCTGATCTATACGGGGAGTCGGTATGTCCCAGCTTTCTGCCCCCGCAATTCACCTTCGAGTATCTTGCTGATAATGCAGATGGGCGGCGACATCTACTCCACGAACATAACGATCGGAGATCCGCCGCAATCGCTCACAGTCTCCGTCGACACCGGCAGCGCCGACCTCTGGGTCGTATCCGCCGAGAACCCCGTCTGCGACGTGCGAGGGACGCGCTGCGACGACTTTGGACTATACAACCCCAATTCTTCGACGTCGTACGTGCCGTTGTCTGATGAGTTTGGGATTTCGTATGGTGATCGCTCGTGGGCGGAGGGGCATTATGCCACCGACACAGTTAGCATTGAGAACGCGGACATACCGGGGGTCCAGTTTGCTGTTGCGACGTCGTCGAGTATAGATAGTGCGTGGACACTTTGTCCACCACCAAATCGTCAGCTAACTCATTTATTTAGAGGGCATCCTCGGCATCGGCTACAGCGCCAACGTTGTCGCAGACTATCGCTACCGCAACTTCCCCGAGCTCCTGGTAGCCGACAATATCACGAAGAGCAACGCCTACAGCCTTTGGCTCAACCGCCTCGGCTCAAACGAAGGGAGCATTCTCTTCGGTGGGATAAACACAGCGCACTACACCGGTACCTTGCAAACATTGCCAGTGGTACAGTATATGGGGGACTACATCCACCTCTGGCTCACTCTCACGGAGATGGGCGTTGAATCCGCCTCCGATAGCATTGCAAAATCATACACAGATACGCGATCAACAACTGGAGCCGCAGAGTTTCCTCTTGTCGCGCTTCTCGACTCCGGCGCGACGTTAACATACCTCCCCTCGAACGTCGTCGCGCAGATCTACTCCGATCTCGATGTGCACTTCTATCAGCAAGGGCAGTTTGGCTACGTTCCATGCGACACGTACCTCGTCGGTCGCGAAGACTATAACATCACATTCACGTTCAGCGGAGTAACGATCCGCGTCCCGCTGTCGGAACTCGTCCTCCACGATGCAATCTCCGGACCCGGACGAAACGCCCTCCCGCTACCGGACACCGACTCCGATGAAGAGAGTTGCCTCTTTGGCATCTTACCTGCCGTCGACTTCTTCCCAATTCTAGGCGATACATTCCTTCGCAGCGCATATGTCGTCTTTGACCTCGACAACAATGAGATTTCGCTGGCGCAGGCAAACAGGAACCCTGGCGATGACCGCATCCTCGAGATTGGGAAGGGCGGTGATAGTGTGCCCGAGGCCGAAGATGTAAGCGATCCGGTGATGACGGCGACCGTGGTTCTGGGAGGCTCGAGCTTGGTTCTTCCGGCTGGGTGGACGAATGAGCCTGTTTTTCCGACTCGGACTGTTACGACGAGTACGGCGGCGAGCACGGGTACGAGTGATGGTGATGCGGAGGAGACGGGTGATACTACGATTAGTGGCTCGGGATCAGGGTCGGAGACTACACCAACCGGGTTTGATGCGCCTGCGGAGACGGATGGTGCGATTGGAACTGCGGTGGGCAGGAACCCATTGCTATTGGTATCGGCGGTTGTGCTTGGTCTCCTGCTCGGACTGTGATGGCCTGTCCGCCTACGCCGCATGATAAAATATATGAGTTGGTCCGAAAAAATACCATGAGCCCCGTCACTTTTTATACCTTCCGTCATCTGCCCACTACGTCGCCCTCCCAGTTACTTCCCCAGATCAAGATCTTCCTTCCTCGCTCAAAACCTCCCCGGCCGAAGCCCCAACCAGGGACTCATCCCATTGACCCCATCCTTCACAATATTTACAAGAATCGGGTTGATCCAGACGGGCGTGGTCCAGAGCAAGAACGTCGCAACCCAGATGTACCCAACTGCCCTAGCTACCCAGCCATCCGTGCTAAACCCGAGCCTAGCAACAATTCTCTGAACCACAGATTCAACAACCAGCCCCAGAATCTGCAGCACAAAGAACACAAGCCCACCACTCCTCTCAAATAGAATCCCGAACCCCATATCACACGCTGCATGGACGATCCCCGATCCCACAAACGCAAACATAACCCGGATCCAATGCGCCCCCGGGCTCCGAGGCTCAAATCCAAGCACTGACGCGAGAAACGTCGCGTTCGCGGATAGAGGGCGCCGGAGCGTTTGATGCCACGAGTAGCTGTACACCGTTAGTCATGCTTCAAGATGAACATGGTAAGGATTCGACGCACCCCCACAACCGCTGCAACGTCCACGCCTGCCCCAGACTCCCCGCGACGGGCGGCCAGTCCGCTGGATCAGCGCCGAGGAGCACCGCAACAACCGCGCCAGCCGTGTACGACGCCGTTATCGCTGCGCGCGTGATGATTCCAAAGGAGAGCGTGAAGCGCGCTTGCAGCCAGAGGTCGTAAAAGGGTGAACTGCCTTTCAGAACGCGCAGTGGTAAAAGCAGGACGGACTTCGATGTATCGAGCTTTCCAAGAGCGAGGAGGAGGTCGCTGTCATACGGCGACAGGGTGAGTGTATTGATTAGCAGCACCCCAACAACTCCAGCTGCGACGGAGTACCAGCAAAAACGCAATCTGTTTGAGCCCGCGGCGACGGTCGGCAAGCGCGAGATCTGCCAGGGCGTCCCGATGCGGCGGTAATTGTACGGGAGGATGAGCGCAAAGACGATCTTTGCGCGTGGGGACTCCAAATTGCGGATTCGATCTGTTTTAGTGGCGTCGTCCTTCTTTTCCTCCTTGGCTCGGAGATAGACAGCCTGCGCCGAGTATGACGCGCGGCTTAGAAGGAGCAGGTCGAGTGCGTTGAGGACGTTGACCCAGCACATTGCGACGAGGGGGCCTGAGGGGCGCGTTCCGGCGAAGTTGGTCTGGATGCTGAGTTGGAATGTGTAGGCGAGGAGGGCGGTTGTTAAGGCGGCTAGGTAGCGGAGGCGCGAGGTGTCCGGGGTGAATGTTGCTGTTAGGCCTGTGAGGGTTTGCAGGAGGGTCCAGGTTATTGCTGGGAGAGCCCATGGTGGGAGTGGGGGTTGGGAGGACATTGTGTGGTGGTTCTGAGGGGAGAGTTGGGGTTGTAGGAAGAAAGATGGAAAACAAGGATTGGTAAATAAAGAGTACGATCTGCGGCTGAAAAGGACCCACAAAAAGCCCGGACCCGAGTCGCGTGTTGGCCGCGTGTCATTGGCCAAGCGACAAGTGGTTCAGACGATCTGTATGCAGCCAATCACGATGGAGGTTCAGGCGTCCCTGAGGGTGTAGATGGCGATTTCAGCAGAGGATGGCCACAACGTCTACCTCAGTACAGCAGATGAATAGCAATGGAAAGCCCGTCTCACTTGGAGGGAGGGACCGGCAGGCGATTTTCGAGGCCTTCTGCCGCCTGGCGAGCCAGTATATAAGTGCATTGACTGGAATAGGCTCTACCTGGTGTTCTGGAACGTAGTTCTCTAAGTAAACTATTGTGGGAGCGTCAGGACTATTCAACAGACACGAGGATCATTGTATTCCTTCTGCCTGTCATGGCCGTTCAATTCCAAAACTAACACTTCCATACAGAGTTCATGATGACCTATTGTATCTGGTCAATAAATATGCACTGTTCAAAGGCGGCACTGGGCCGCCCAAAATTGAGGCTTCTCGGCGTGCTACGCTTTGGATAAGCGGGATCATACAAGGGGATAGGCAGGAGTGAATAATATGAGCCTAGAATAAACAGGATAATCATCTCGTACTACATGACTTTCTTTCTTTTGTGCATTTACAGAGGTATCTTGGTTCACAGTAAAGGTTCGTATGTTATACAGGCTATGGATTCCTGGACTGCAAGCCTTGACTTACCTGATGCCTATGGCTCTTTTGAATGTGTGGCCTATTCCCTCCTGCCCCTGAAGACGAGGTCGAGCAAAACGGAGAAGCCACAAAGAGTGAGAACTGATCATAGAGGCATCAATTATTCTGCACGCTACGGAGTCTAAGAGGTAGGAGCAGACCATTGAACGCCGTTTGGGATTTGACCCGGGCGACGAATGTATTGTCATCCCAAGACGTCTATCACTCGAGAGCAAGACAGCCGCAGCAGTTGGTTCCGCTTTTTGTTTCACTCCTTGGATTAGTGCAAATGCTAGCGTCCATGTCTCCCTTGCTGCTATCATCGCGTAACGGCTATCCATACATCCACGGGTTCTCCTCGGTTAGACTCCAAATGACGCCCTCCTTCTCTTGGGATCCGCGGTGAGGCGTTGAATCCTTATACAGGCCTTGTCACTATTGGTCTATGCATTATGCAGTGTATGATTGTGTGGATCTTATGTCTATACGTAGATCATGGAGCATCCAAATTCCGGATTAGAGGGTCCCAAGATCCATGGAAATTGGCATGACGCGCTTGCATATAGAAGATGACGTCGCGTACCTAATTGACTATAGAGTGAATATTCTGCCAAAGTCTGCCAAAGAATGTAATCATGATTCGTCATGCAGCTGGAGCAGGACACTGCGGGGAAGCCTTAATTAGATGAACATTGCAAAACTGCACAAGGTCCTTGTTTGTGGATGGGCTTCTGGTTGGTAATTGCTATCCTGGCTATCGCATGATTGAAACGCGTGAGGCTTCCAGTTGCTGCTGTTATACTGATTCCCTGGCTGTGCTACAGTATCAGTATTAGACGAGTGGTAACTAGCAAGTAGGCCAACCATGAAGAACACCAAGTCAAGATGATAGCGATTTTTAGGGCACTAGGGCTGTCGGGCAGAGAAGCGGCAGGTTTCTCCCCCAGATACATTAATCTATAGACGAGCACGTCACCACCAGCAACCTTGTCGGCAGCTCCACCTTCGACAGCTCCTTCGATCTCTCCGCGTGCAAATGCAAAGAACCTATTCATGCTGAATGTATTGTGGTTAAAGACAGTATAGCACATCAACTAGCCAAACTAGATAGCGAGTGGTAGTTAGTAAGACGAGCAGATCTGTTAGAAAAGCCTTACATAGAGAAAGAATCCGTTTTCTTTGTGCCAGTTAGCTCAGATCGGGCCAAATACATGGGCTCCGGGAAAGAGAAAGGTGCCCTTAGGGTCTCCTTCTTTTGATTTCCCAGCGCACAGCCCATGAGGCCCGCGCCAAAATCACAATGTACTTCCTGGCCTCTGACAAATGAAGCGACGTTGAGGGCACCTTGGAGGCCTGAATAAGTGGGTCAATAAGGGACAGTTAGTTGCATCCAGTGGATATCAGCACTATATGAGCCGTTCAAGGTCCCTGTGATTAATTACTCAAGCACTGTCGGTGGAATTCTGTTAGCATTGGGTAGTCTATTCAATGATTTACTACTTTGAAAGTGGATTTGGAGATTCATCAGGGTACTCGCGCGGATGTAACTCTTATATTACTTAGCGATGTTTCTTGTGAGTACCATGGTAGCTACTCTCTATATAAGGCTCATTGTATGCTGTCCGAAGAACATCATCAACCACTCATCCAACAATCCTCTCAAGAAATCCCTTCTTACCCAACCCAACCAACCGTCAACATGAAGACCAGCTTCTCCGCCATTGCCCTCGCCCTAGCTGCGACCTCCACCGCCACCAAGTTCGTCGTCAGTGGTGATGGCTATCTCCACGAGAACGGCAAGCAGATCTTTGCCGCCAACAATGCCGTCGAGTTCCAAAGCCAGGGTAGCGAGTTTATCGTGAGCAACGGCTACTTGAGCACCTCCGACGGAAAGAACTGTACGTACCATATGATCAGCCTTATCCCCATCTAGAACAGTGCTTACATAGCGGACCTCAGTCTACGTCGGCAGCAACGGCGACGTGCTGTACCGCTCCACGACCGGTGACGCTGGCTTCTCCATCCAGGATGGCAAGCTCACCTGGGCGCACGGCAGCTTCTATGCCTGCCCGCTGGATGAGCTCTTCCAGACGATCAAGCTTGGCGCTGTCCGCAAAGATGGCCAGACTCCTGGTGATGACTGCTCGCCCATCGTCCTCACTCAGGTCTAAGCTGGTCTTGAAAATAATTGGTATGTAATCGCCATTGTTTGATTTACGGCGCTAATGTTCTGGAAAGTTTGCACTAGTTTGAAATGTATCCACGTTTCTTACAGAACCGAAAGAGATTAGGAGGATCTTGGTCGTTGAAGTCCTCGAGGAAATAAGGAGAACTGCATGTAACTACGCTTATTTAGAGCCTAGATTGGGCATCTGCCTCGGTTTGAGCCGTCAAAATATAGAAGCTGCTTTCTTCGAACTTTCATGAAAAGATGTTGTAGACCCTAGACATAAAGGGCTATATTCCATCATTCCCTTGCTTGAGTTCGGCCTTCTTCCTCTCCTCGACAAGCTCCATCATCTGCGGATCGTCCTCCATCCGCCCGCCCCAATTAAGCCTAGCGATGTCTATCTCGCGCACCTTACGGTCATTCTTGCTCCGATATACATTGTAATGCGACATTGCTATTGCCGGGAAAAGACGAACGGTGTTTCTCTCGGGTTTGAGAGGGAACGGCGAAGAGGCCGAGGGTTCTCCGTGGACGCCAAAGCCGACGAACTGGTCTATCTGTGCATCTGACAGCCTGAACACCTTGAAGCGACAGTCGGGGTGCAGGTAGACGTCCAAGAACCGTTTATCGTCTAATGGCAAACTGGATGGAGGGAGAAGATCCGTTGGCAGCTCGGTCTCGTTGTCGCCTTGGTAGAAAACCACCACACCCCCGAAGAGGTGTGTTTCGGCCCAGTAGGCCGCGATGTCTGCGATTCCCAGGGGATATATATCGTCATCCAGGTAGTCATTGTGGTAGAGATATGTGGGTACCCGGCTGGGAACGAGTTCGTCGGTTACCTGTGGCCAACCATCTACCATGACGATCTTGTTCTTTGGCGGGGGCTTCTTGTACGGTGGATGATTGGTATGGCTGAAAAGAAGCGCGGCGAGGGTGTGGATGACCACCGCTGTTATTTCAATCAGCCTCGCCTTAAATTCGCGCGCTTGGAGCGGAGTCTGCTGATATGTCGATATTACCTGAACAGTTCTGAGCATAGATCATACTGGGGAGACCAGGGGAAGAAAGCCTACGTTTGATTCGAGTTCTAGAGACCCGAGGTCAAAGTCAGATCTCCAGGTTCGTACGAGATCCCGCGCTCGAGCGCTGGGCTGCGTCCTATCATCCAACTCTTCTTCATCGCAATGAGGTTTGTACTTTGCTGTTTCCTGGGTTGGTAGACCGTCTGCTACCTCGGCGAAGACGTCCTCGGCCTGCTTGGTGGAGAGAATGCGCAGCACAGTGTTTCTGACGAGCTCAAGATGTCGAGTTTCAAGCGTAGAGAGCGCTGCCCTCGGCGGGTCGCTTAGCGTCATGCCTGGCTTCCTCGGGTATGAAGAGAGCAGAAGATAAAGGAGGAGGGGGTCTGGAGGACGAGGGTAGACGCTGGAAGGAGGACGGTTCACGGCGCTTGCAGCAGGTTAGCGGGGTAACGCCTTACCAGATTCGGTTACATACACTCTACTTACAGAGCATATGCTTGTAAGTAGGTAACCTCACTGGGCTGCCATCCAGGCTTGCTTCAAACAGAGCGAGACATGCCTTGGCGTAAAGGTACGTAGAAGTCTACAATTCGCAGGTGGTACCTGATATAACATCCGACCTAACGGACGGCGTATCGCGAAGTCACAGAGCCCAGTGGATTAGCCCAGGGTCAGGCAGGATGCCCGACATCTTGGGGAGTGTTTACTGGGGAGCCTGTGCCTTAAATACTCCTGGAGTACTCGACCGGTCCGTCATGTGACATCTTATACCCTAGGCCATGGCCCCCCTTGGTGAAGTATCGCTCCTGATCTTCTCCTGCTGTGACTCAACTCCATTAGCTAGGTGTATTCACAGCTCGAGTGAATGTAGCTAGTAACTCAAATGGGACATGGCTATCCAGAACTTATTCCATCTCCTTATATATTGACATCTACAAGACTATTCCCACTAACAACTTGCACCTCTTCATACCTTTCCAAGGAGTACTTTTCGTTCAACCTAGCATTTAAACCTCTTGACACAGCTGTTATAAATCAGTGCTCCGTACAACCAGTCTCCAATTCCCATTCCTCAAAGCCCGATTCTCTGCTCTCGATGGCTACCCGAACCTCAATGGCCCGGGGCCGCATCAATCAATTCTACGCACACCCAGTCTCCATCCCCAATCCATCAAACCCCCATTCTCTGCTCCCACTGGGCCCTCGGACTACAATGTACCACCGCCGCATCACAAACATCGCAGTCAGGGACGAGTTCTATGGCGAAGACGGTCCTCACATCTATTACGGACCAAGTGACCCGCGCTACATCCATGCTACGATCGCCATATCCACTGCCCTGGACATCCTCAACCACCCAGTAACCCGAGGAATCCTCACCCAAATGGCCATGACCCACGACAACAACAAAACTCACTTCAACCGGTTCAATGGAAGCAAGTGGTTCGCCGCCCGCGCCGTGGACATGTTCCTCGACAAGATCAGCCGTGATTTCCCCGTCTTCACGATCGATCAGAACTTGACCCATCCGGGGTGCTTCGCCTACCACACTAGGGATCCCTGGCAGGGGACTCTGGAGTCGTGGAACCCGACACACGACAGTATTTCGCTCAATGCAGCGGTGGGCCCAATTACTCTTCATTACTATACTCCTTTTTACATACTTGATGCTAACGATGTCTACAGAAGTTCGCAGCCATGCTTCGATCGGCGCATAACCGACAGGCATACATGGAGTGGCAGTTCATGTTCGCTACGGTTATCGTCCACGAGGTAGGCGGCCACATGCTCACCACGTATCTCGGGAACGGCGGATCCGATACCCCCCCTGCCTTCGCTGTCCCAGGGTATCAGGATGGACAGCGGGCTGGCGAGGCCGGTAGGTTTCTGGAGACTCAGCTGTTCGGTGGAGCTCTAGAGTGGTTTGTGGATGTCGGGGAGATGGATGCAGAGGTACCATACGCCCCCATAACCATCCCACTTTCCTACCCAGGTCCGTTTGGGAATTACGACAGGGTCACTAACAGTAGATCTACAGAGAGGATTCCCCTTCCTTATCAGTTCCGACCGACATGTCCGCAGAATCCACCCTGTTGTATTTAGTCAGATCACGGCTGGGAGCTACGGTATGTACACCTCTTCCTCTACAATGTATTAAACAATAGCTGACCATCCTAAGAACTCAATTCCCCATCCTTCAATCCATTCCCGCTCACAACCACAGGACCCATACTCATGCGCCGCGACCTCGAGACCATAGGCAGCGACATCCCCCTACCACCGCACATCGAGTTCGATCTCGACTACGACATGATAGCCCAGCAGCCGGATCAGGAGTCCGTCGATCTGGACCAAGACCGCCGTGGGTATAGCGTCAGTACTGTCAGTATTCGGGAGGTCGACTCTGACCGCGGCCGGAACTCAGAGAAACAACCTCGCGCGCCCTGGTCTTTCAAGGCGAAGTTTGCGCCACTGATGGGTAGGATTGCCCGTGCCACTCGCGATACCCAGGGACTTCGCCTTACCAGCAGAAAGCTTCAACGATCTTAACCCGTGTCAGCGTTCATGACGTAGAGTGAGTGAGGAATTTTGGAAAGAATAAGTGTCGACTGCCTACAGTGTACCATTGTCAAGCCTGGTGCTCATGCTTCCGCGTTGAGCTTCGAGCTCGTTGAGAGTACGTACTAACGTCCACTGGATCCCTGTGAGCAGCATCCGCTAGGCCAGTACCGTAGTCTTCCTGGATACTTTGTCAATCACAAGTTATCTTGGTGTATTTCAAGCATCCCGTTTCTTCTTGTATCTAAAAACACAAAAATAAGCATAGCAACTAAGTAGAGTTCCCCGCCATATACCTGGCTTAGAACATGTACTTTAAATCCCATCGAGTACAACCATGCGTAATTGCCCAAGGCTACAACATCTCCGCCGCCGTTTGAAAACTCCAAGATCCCCTCATCACTAATTTACCCACTGCGGCGCATCGCGCCCGCTAAGGCAGAGAGATCGTCATGGTTGTCGCCAGGTAATCGTTACAACTGGTACACCGAGCGAGGACACTCTTCAGCCGAGAGTGTCAGTATACTGTTGGGGCAGAGATCTAATGATGTAGAACGGGTAGCGATAGTCCGACGTACCAGTCGGATTGGAAAAAGCTGTCGCGCTTTCAGATTCCCCGAGGACTGGGCCTAGGTCACCAGTCTCGTGCGAGGAATCTTGGGGGCACCACATTGGTAGAACTGTACCCTGCGTAGTATTCAGGCAAGAAACAAAGTTATTAGGATCCCGTCTCGTAAGAACAGAAGAGTCACACCCTCTCTAACGCTCCGCTTTTTCTCCCTCCAGTACTTCAATGCTGCAAGACTAATTGGGACTGCTGCTAGTAGTACAGCAATGATACCGAGTCTGGCTTCGGTCGAAATAACTATCGTGTCCTTCGGTGGATGTGAGTAGTTCCGGGATATTCTATTACCCTCGACATTCGGCACAGTTCAAGCAGAGAGGTAGAGAAGATGGGGGAAGAAACCTTGGAGGATAATCAGACAAGCGGACTAAATACAGTCAGTGTGGAGTGGCAGTGTGCACGCGGTGCCCCCTGCCCACGCATAAAGCGACTTGAAGCCTGAGGTAAGCCCGAGGGAGGGAACCAGGTGCTCATAGGTTGATCGAAGGTGGCTAGACATCAGAAATAGAGACTTTAAGATTGAATCTTGGAATTAATTTCGCCATTCTAGTCACTTCTTAATGAACAAGGGCTGTATCCAGCTGGCTGGTATGAACTTTTCGTACCTGGTATACGTTTCCACTGCCTGCTCGAGAGGATCCTGGCCTTGCTTAGTATGGCCAGCAACCTCCTTGACGGACAGGGAAAACAATACTACGCTCTGTGTTTGGTCCGAGTAGTGGGCTATATCAATCACGAGGAAGGGTATGAGAGCTCCGTTTTAAAAGTCCCACAACGGGATGTGACGAGGAAATGGTCTTCATATTTTAATTCCTTAGATAAAATGGGGAAATGCGCCCTCGCGGAAGGGCATAAATTGGTAGTATTTTACTATTTTACAGCAAATCCGGGACATGGAAAAATGCGCCCTTGGTCTGTTGCAGATGCACAAGGATGCAGTTGCGAGCTTATGACAGTGAAGATCACAGCCTTGCTAGGAGTTCAAGACTGTCATTAATGATGGCGGGTCTACTGACGTTGGGCTTTTGTGTAGTGTTGCTGGAATGGTCACCTACAGTAAGGTTCCAAAGTTCTCTTGTATGAGCTTGTCCATGTTCTGATTAGTGATCTTCCTGATCATAGTTCCATAATTGCCGTTCCGGCCCAACATGATTGGCTCCAGGGCTCTTATTCGAAATGCTAGTTGTGCATGCCATATATATGGCTGTTCCTTTGAGGTCCTGGGTTGCTGTATGGCTTTACAATAACCTAACAACCCGAGCTTGAAAGAGAACGCCTGTTTTAGAGACCGAATATTGTATCCCTTGGTAGCTTGATCAGCCTGTGGAGGATCTGTAAGTTTTCAATAAATTACCGTGACCTTATATTGCACGAAGTAAAGAATCGCTTCCAATATGGATCTCATGTATTCAAAGCTCCTCGCTACAAATGTCCCAAGCATCTTCACTAGACTAATATCATCTTCTCCTTTAGTCGACGACCCTACTATATAACGCCATTTTCAACTGTCCATCATGACCGGCGCTAGGTGATGGTTAAGACTGGGACGCCATACGTAGTTGCTAGATTGGCCGAAGTCAGTATGCCGCGCTGGTAAAAGTTCAAGGACGTGAATATGGACGTAACCTACCTGAAACGTTCGGAATAGCTGAAGTACATGCGGCTTGTACGATATGAGCTGACTCGTGGCTGCTGCTATCTTGCGATGCATCCCGGGGGCACCATCTAGGTAAAACAGTCTCTTGCGGGATATCTGCAGATGGAACGTTCAGAGGAGCGCTTGCAGAAAGATGCAGGTACCTACCCCCACTACGCTTCTTTGTTCTCCAGTACTTCACTGCGGCGAGGGTTATGGGAACCAGTGCTAGCGGTAGAGCAACAATGCCAACAGTGGCTTCCGTGGAGATGGCCATTTGCGCTCTCAATAGTAGAGAAAATGCGGATGAATGAAATCACAGCGGACAGGCCAGCAAGAAAGATAAACGGTTGAGAGTATAGCTTACCGTTTATACCAAGCGCCAATCTGTTAAGTTTAAGAAGATTCGAACTTTGCAAGGTCTATAATTCTTTTTAGAGTATGGTATGAATTGAAGACAATCTGAAATATTGTAGGTGTGGCGGCATTTAAAAAGTGCCAGATGCTGTCATACATCGCAGCCACGCAATCGAAGCTCTTCACCCCCTACCTACAGATCACGTTACCTGATTATTTCACTAGAAAGAGAATACCGTAGTGCTGAAGGAATGAAAGTCTGCAGGATAAGAATTGCGCTCCGCGTCAGCATTACCTAGCCAATCAGAACAGGGCACTGCTGCTCGTCAGGAGTCTGGTTCGCGGCCGGTGGTTTACCCTGCGTTTGCCCGCGTGTCTCTTGCATCATCCTGCCCAGGTGGGATGAATCATTCTATGCCATGAGCATAACTTCCTACGGCGATGGTCTCTACAAATACTTCATTAGGGCGCCAGGAGTTAATAAGCAGCAGCTGCCAACCGCCACTTAGCTCGACCAGAGTATTCTTTTGTTTTAGCCAGGCAATAAAACAATCGTGATTTGCTTTCTTTTTATTCTTTATACTAGTTTTCCAACTAAAGGCTGAGCCACTGCCAGCTGCTGCCATTCGCATCAGCCGTCAAGGTAGCCCGATGTCGGCTTACGAACCACCGTTATATGCAGGGGTAATGCTGCAATGATCATCACGGGAAAGCAGGCACCAGAGCATACAGATGACGGGCGGTAATACTTTCGTCCATCTTATGTTTGATCCACCGTAATTGCCGCCGCAAAAGTGGTATGCAACTGTGGTGCTTATTGAGCCGCTGCTCCTGAGTAGTTGACTCGTCTAGATAGGGTTTTTAACGACAACTTATATTATAAGCATCCTCAATCAGAAGACAGTGAATGATGCGGGACAAAGGTTTCATTAAACGTAAGGAGTTTGGCGCCTATACTTAACTAAGAATAAACGCGTCCGCTAATGCAGCTTAATTACCTTTCGCCGTCTTTTAATAAGGGCGTGAGGCACTGAGGATAACTACGGTAGCTACTTACCCAAAGCTCAATGATGATTGGCAGCTATTGTTACACACGCATCTTCCAGCAGTTCGGGACCCCGGCTACTGCCGTGCCGAACCATGGAAATCAAATGTGTAGTATAAACCAACCTTGCCAAATGAAGCTCGCCTAGGCTCGATCAACAAAGCTCCACTTATTCTCGAGCGCTAATGCTTGGAGCCAGGTGAGGTAATAATTGGGATGCCAATAGAGCGTTCTATTTAAGCCCTAAGATTAGTTTACAACGGAAATGATCTCTCCTGTTACGAGAAGCATATTTCTGTCCATAGCTATTGTAGGTATCTAGATGAGGACGCTGTCGCATGGGCAATTCATTGTCCGTCACAGTGTCTGTTGGAGAGAATGTGTTATGAGTATATCTCGTGCCAAAAAGTCCGAGCAAGAGGCAAGATTACCGCCACTTCTGCTACGCTTTCTCTCTCCCCAGTACCTCATTGCAGACAGTGCAATAGGTACGGCCGCGAGTAGCAGGGCTGGAAGAGCAATGGTGGCCTCGGTTGAAAGCGTCGTTTGACCTCTATGTGTATAATCAAGAACGAGGATGACTTGTAACAAAGTGGAAGCTACTAAGAAGAAGGATGTATGATATCATATTATCTTGTGAAAGAAATTGAAATATTTTTCATCGGCTTAGAGCTTTTATATACAGACGAAGGATGATGATAGTTGTTCTTGTTGAAAGGACATGATTGATGCGCTTACCTATTCTCCTCCACATGAAAACCTCCCGGCCGTCAGCCCTAGGGTGCCATGATGTCATAATCGCCGCGTTCCCTAATTAGTGGTAAACTTAAGGTCAGAGCGCCACTTTGTTAGTTTCGGATTTTCGGATTTGCTGTTGCGCCGACAGCTGATCTACCAATACCATAGTAGACTCAGTGATGGGCAAAATGTCGGTTCGAAGGCATCCATCCGGCCGGCCTATTCCGGCCCACTTCTGCTCAACCCCGTATAAAGTACATTAACTTAGATCCTCGACCCTTAGCGGCATTATTCTTCGGCGTACAGCGATTAAAGAGCACAGATAATCCACGCATATATGAGAACATGAATAAAATAACATGATTTAAAAAAGCCAGAAGATTGTTCTATTACTATTCTTCAATTATCCGACAAATATAGCTCGTCTCGAAGACCCTGGTGCTTGTTGCTAGTTGAATACTCTTGACATGAGATGGCATGCCTATAGGTACATGAAATCACGTGGTCAGCTCAGGTGCCTTGACGGACAAGTGGGAGTATTGATGGGAGGATCTACTCACAAAGTTCATTGGGGAATGCCAGATTCTGATCATCTTCGAGCATACGTAGATCGCGCGAAATGGGAAAAATCGAGGTTTGCGGACTGTAGTCTTTGTAATGGAAGGGTTTAGCATTCCAGACCCGGACATCTCATTTCTCTTTAATTGGAGGAACTTACAGCGAGCTCTTTTACTCTTGCGTCTTTTTCTCCAGAGCCTCATAAAGGATATTCCCACAGGCGCTGCTGCCAATAACACAGCCACAATACTTATGGTTGCTTCACTGGAGATGGCCATCAGAAGAACGTAGTATTGTCTTGAGGATGGGCGAGGACAACAGTAAGAGAAAAAACGGATATGTCAAAAGGCCGTCGAGGGGAAAGGAGTGCTTAGAGAGTCCTGAACGAGAAAAATTCAGAGAGACAATCTGTGCAGTATTTATTTGGAGAAGAGATATATAACGCTGTAGAGCACTGGCATTTACATAAACCTACCTAATGTCTGGACGGTCAATGGGTGAAGATCAATCTGCGCTAGGTCATGCAGTGCCACTCCTTCCTGTGCAGACTGCTGCGCCCCGACAATCATCGACTACGTATGTATACGCCCTGTAATAATAATCAGTTCCTAACTTCGGATATACTAGCCTTGCTACTTAGACAGGAACACTACATGGGCTGCCAACCTTTGATGCTGTGAAACCAAAAAAAGTGACCGGCCAGGATCGGAACCCCTGTTGAGTATTCCCATCTGCCGGTCAGTACCTTTCAAGGTTGGTAAATCTCGTAGCTTGTCGGCCAATCAACAACAGGGAATTCCAGCCGGGGCAACGCTCCCTCCTCAGATCTCGTTGTCTGTTCTAGTGCTCTGTAATAACATGTTTTGTTTTTGTTGATTTGTTATGCCACCTCTGCCCGCATCGCGATTTCGACCCAAACACATCCATTCTTATTAGTCCCAAGTCTGTTATCCACGTGATATGGTACTGCGTCACCCCTTTGTGAGCTACCTAGACAGCCGATTGGCGGTGAGTCGACAGCTTACCTCATTTTCATTATTATTATTAGTTAATGAATTTATTGACAACTTCTACTTCTTACCACTTTCGATTAATTCTTTTATTTCTTTTAATTTTCTTCTTTCCTTGTTCTCATCAACAGTTATACCTTTTGCTCGATCATTTTCTGCTAATTTATTTGATTCCTCAATAAGACTATTAAATAATCTTCAGTTTTTTGTTTTATTTCAAATAATAATTTATATTTTTCACTTCGCCTTCTATCTATTTCCAGCTGATGTACCTGCTCCCGGTATGCATGATGTTGAGAAATTACATTGACGAATTGATGTCGCAGGGGAGGGGTCGTTAGCCGTGGTTCCAACTAGGGGGTTTCTTTTATAAAGATAGGCACGCGAGGAAAATTGGACTTGATTGAAGCCAGCCGGGAGATTGCGGTTTCCTCCTCGAAGAATTGAACCAACTACTTATGCCAACACCAAAGAGTGCACGAGATGTTTAAATTCGCACTTGCCATTCCACAATCCCATATGATGCCTAGAGAAGCTAAACGCCAATTCCGGGATTAATCCAAGAAAACCCTCAACCCATTCGCCCCAAACTAGTTCCCAGGACCGTTACGCTTGTCGCTAGGTACATAGTGTGGGATCCAATGGGGAACACTGATTGTTGGACTGTACAAGGTAAGTATCGCCATATGGATAAACAAAGGGGAACCGGTAAAACATACCAGTATCATGTACAATGCTGGGATTGTCTCGATGGCGGCGCAGAGACAACGTACCCCTCTCAGCAAGATCTTCATAGTCTGGGAGAGCCAGATGTTAGATTGATACGTCCCAGGATGACTCTGGAACTACTCGCCTGGGGTAGACCAGCGCTTGGAGCGCTTTCTCCAGGTCTTATATACAATCAACCCCATGGGAATTGTAGCGAGAACGGCAGCCGCAATGCCCACGCCGGCCTCAGTTGAGAAAGTCATCTGGGTGCTGCCCGAGGGTGGGCGGATTCCGTGTTTGGTATGATTGTCAGCGACGATGCTATAGCATTTTCATTTGCGAAGAATAACGGAACAAGGCTCCAGCTGGTTGGATTAGGTAACAACGAACAAGTGACCTGGTGAAAGGGCAGAGGGACAATAGTAAAGGAAAGACAATGGAAGAGTTGTTGGTAGTATCGTGTAGGAGGACAGGAACACGGTATATCTGAGTGTGTTTATGTCTGTGAATTCCACGTCCCGGGGAAAGGCACATTAAATACCAGCTGTTGACCGAATGATATCATGCTAGGGCAGTGACCTCGCGGTGCGCTGTGTGAGGACAGGCGACGAGTTGTATCCATCCATGTATCCTGCTGCGGCCATTTGCTAGTACTCGTCCCACGGTGAGCCTTCGCACAGGCCGCTTGGGGTGAGTTTGGCCAAGGGCTCAGCAGGGTGACGAGTGGGCTTCTTGCATGAGACTGGCAAGTCAGCAAATGGGCCATTGGTTGGCGGGCTGACATTTATTTCTGACAACACTGATAGTCTGCGGGCCACACTTGCACTCAGCCACGGCTACACTGCGACCCAAAATTACGTGCGGCGTACCACAATACTGTCCCTGCGTTGGAGTGTGACTACTGGTTGGCAGACCACCCACCAATATCTTACTATACGGCGGCGAATAGCCTGCGGCAAACAACCAGCCACCAGCCACTGCTTGCACGCCGCAACTCGAAATTACATGCCACCACAATACCGTCTCGGCCATGGACTTTGGCGTCTGGTCGGCAGACCACCCACAGTCGTATCTTAAGATTCGCCAGGAGATCTGTATAACGCCGTTTTTTACGGAAGCTCACCTTCTCGGAGAAACTCGGACTGGTTTATCGTTGGGCTCAAGATGCTATAGTAAGCTTACCGTACTTGTTTGCCCCGTGCAGTGCACGTAGCTACAGGCGTGATTAGAAGACGCACCGTACACTCATAACAGAGCTTATATGTCCCATTGTTGAGAAATATAATGCGGGGGTTATTAGCCCTCAATCGCGATGCCATGTTTAGCAAGGTTGATAGAACAACCCTCGGGCGGGCTGCTGCAGACACCACCCGTTGCTACTCACATATTTACCCTTTGTTAGCGTGTGGATTAGTATCAATAATACTCAGGAGCAGGACTGCTGTTAAAAAAGAGATCAGGCTTTAACGGAACCAACCCTTCCCGGCAGCACCATGGTAGGTATGTCTGGCAGTAAATTCTAAATCACGTAACCATCATCCACTGGCGTGGTACAGAGACTGGGGAGAAGGATAGAGCTCAACTTTGAGTGACACAGACCTTCGGATGGCGCGTTGGGACTGCGGTGTCGATCAATCCGGAGCCCGAGATGCACAGCTCGATGATTGAGCATAATGGGTTGATCGCATTCGCTGAATACGCGGGCCAAGCGTGCGACCAGATGAGTAGTATAGCTGAGTTCCTGGAAACATTACGGTATAGCACGGTTCATAATTCAGCAGCGCTGATGCCAAGATCATCCAGGCCACTTTGCTTCACACAAGGCATATATTTTGGTCCAATGACCTTGTTTCACACATGGGAACAGTTTTAATTTCCCATTCAATGGAGACTTCTAGAACTTTTCTGCTTCCAATATATCAATAACTCCTAGTTTGCTATGCTGAAGTTTATATTGAGCTAGGGCTGCTAGGCGTGTTTCAATGGACAGCGCGTACAGTACCTCACAGACATCACCACATGCGGGCGGATAACTCAAGAATAAGGAGCGCAACGCAACCTTGAGCTTATGAGTCATCCTGGTAGGCAGGAAAGGTGCCTCTTCATATTTGTGCCCCTGATGCTTTTCTTAGGCATAACTTGCTCAGATGCAGGATGGGCCGGTGAGAAGCAGAGACACCGCGGCTATCGAGGCGGGATTGAACAGATATCCGATCTTCGTCATTGGCAGTATCTGCTCTAGACACCTGCAGTATTGATTCGCTTGAAGGACGCCGAATGGATTATCTGAAACGTCTGAAGCATCTAAGAAGTATATTTTTAAACAGCTAAGTACATCAGGGATAACTTGTATTGTACCACGCCATTTTGGATATCCAAGGGGATTTGCAATTAAGGCTAAACCCTACGTAGGTACCCAGCAGAAGCTCCTCCTTTAAATCAGAAGTGCAGACGGTTGTGAAGATCTTCCACAGATACAACAAGTACGTGCGGTGCGTCCACGGGTATCAGTAGGCTTAGGCAACTTCTGTAGTACTGGTACTGTTAGACAGTGATAGAGGGGTAGCTGGGTGTCTGGAGACCTGGGAATATATGGTATCTAGGCTCTTGGTACCACTCCTAGAGCGAATCCCCAGGTCCGGTTTGATAGTCTCTCACTCTCACTATGTGCAGCATTATGCGATACCTATTACAGAGAACCGCGGGCGAAGTTGAGATTCTGATTTCCCTAGAAGATTCTGAAACAGGGCATTGACTATATCAAAGGCCGTGGGATTTATTGTCCCAATTTCTTTGTCTCTCCTCCATGGTTGCTTTCACCTGAAACATTTGACTCGACCCAAGAAACAAATAACGGCCCTCGAAGTGGTTTAGCATAAATGGAGGCGACACCCTCGAACGGACGCCGTGGTCCTGTATCTAAAGAGGCTCTGCCTTTGTGATTTCTCAAGTATCTAGAATCAATCTTTCACAGTAGTCTATTTGTCACTACTTCCAGCTATTTTTCTAGTCAACCACACAAACATGTCCAGCCATACAGCAAACGCCACCATGTCTACATTCCGCTTATTCGATCTTCCAGAGGAACTTGCCATCATAGTTACCACTTATATGGGAGTGAGGGACCTAGCTAAGTTCTGTCAAACTGCATGGAACTCCAACCGACTCGGCCAGCTTGAGCTCTACAGCAATCTATCGCATGAGGAAACTCGCTACATATTCCAGTGGGCCTACAACAGGCAGCAACCGGAGGCAGCATTCCCAGTGATCCACCGGTACAGCGATACCTTGTCTGAGCATCCCTCACTTGCTTTTGACGCCATGCACCTTGCATGTCGTTTCGGCCATGCTCCGCTAACAACTGCTCTACTAGACGCCGGCGTTCCTCCCGAACGCATGGAAACGACCGACAGTTCCGGCCGCCGCGATAGCTTCAGCCCGCTGGACGTGGCTGCTACGCACGGCCATGCGGACGTCATGGACGCTCTTCTCACTGGAGGCGTCGACCTGAATAAGCGCCGGTTCCTCGACAACTACGCCTTACTCTGCGGTAAGCGAAACTCTGTAAGTGTACGTCGCGTACTTCTCAATCACGGATTCGACATCCACCAAGTCGATGAAGATGGGGACAACTTCCTGCACTACGTGTGCCGCCACGGCAAGGCCCCTCTACCGGAAATCATCCGAATAATTGAGGTACTACTGCAGCTAGGCCTCGATATCAATCAGCCGAACGCGGATGGGGATCTGCCGCTCATGCTTGCACTCATGTCCCAATCTATTGGCGCGGTTCGGTTCCTGGTGTCCAAGGGAGCTGATGTCAACGCTGTGGATGCAATCGGCCTTTGGCCGCTGGAACTAGCCATGCAGCTGCCGGGGGATCAAGACGAGAAGATATATTGTCTCCTAAAGGGCGGGGCGACTATTGATGAGGATTCTGGCTTGCAGCTTCTGCGCCTTGGACTTTCTCATGAGATCCGAGTACACTCTCTTGCACTTCTGGTAAGGGCCTGGAAAACGCAAGTCGCCACGTTCAAATGCAAGGACCCCAATGTTTTATTCTGCGCCGCTGCCGCGGTCGGCGATGTGGAACTGCTCGGTCAAGTGCTGCAGCACAATCCAGGCACGCTAAATGCAGACTGCATTGTAGCTGGCACGACCGCGCTCACTGCAGCAGCCGCATCAGGCCACACTGAAGTGATCAAGTTCCTAATTCCTCATATAACCTCCTACAACCACCTGAACCCAGACGGCCGCACGGCTCTACACGTTGCAATTCTCTCCGGCTCCGAGGAAGCAGTCCGTCTCCTACTCCCCCACAGCCCAATCGGCAACGCCGACACCACCAAGCGAAGTCCTCTTCTCTCCGCAATCGGATACCAACCACCTACCATCGTAGCCATGCTTCTAGACCGTCTAGTCAATGGAGAAACAGGAACAGTCGAAACGACGCTCCTCCTGCCGCTCGATAAAACACACAGGGGGCCAAAGAAACTGTCCCCGCAGGACCACGTCGAAGCCGCCCTGCAGCTCGCCGTATTGACCGAAAACGCCCCCATAGTCCGGCTACTCCTCAGACGCACCCCGGGGCTTGTCCAAGCCCAGCGGCGCAATCCCCGCCTCCTGCAATCCGCCCTCCCCCACGCCGAAGACGTCGCCGTCGCCCTGATAACCTGGGGCGTCGACGTAAGCGGCACCCACACCAACGGCCACTCGCTCCAGACGGCGTTGTGGGATTCCGTTGGACACGGGCGTGTTGAGATTGTTAGGGCTTTGCAGCGCAGCGGCCAGTTTAGCCATATGCCGGTTTACGAGGGTCGGCGGTATCGGGAACGGGCTGAGGCGGCGGCGGCACACTTGGGCGTGAGGTTTCCGAAGGATGTCTTGGATTGGTTTTCGGCGCCGCGTGCTGGTCAGTCTGGTTATGGGACTGGGCGGCGTCGCTAAGGTATGTTGCCCTGCGTCAACTGTGGGAAATGGGGAGTTAGGGTTGGCTAGGGACGCCACGGGTACCTGTGTTTCCAGGACACAGTTGCCGGCTTGTTTTCAGGTTTCTGTTTGAAAATATTGTGTTTGATTTGTTTTCTGTTTCTTACTATTCATGCTTTGCTCTTGTCGTTATATCGCTTGTGGTGTTTACCCACTGGGTTCAGTTAAATCAACACCAGTCTCGCCCTAAGGCTTCCCTGAATATTTAAATCACTGTCATAGAAAGTTCCATATTTCTGCAAGATATATTGCGCTGTTCTCTTCTAGAACTTGACAAGTAGAGTACCTAAATACTCGCATTAACGTATTCCTAACTTCAGCTCAACCCATGTGGACTGCTGCACCGTCCATTAGGTACAGCTTGTCGAGCCAGATGCCATTCCGCTGGCCGCCAACAGGCCCGATTAGTTTGGCCATCTCATTCTTCGTTGTCCAGCGATGTAATGCATCGAAGATGCCTATAGTGTACGGAACCACGCAGGGCTAAAGCATTGTGATTTCTACTCAAGCCTGTGTGCCCAGCGTACTGTAGTGGTAAGAATGTTCCTTTTAATTGAATGATTAAGCCAATACTCTTTCTCTTCAAGATATTCACCCCTCTTGTACGACAATTATCACAAGCATATTCCATTCCAGAAGGAATGGGGACAGGGATGCGTGATCCAGTGGGACAAGACGGCGATGGCCGATGATAAGGAAGAATCGGAAGGTGAATGTACTCCTCATGTTGGATCTGATTCGCCATTATCTCCAAGCTCTACAGGGTAGGTGCAGATGCATGGAATGATAAAGAGGGGTAGGTGCGGGGTCCCATGCGGCTTACCTAGGGATATATGAGGTAAGATCCCTCGGACCTTATTTTCTTTCTGGATCTGAGACATTATCACGACAGCTCGAAGATCTGGAAAGGTTAACCTCACATCGCGAGCAAAATGCATCGCATCGCTGAACTAGCGGCACTCATCCAGCAGCGGACCGCGGAGATTGACGCGTACCTGCAAGAGAACAACCTCCCGCAGCCGAGCTTTGAAGAGGATGCATCGAGCAATCATAATCTGACCAACAAAGAGATAGTGGACGCGCGCGATGACCTCCTAAGCGCGACCCTTGAGCTCCATGACCTGATCCTGGGCCCCGCAATGTGCCTGCGCCCAATGGTACGTTAGACGGCACTTTCTTTCCACAAGATTGTGACGAGAATACGATCGGCGACCGATCTAACTGAAGCAGCTCAATGGCGTCAGCCTACAAGCCGTATACAAATACAACATCCCCGAAGCAGTCCCTATCCATGGCGAGATTTCGTTCAGCGAGCTTGCGAAAAGGACTGGGCTGAGAGAGTACGACGTCCGTCGCATTCTACGCCATGCGATGGTGTTTCATCATGTATTTCAAGAACCCCGGGAAGGGTTCGTCGCCCATACAGCTGCGAGTAGGAGACTGCGCGATGACCCGGATACGATGGCGGGACTGGGATACTTCCACGACGAGTTGTGGCCGAGTTTTGCGCATGTACGTGCACCACATTGACGACGCTGTGTCATTGAAGTTACGACGGGAAATAACAAGATTTCAGACTTTGCCAGCGCTGGAAAAGTCTCAAGGGGAAGAGCCGAACGAAACAGTGCGCTCCCCGCCAATTTTATCCTTTAGCTGTTGTATAAGCCGAGATCCAGGATACTAACGATAGCACCAAGGGCTGGAGCCAGTACCACGGCGTTGACAAACCATTTTACGAACACTATGTCTCGCACCCGGCCATGGCAAAGCGGTTCAGGGGTGCAATGGCGGCTCTTGCAGATGCAGACGGCACCGCGCCGGAGCCACTTGCAGATGCCTACCCCTGGGGGTCAATTGGGGGTGCGGGTGATGGTACCGGCACTGTCGTTGACGTTGGTGGAGGAAAAGGCCATATCAGCGTCATGCTCGCGACGCGATTCCCAAGCCTGCACTTCGTCGTCCAGGATACCCCGTCCATGATTGCCGGTGCTGCGGCCGAGACTCTCGCGGGTCTCCCAGCAGACGTCAGCGACCGGATTAAGTTCACATCCCACGACTTCTTCACCGACCAGCCTGCTGAAGCGGACGTCTACCTCCTGAGAAATATTATCCACAACTGGTCGGATGCCTACGCGGTCCGTATCATGCGCGCCCTGATACCCGCCCTACGAACTGGCTCAAGGATCGTCATACACGATCGCGTACTTCCGCCGCCCGGCACGATGCACCGGATGAAGGAGAGAGCTATCAGGTGAGTCCAAAGAGTTGGGTGGATGTGCCTGGCTGCTCCCCCTTGCCCTGCTGGATTGTACCAATGGAGAAGACTAATTTTGAGTGCACACAGAGAAATGGACCTTTGGATGCTCACGCTCTGTAACAGTAGAGAGCGCGAAGAGGCCGACTGGATTGCGCTATTTGCGATGGCTGACCCGAGGTTCGTGGATGCCAGGGTCAAAATGTGGACGCCGGCTGGGGCGGCTATGTCGATTATTGAGATTGTCTGGCCCGGGGATGGAATTGTGGCCAGGGATCTGGATGAGGTATCGAGCATTTAGAAAGCGGCATTGTAGCACTAGGGTATTGTGTGCATTTGGGACAAGTGCCGGTGTGGAAGATGGTGGGCGCGATCTGCTGGTTACGCACAATGTCAGTCAACATTAAATGTCATATCGTATAGCTTAAAGGGATGATAAATATCTCATAGGCGCTCTGTTGTGAGCCTCATCCGCACTGGTAGACATGCGGGTCCCCTCGTCAACCAGCATTCCTTTGCTACTGGGATGGTACAAGAGGCACTACACTTTCAAGGAAAGTTATGATCAGCTAGTGAGAGCTAGGAGCAGTACAGAGAATGGTGAAGCACACGACGAACGCCCTGAAGCAGGCCGGGGGTACAGAAGGAAGAGGTGAAAATCCGGTGGCACCATAGGAAGAGGTGAGTGTTGGATTTGACAAAGCAATTGGCCAGGGATCCTGGGGAAGGAGCCACTGGACGCGGGGCCCCAGACGCCTGAGAGTAAGCCCTGGAGGTCCGGCCTTAGCCCTAAACAAGCTCTAGCTTGGCTCTTCCAAGCCTGGTTGGTGGAACATTCAATCCATCAAAGCAAGATTGGCCTGCGCGTGTCTTACTTTGCCACCTGGTTCCCAGGATCACCAAGCTCTGCCAATGTTTCACAAGCTACCCTTCTTGCTGGGCTACCGCTTGGCCGACGTTGGCTGAAGGCAGGGGAATCGAAGGACAACCCATTCGACAATAACCTTGGAAAGTATGGGTGCGGAGCCTGCTTCAACAATAGCCATGCAGAAGGGCATGGATGCAGTATTTAACCGAGACACCGTCCAGGAGTGTGCACTGGCCCCGGAAAATTCAGTTTAGTGGGGATGGCAAGTGCAACCCAACCATCCCCTCTTCCATCCCCGATACCCCGGCGGAGACCCTTCAGATCGGCAGAGGTCAGAGAAGCAAAACCCAAGGACTATTGTTAACCCAAGCGATCCTCTGACTGTTCTTCCTCACACGATCAGCCCACTTCTCCGTGCCCCGCCTTACCCCCGAGGCAATCGATCCTAGTGTGGCCCTAGCAGGCTTGTCCAGGATCTGCCTGAAGAACTCCCCCACATTCCAAGGATCATGTGAAGTCTACAATTAACCGCCCGTGCAGAGATGCCAGGTCCGCCGGATATGCTTGCCTCGGCGTAGACTTATTGGAGGAAATACGTCGGGTACCTGCCTGTCGTGTAACTCTGTTCGCCTTATGTAGGGAGATAGGGCACCCCGCAGGACAAAGGAAAGTTATAAAAGGGGCAACCTATCCTCGTACCTGATTCCCAAATCAGAGGCTTTGAACCGGGCTTTCTACCATAGCCATGGCCGTGTTTTCCAAACCCTCTATCCTCGCCCTGGGCTTAGCCCTAACCCCCCTCATCGCCGCCGGGCCCTGCGATATCTACTCGTCCGGCGGCACCCCCTGCATCGCAGCCCACAGCACCACCCGCGCCCTATACAGCTCCTACAACGGCCCCCTCTACCAAGTCAAGCGCGCCTCTGACAGCTCCACGACAACCATCACCCCGCTGTCTGCAGGAGGGGTCGCCAACGCCGCAGCCCAAGACACCTTCTGCGCTGGCACAACCTGCCTGATCACAATCATCTACGACCAATCCGGCAACGGCAACGACCTGACCCAAGCACCGCCGGGCGGGTTCAGCGGCCCCGACGTAAACGGGTACGACAACCTTGCCGGCGCGATCGGAGCCCCCGTCACCCTTAACGGCCAAAAAGCCTACGGTGTCTTCGTCTCCCCGGGCACCGGGTACCGCAACAACGAGGCCGTCGGGACCGCAGTCAACGACGAAGCAGAGGGGATGTACGCCGTGCTGGACGGAACACACTACAACGACGGGTGCTGCTTCGACTACGGCAACGCCGAGACAAACAGTCTGGACACTGGCAACGGGCACATGGAGGCCATCTACTTCGGCACGAATACGGCGTGGGGGTCTGGTGCTGGAAGCGGGCCGTGGCTCATGGCTGATCTTGAGAACGGGCTGTTCTCCGGCCAGAGCAGCGACTATAACTCCGGTGATCCGAGCATCTCTTACCGCTTCTTCACTACGATTCTCAAAGGTGGTCCGAACCTGTGGGCTCTTCGTGGCGCGAATGCGGCGAGCGGTTCGCTCTCGACGTACTATAGTGGTGTCCGCCCGACCGATCAGTCCGGGTATAACCCCATGAGCAAGGAGGGTGCGATCATCCTTGGTATCGGCGGTGATAACAGCGTCAGTGCGCAGGGGACATTTTACGAGGGAGCCATGACGGACGGGTACCCGACCGATGCAACCGAGAACGCGGTGCAGGCGAATATCGTGGCTGCAAAGTATGCGACGACCTCGCTGACCAGTGGGACGGCACTCTCAGTTGGCTCTTCGGTCTCGCTGAAGGTGACAACATCCGGCTACGACACGCGGTATCTCGCGCACACCGGCTCAACCGTCAACACGCAGGTCGTCTCCTCGTCGTCCAGCACAGCCCTCAAGCAACAAGCCAGCTGGACCGTGCGCACTGGTCTCTCCAGCACGGCCGCAGCAAATGGGTGTGTCTCATTCGAGTCCGTCGATACACCCGGTAGCTACATCCGGCACGCCAACTTCGCGCTCTTGCTCAACGCGAATGATGGGACGAAGCTGTTTGCTGAGGATGCGACGTTCTGTCCGCAGAGTAGCTTTAATGGCGATGGGACCAACAGTGTTCGAGCTTGGAGCTACCCGACGAGATACTGGAGGCACTATGAGAATACGCTCTATGTTGCGAGCAATGGTGGTGTTAATACGTTTGATGCGAGCACGGCGTGGACGGATGATGTTAGTTGGGTTGTTGGGAGTGGGTTTGCCTAGGGCTGCGTCGTGTCGAGATCATGAACGTGCAGGTTGACATGCCATTTCGGAAGAAAGATCTATTCTCGCGGGGAATAAAGGGAAGGAGTGGACATGGAATAGCATGGATGTGCCTTTTATTATCAACGGATATCAACGGAAGCCTCGACGCACTGTAGGTAGGCTCCAGGCTCATTGTACATACTTCCAATAATGAAGGTTGCCCTTGTAATGTCCGGGGCGCTGTATGCTGGAGTACCTACCTACCTAGGTAATCTTCTTATTCGGTGTTATTTAAAGGCCCTACTATATAACGTATGATATTAATTTGGGACGCAATGGTTGTTCTTTGAATTACCCCATTGGACCTTGGAGCCCATACCTTTGATTTATTATCAACTATTACCACCCGCACAGATCCTGCTTTGGTCTTGGATTTTGTTCATGATGAAGAACATGCCTAGACACCTCAGCACTGATCTCGCTTAGCGAAAAGCCATTTTCATACTGAGTTGCGTTCTTTAGGGCTCCTTACCCAAGTGCAGGTGTAGGTGGTTTTCCCTTCACGCCTATTCCCGGACCCCCTTCGCCATCTATTTCGTGGATATCCATTGACTTTCAAGTTTCTTCCTTTGTCTGTTTAACTTTAACTTCGATACTACAAGTTCCGTGATGATCGTGTCATGATGTGTTGAGGGTGCTACCGCTCAGTCGCGGGTTCATGTTGTCAATTTGGTCCCAAAATATATTTCAGCCCTAACTGAGGTCAACTCAGCTCACTGTTAAGCAGCACCTGAATATAAAGCCCCGAACACCAAACCATTACCTACACTCTCTGGTAATCCAAATGCTCACAAAAGGATCCCTTCATTATGATAATCCAATTAGCTCAATATATAGAAAAAACACCTAATCGCCCGCCGATACTAAACCTCCGCCTAATTGACCAGGTGCGCCAGCTGCTGGTCCCAATATCACAGTTCCGGCCCGACCAGGCCGATAAACTCCCTTCTGCGGAGATCATGATGCAAGTGCGGGATGAGATCGCAGGTCCAGGAAGGAAGGACGGTGTCAAGTGGATCGTGCGTTCCCATATCGTGAATGAGGGGACGATTGCCATTATGCAGGAGGCAAAGACAAAGTACGGATGGCAGGACAAGTCAGCCGTTCGTGTGACGAAGGAGTCGAACATGGAGGCATTTGAGGCGCTGTCTGGCACCCCAAACTGCAAGGGTATCTATCCCACCCTGGCCACACATGACCTTCGTCGTACTGGGAGTTGGAGAGTGACGGAGCTTTTGGTGTGGATTGGAGGGACCCCGTATAACTATATTGCGATGGAAATCGAGCAAGCATAGGATAGCGTGGGTTGGAAAGTGGTGGATGTGATCAGAACTGGACGGGAGTGTTTTAGATTGTTGTTTTGCCAATCGTGAACTTTGGTAGAGGCAAATACTATGGGGATGTGCCGCTGATAAAGGGTTCCTTCGGTATTATCAATAAATTAACAGAAGAATGATTAAGAAACCATAGCTAGGAAGGGAAATTCTGATCTGTGAGAAGAAGAATGGCAGCTTATCAAGACTCGGGTTCATGCAAGTCCTAGAAGGCAGCAATGTTTTGAGGGCGCCTGATACTGCGAGCGTGACTGGCATAACTAGGCAGCTCTTCAACGGGGGCAGGCAGGTGCATCAGTGTGGGTTGTTGCTCTTTAGCAGCACAGTACTGTAGTTTACATATACATTTACTATTTGGGGTGGTTAAAGTTGGAAACAATGTGAGGGTCTAGAGAGCCGGTAGATTTCTAAGGGAGAAGTGTATGTAGTAAGGCTTTAGAGAAGGAATAACAGAAATATCAATGTATCATGTGGTAAAGACTGTAAGGTATAGCAAAACATTCAAAGTAGCCAGGACCAGCGGCCTCGGGCTTAAGGGGAAAGCTTCTTGACAAGATCCTCAGGAAAAGACGGCGAGCATTTCTTCGCAAGGTCCTTCGCAGTCAACCCCAGCGCATTCTCGTGCCCCAAATCAAACCGACCCGTATCAAGGAGGGCCCTGACAGTTTCAGGGTGCCCATATTGCACCGCCGTCGTCAACGCATTCTCACCACCAGTGGTACACTGCGTCCCCATATCAAAGTGCGGCATCAGCAGCTTCACAACCTCCGCATACCCGCGTCCAACCGCGTGCTCGAAGAGCGTCTCTGTATTAGACACCCGGCCCTCGCGCAGCTGCATTCTATACCACGGCGTCGAGTGCATCTGAACATGCGGATCCGCGCCGGCCTCAAGCAAGACCCGGACGGCGTCTGGGTGGTTATTGCCCACAGCACCCGTCAGCGCCGTCCGCTCTTTCATCGACTTGGCGTTAAGCTCCGCGCCTTTCTTGATCAGAGCTGCGAGAGCCTTAGCGCAGCCTGCTTCGCCGGCCGCAATCAGGTTCGTATTGAGGTTTTGCCTAACGTGCTTGACCTCGGCGCCCCATTCAATCAGGGCCACCGCGATATCGTCCATCTTGTTGCTGTCGCCGTAGAAGAAAGCCATGTGTAGGAGGAGCTTATGCTCGCCCAGCTCCTTCGCCGGATTCAGCGGATGGTCGATCAGCACGCGGACGGCGGCGTAGTTCTGCTTCATGATTGCCATTTCCAGGGCGGCGACCGCGTTGTCCTCTGCTGTGAGGATTTGCTTCGGGGTGTTCCATTGGCGGAGGCCGAGATATACTTCGCTTTCTTCGTGGTTGGGTCCGCTGTTATTTGTGAGGACGCGGTCTAGAATCATGGCCACGATATCAGGCGACTGGTGCTCGACTGCTTCGACGAGCGGCGTCCGCTTTCGGTTCTTGTCGCCTGGCCTGAGGCGGTTGGTTAGCGGTAGCAGCTGGCGCACGAGCTTCTCCTTCTCGGGTCCCTGGATGATGGCCAGGTGTAGAGGCGTGCGGCCTGCTGCGTCCGTTCGGTCGAAGCCAGCGGGTGAAGTGTGTTTCATGAATAGCTCTGTCGCTTCGGGATTACCCACGGTAATCGCTGCAATGAGCGGCGAAGTCCCGTAGACCGTGCAGTTCGCATCGACTTTGCCCTGTTTTAGCTGTTTGTGGACTAGCAGCATATCTCCCAGCGTCACAGCAGCGCAGAGGGTAACAGCTGGATTCTTGTATTCCAGCATAACGTTCTGCCGTTTCCAGGCATTCAGGATCAAGGCAAAACACCGTGGCTGGCCGGTCGCCACACACTGTTGGAGGAGTGCGAGTCCGGAGCCATGTGTTTTGCATTCGACAGTCGCTCCGGCGGCTAGAAGACAGGCGACCACCTCATGGTTGTCCTCGTTGTTCTTGTTGTCCTTGTTGTCTGGCGCTAATAGCAACGCGACCTTTAGCGGCGTCTGTGGCTTCTTCTCACCAATGCTAAGGTTGACATTGACATTTTGGGAAATCAAGAACCGCACGATCTCCAGAGACTTCGCCCGAATCGCTGTGGTGAACGGCGTGTCGCCCTTTGAATTGGCCTTAAGGTTGTTGATACCAAGTCCGAGCCGCAGGAGCACCTTGATGTTAGCGATCGCGGTCGGGACATTCTCCTTTCCAGCTTGCATACACATCTGATGCAGAAAGGAGTTTCCATCGTCATCAACTAGGTTGATAGCTTGAACCAGCGCGTGCATATCGGGTGCCAGTTCGGGGTCGTTCTCCCAGGACGCAAATTGGTAATAATGCATCAGGTGCGATAGGACTACGGCGTTGCTAGTCTCGCAAGCCCAGTTGAAGACCCTGCTTAAGTCGCCCAGGCTCAATACGCCGTCCAAGGTGAGCTTCTTGTCCTTGGATTCCTCTGCTTTGCATGCCTTGACTAGGTCGTCTCGGCCAAGATATCGTCCGATTTCGATCATCAACGGCTTTTGCAGCTCGGTGACGGGGAAGGTAGGCATGTTTGCGTTTGAAGGGTTGCTATACATGGCAAACGTTCTGGAAAATGTGGTAGTCAAGCGGAAAGCAGTTGAACAGCAGCGAAGGAGGTTGAGTCGTGGAAATCAAGAGGGTGGATGGATGGATGGAGAATCTATCTTCTGGGGTTTGGGCTGCTATTTATGCTTGATGAGCCTTTGACAGCGAATATTTGGGGAAGTCTTTGTCCAATAGTTGAAATGACAAGATCCCTCCAGGTATTAGAAATTGTTTCTTTGTCTGAGCACAATGACCGGTATGGTGTTAAGTCCCCAATCCTCCAACCGTGGGAACAATAGGCCGAGCGGCACGGTATCAAAGGGCAAATGCTTGAATGTTTATTCCTGTTGAAACTTCAAATTTGCACTGAAGGGTCAATGCTGAGTCAATGCTGAGCTGCCGTGCTCTTCTGCTTTTGCGGATAAATTTTGCTGGCAAACGGACTCTGCATCAGCGCCCCGCTTGCAACTGCAGTCCGGTCGGCCTTCTGAGTGCGTAACAGCAACTGGACAGTACCATAGGCACCTGCATCGTACCTAGAGCAGGGCACACTCATCATGAAGCACCAGCCGTTATGATACCCAGCAATAGCCGAGTGACAAGAGAAAGCCAATAACTCTGAATACAAGCCTGGACGGTTGCTACGAGAACCTGGCGGGTCGTTCAGTTATGACACTGGCGTCCTGAAGTTCAATATCTCAGTGTATCTTGAATAAAAAGACCAACTTATAGAAGCTGATGCCCAGTTTTAATCTCATTTGGAGTTAGGGTATGTGTAGGTCCTCGGTAATGGTGCACATACCCTGTTAGCCAACCAACAGAATGTTATCCGCATACAAGCCTCGAATATTCCACTCGCCAATGGAAAATAGTGTATTTAGAGATTACCCGGAGTGAAGTTAAGTAGTGAGCTCCATTTTACAAACAGCTATAAAATACTAAATACTGAATAGAATTTAAAGCCATCCCGGCAACTCATCCATGCCCTCAGGAACAATTCCATAGCCCTCCAACAACTCCACAAAATCCCATCTCTCCTTCTCCCTCGCCTGTAAAAGAGCCAGCTTCGCCGCAAACGGATACGATTGATGAACGCCCTTTTCCAATAGCACCCGCAACACACAATACGCCTCGCAATGCACCAACGCATTGCATTGGGAAGCCCGCCCCTCCGCTCCCCGATCAACAAGTAGCGCCACCGTTCGCGGGAACATACCCTCCACAGCGCACGCCAGGGGCGACGGCGTAGGCGACATCGTCTCGTTGATATCCGCCCCGCGGGAGAGCAGGAGTTCAATCGCGGCGTCCTGCCCCTTCGCGGCGGCGTACGAGAGCGGCGAGTCTTCTAGCGTGCGGTCTGCGATTAAGCCCACCGGGGCGCCGTTGTCGATGAGGAAACGCATGGCGGGGAGGTGGCCGCCGCTTGCGGCGCCCTTGAGAGCGGTGCTTAGAACTCTCTTCTTGATATTTAGGTTGCGCGGTAGAGCGGCGAAGTCAGCAGCGGAGAAAATGGTTTGTAGGATGGGGATGTTGCCGCTCCAGGCGGCGTATATAATGGCATGGAAAAAGCTGCACGAGGATCTGGAGAGGTTGATCTCGGGGGAGAGAATGAATGCAACTGTCTCCTCATGCCCTGCGTATGCCGCTGCGCCTAGGGGACTGAAATGCGTCCATTTGATGTCCTCTATGAGGAACTTCCGCACAAACTGCTCATTTCGGTCCTCGCCTTCCGTCCAGTCAATGGAGTCGCGGTTAATGTCTGCGCCCTTCTTTAGCAGGAGGCGGATGACGGGGAGGTGGCCCTCGCGAGCAGCGTTGAGCAGCGGTGTTCCGAAGATATCACTTGGCGCGTTGACATCTGCCCCCTCGTCGATAAGAGTCTGTATGAGCGAGAGATTTCCGATACATGCTGCGGCGGAGAGGCGATGCTCTGTCGAGTCGCTAGTCTGGTCTCCTCCGCGTCTTGCGTGGGCTTCCTGGAGTGCAGTTTTTGGGCCGTAGCAAGCATCAGTTAAAGGCTGACTGTAGAAGGAGGCGGCTGAGCGTGAGAGCGCATAGCATATGTTCTGAAGATCGGGCCCGTTAGGTTGTCTGACTGCTATCCAGTCCCTACAGCTCTGGATCGTGCGAAAGGCGTAGTACTCGTTCACATTAGCAGCGAGAGCCCTTGCGCAGATATAGTCGTTTACAAGGGGTTGCCAGGTATGGAATTGCCAGCGCGCTCTAGAACAACAGAGGGCAACTTTGGCTTGACGGGCAAATACCTCTGGTTCACAGTGTGTTAGTTCCTGTCAATATGTCGATAAAAGGGACCGGGTAGCTCCTACTGTTAACCAGCTGCAACTGGATGAACTCCTCCCAGCTAATGTCAATAATGGCCTGGGAGATGATGGCTTGGAGGATCTCAAGGGGAAGTTCGAGGAGGGGCATGTTTAGAAGTGCCCGTGTTTGGGTTGGTTGTTGGAAGGTACAATGGTTTTATGTGAGGGAAGGCACAACACAGCCCCCTTGTACGCGCCAACCACGACAAACAGAATTCAGAGCTGAGATTATGGCTGTTATACTTCACGGTAAGGATGCGCTGCTGAGCATGGCCTCGCGGGTTTGATAGAGTGGCCTCAGGTCGGGGTTGTCTCATCCCGCCCCTTGCTTGCACTCGACTCGGGGTCACAACCCATGGCTAATGATACCTACGGTACTATTCTATCCAGAGGGGCTCCGTTTGATGAGGGTCATTTGGCCTCCATGCCAGAGAACAAAGGAATGGAATGAATTCGCACATGGTCGCACCTTTGTTCTTGGATTTGACGTCTTTGACATGGGGCATGAACAAAGAAACGACAGGAAATTTTCACATGGGTGTTCATCCTTCACTCTTTCATCGTCTTTCACACTGTTTGTTGTTCATCATAATCCCTTTATCCAACTGTGGCTCTTCACTTGGTTCGTTGCGCAATCGTGACTCCCAACAAACGCACCTCCCAGCATAAATAGGAGCCCAGATCCCAGCCAAATGCACTCATCATCCACTGCTCTGCTTCCAAAATCCATCCATTCTTGGAACTACAGTGATCACGTCCCAGTTGAACTCGTTCAACATCTTGACAAATCCACCCTCTAACATCTTTCACATGTCCAACCACCAATCAACCGCCACAATGTCTACAGAGACCTTCCCGATCTTCAACCTCCCCGAGGAGCTCGTGCTCGCAATCGCCGACAAAATGGACGATAAAGACCTCTCCATATTCCAACAAACATCCAAGGTCTCCAATCGTGTGGGTCAAATCTCCCTTTACAAGAGGCTGTCCCACGACGAGATACGCCGGCTGTTCAAGTGGGCGTCGTGGAAGAGCCGCCTGCCAACAATGCTCCAGGTCATTCAGCACAACCGTGCCTTTCTGGCTAAGAACCCCGATCTTGCATCTGAAGCCCTCTATTTTGCTTGTCATGGTGCCTACGATTCCGTTATAACCGCCTTGCTGGATGCGGGCGTTCCCCCGCAGACAAAAGCGCGCGAGTACGTACCTCTTGAACTAGCGGCTATGCACGGCCATCTCGACATTATGAACATCCTGCTTGCCGCGGGTGCAAAGCTAGAAGCTACCAGTTTCGCTGACAGGTACACGATTCTATGTACGGGGAAGCCAAACCGCTTGCCCGTGGCGAAGCAGCTTGTCCAGCTCGGGTTCGACGTGACTCAGCTCGACAAGGAAGGAAACAGCTTTCTGCACGAGGCATGCAGGACCATTTCGGGGTTCTCACGCACCCGGTTTGACTGCGACCTCCTCCTGGAGCTGGGGCTTGACATCAACGCCCGGAATGCCCGCGGCGAAACACCCTTGATCCAGGCCATGTCGTCTCGGGATGGTGATGGCTCCATGGTGCGCTTCTTGCTCTCTCGCGGCGCGGACGTCAACATTGCGACGCCCCGTGGCTGGTGCCCTCTGAAGTTCTCGGTGCTGGATGGCAAGACAGACTCGCTTGAGACTGTATTGAAGGCCGGTGCCCGGATGGACGAGACCCTGGGTCTGTCCATCATCGCCCGGACGCTGGCGATGGACTGGGTACATGGCCTGACTCTTTTACTCAGGGCGTGGAAGGCGCAAATGGCCACGGTGAGCTGCGCACAGCCGGAGATCCTCTTCTGCGCAGCGGCTCGTGTGGGCGATTTCGATTTACTGCGCGAACTCCTGCAGAAGGGCGAGGTGGACCCGGACGGAGCGCCGGCTAGGACTACGGCGATCACTGCAGCTGCAGCCAGGGACACACCCGATGTTCTGGAGTTCCTCATGCCGCACGTTTCCTGCTACGACTTTGTCGACTTTCGCGGGCATACTGCCCTGGAAATTGCGATTGACGGCGGTTCCGACGAGATGGTGCGCCTCTTGCTCCCACACACCAGTTCAGTGGCTGGACTCCTCGTTGATGCCGTGCGTAAGCTGAAAGCTAATACGGTCAAGATGATCCTCGACCGCATCACAGATGACGGAAGCACACACACAGGACCTATCATGCCATGGGAGCGTCTCGTTGTCGATCCCGTGACGCATGAGAAGCGCCGTCCAACTTTTACAGAAGACACTGCTTCAGTCGCTTTAGCCGCAGCAGTCGATCTGCGCAAGCTCGAGACAGTGCAGCTTCTCCTGGGACGGCCCAACTGCGTTCCCAGGCCGTGTTTACACAACGACCTGTTGCACCGGGCACTGTTAGACAACAACGACAACGAACACATCGCACTGGCACTCATTGACTGGGACACCTCACTCGTGGACCCTGAACCCGTGCAACGGCGCTCCAGCCCGCTGCTACTGGCTGCGAGGAACGGCAACACAAAGGCCGTCTCCGCGATGCTCGCCAAAGGCACAGACCCCAACACCAAGGACGAGTCCGAGGCCACGGCCCTGACGCTGGCTGTCTACCATAATCATCCCGACCTTGTTCGAGTCCTCCTTGCAGCCGGGGCTAAGACGTCCGATCCAATTCACATCGTGGACCCCGCTGAGCTTAGCGACTATAAGTGGGCTACTCTCACACGGCCTTGCCAGAGGCCCGCAGAGAGTCTTTTCATCCATGCAGCTTCGCACGGATATCTCGAGATCTTCAAGCTGTTGATGCCGCATTTTGAGGCGGACATCACCAAACCCCTGCCCGTGGAGCTGAGGAACCGCGCCAATGCCTTGCAACTTGCTGCTGCGGGTGGTCACTTGGATGTCGTCACGGCTTTGCTTGAGACGAAGAAGTTTGATCTCCACTATAAGGATCTCAAGGGTAAGACTGCTAGGGATTACGCGAACCGCTCAGGTCGGCCTCTGCCCAAGGAGATCCTGCAGCAACTTTCTGTCTCACTTCCTGTTCTCAAATCAAACAGGACATAAAGTCAATAAACCCATAAACAAGGGCGGTCCTGAACACTCTTTTTTCTACACGAGGGACATCCTGCGTTCACTGTCGTTACTGCACTGCACCTACTACGTACTATAATCTACACTCAATCGAATCTTAACAAGAAATCTTATTCAACCTGGTTCTTCTGTAGCCCCATGTAAAAAGGCAGTGACTCCAAGCCGTAGAGATAAACATTTGTCAGCCGGGTTGGAATGTCTGCTCCATATCTCAATATGCCCAGGTGTAATAGGGCTACCCCGTAGAAAGCCCTAAAAGCCCCAGCGCTCACATGCAAAGTCTGGCCCACGCGGATGAGCTATACCTGGAAAGGCTAGCCTGTAACATAGCTGGAGGCGTTATCTATGGTAGGCTAGCAGGTGCCGTTTTTGTTTTCCCTTGACGCGCAGCCGCATATGTGCCTCGCGATCCATGCATTACATGCTGATGCAGAAGAGCAGAGGGGGGAAGGTGCTACGGCGGATCCTGGTGGAGAATGGGCAGCTCTTTGCAAGGTGCAAGCCCTTGCCGGTGTTAAAAGAGTTTAGCTTTAAGCTAGGTCCAAGGAGTACGAGGAGCAGGCCGGGTATAACTTTATTTAACTATATTTATTTACATGGATTTATATTTTTATGCCCTATCCCGTACGCCCAAGTCCCACGCGAACAATCTAAGAAAGAGCTCGGGGTATATGGTATACATGGTACTGTATCCGTGAGAAAGACATCGTGAGAACAAAAGTCAATATAAATTAAGCTGTACTGTGAGTTGGAGAGTCTGACAGCACGCGGAGCATAGCATCACAAGACTTGGTAGAAAGAATATCCATCTGTAAATTCAAAACGAAGGACCTATTCATACAATGGCAGACAAAAGCAGTATTAAATAGAACTGTCCGGTGTTTACTGGGTAGACTTGGCCTCAATTCCTAAGGAACAGCCCGGACCCAACTTCATTCTCACGCATAAAAGAATACTTTGACCAACTCATTTTCAGAGCTTGCGATGCGCCGTTATATTGTAGCAGTATGATTACTGCTGACATAGTATAGCTCGGCAGTGCATGTGGATTGTACTAGGTAGCCTGCTTGGGTTATATTATCAGGAAGAAATCTAGAAGCTGGCAACAAGGTCATCATCGCTGGGTTAGTATTCTGATATCTGCTATAACTATGGTCCACGGGTACTGACAGTTAGAATTAGGTTATTCCCCTATCCAGAGGGCAGGTTATAGGCAATAGTTATTAGTTAAATTATACCTATATTAGCATTGTCCAATAGATATTCTTTATTTAAGGGGTAGAAAGTGGCATGTCTAGTAGTATAAGAACTAGGCCCTTGCATAATTTATAATCTTGTTAAAATATTAAATTTTAATAAGCAAGCTAGGCAGCAAAGCTAGTAACTTTAAAAAAAGATTTAAACTAATTACTTTATTAAGCAATATTAATTTATTTATAGTATAAAAAATTTATTTTAGGTAAAAGTTAATTTTTTTTATTTAATAATACTTGGGTTTTTAATTATAAGCTTTTTTAATATAACCTTCAATATTATATTATTATATTTTTTAGCTTTTTTTATTTTTATCTTACTTTATTTTATCGTAGATTTTTTTAATTTATATAGTATATTATTAATTATTTAGTACTTATAGTAGTTAATTATTAAAAATAGCTTTTTAATAAAAATATTATTTAAATTAAAATTTAAATTATTAAGGCATGGCTTACTTTGCTTAATTTTACTAAATTATAGCTTATTTTTAAAATTCAAGGTATTTTTTATTAAATTAAATTCAGATTAGCTGAGTAATACCCCTTTTCATAATTTAAAGTATTATAATAAATAATAAGTAGCTATTATAAAAGTAATATAATACTTTAAGTTACTATAATTTTATATTAATCTACATGAGAATAGCACTACTCTTTAAATATCGGTTGGGTATCCCTCTGGCAACACGGAATACTTGATTATTATAACATTTATATATATGTTATTATTAGTTTATTATAACATAAAACCTATTACATGCACCCTAATATCCTTTTTACCAAACCCTAATTCCCTAAACCCTTGCTCTAGGTATATAAATATTTACCTTAATATTTATTATAAGCAGATACCCCTTCCCTCCCCAGCACGCCATGTTTCCCCCATTTTAAACAAAATCCGCATTATGCCACAGGAAGGATTCGTCGTAGCCAGACTGTTGTCCAGCATCCGCGTTGTGCTGGGACTTGAGAACGAGTGCCGTGTGTTGAAGAGACTAAATGGACAGTTACGCGTATATATAAAGGCGTCGATAAGATTGGTGAGTTGCTTTCCAGCTGGATTAAGTAATTCGGTGCATGGGAGCTAGAGCATCTTGCTCACGCATTTCAAGAAGATGCAGGGCTGTATATTATGGGTCCGGATCTTATGGTGCATAAATTCCCTGGTGCAGGGGAATGCGGGCCAATGCTTGCACATAAGTACCTAAATGTTTATTCACGGGTTTATGGAGATTAAGAGGAGGATATTGGCTATAAGGACTTCTGCTTGTTAAAAGGCCTTTTATCATGTTTTTCTAGTAATTATTACACCTATAATTAACTTATCTTGCTCTAACAAGCTCTTGCACGGGCAAGATATTGGTTATATCCCGTAGGATAAGCCGCAGGAGCTTCAAGGGGACTTAAATGGTGTAAAGGTAAGGTTATCTTAGGTTTAGATTTGCCCATAATAGTAAAAATGCGGATGGTTTTATAGAGGGGCCTTTTGAACTTGATGATTGTGAGTTACTTCGCTCCGTAGTGGAGTTTTGTTGGATAAGAGGTGGAGATTCCTTGGATCTCCGTGGTAAACTCAGATAACTTTAATTAACTTTAATAATAATAAAAAATTAATCTTTAACTTTGGCCAGATCTCACAACCTAATTAAAAAATAAAATATATAAAAAATAAATATAGCTTAAACTTTGCTATATTTAATTATTAAACTTTTATATTTTTATTTATTTTAAATTTAAAAAAAAATATTTTTTTTATTTACTTCTTAATTTTTATCCTAATTTTATATAACTTATTTTTACTTAAAATATTTATAACTTTAAAAGTTATAAGCCTGGCTTATACTTTACTTTTTTAAATATTATTTATATTATTATTTTTAAAGCTATTTACTATTTTATTTTAAACTTTTAAAAAAAATTTTTAATAATTGTATAAGTTCTTATAAAAAACCTTTAATTTTTACTTATAAATACTTAATTTAATATTATAACCTTAAATAGCTTTAATACCTAGCGCCTATAGTATTAAATTACCAAATTAATAATTCCAAGCCTTATAATATAAAACTATATTTATTTTATAATTAATAATAAAAACCTATTACCTATTTTTATTAGCCTAAAACTAATTTTTAAAAACTTTTGTGTTAATACTTTAAAAAAGATAAATATATTTAAATAAAATATTTTATACTTATAAAATAAAATAAATATTACTTTATTATAAAAAAATATTTAAATAAAAAAAAGTATAAAGCTTTACTTAATATAATAATAGCTTATATAATTTTAATTATATTTAGCTTTTACTAGTAATTTTTATATAGCTAAAAATAATTATATTTATTATTTCAACTTTTTATAAAAGTGCTATACATAATTTAATATTACTTATAAAATAAAAATCAAAATAAAATAAAAAAGCTAGTTATTTACTAAGGCTTTATTATTTAAAAGTAAATTAATAATTAATATAACTACTAGGTTAGTATATTTATTAAAGCTAAAAAGTTTAATATTTTTACTAGTAATTAAAATACTAATACCCTTTAAAACTTTATATATAATATTATAATTATTAATAAAAAGTTTAGTTAAAGGATTTACATGGCTATTTTTTTTAAAAAAAAAAACTTTATTAATATTATCAAAAAGTTTAAAGTATTTTATATACTTTAGGCTATTTATATTATATATAATAAATTTAATAAATAATAATTAATAAATGGCACCTTTACCATGCTTAAAGAAAATAACTTAATAAATAAAATAAAATAAAAATACCAAAAATAACAAGAAATCCAAAAAATAATGAAAATAAAAATAATAAATTAAGGCTAACTTACCTACTATATAACTAGTTATATTTTGTTACTTTTTATTAATATTTTAATATTAAAAAAGCTTTAAAAAACTGGGAGCCATAAAAGAAAATTTTATAAAAATTAAAAAAAAATATATAAAATTTAACTATTAAAAATAAGGTACTTAACACCTTTAAAAATCTAAATTTAATATAATAATATTTATAATTAAAGCTAAAAAAATAACTTTAAAAAACTAAAAAAGGCTATAATAATAATCACCTATTTATTATTTAATAGCTTATAATATAGCCTAGATAAAAGTATTATTATTAACTTTAAGTTTTTATATATATTATTAATAATCTTATTAACATAATTAATATGTAGAATGCCTTTAATGATAACATTATTTTTATTAATAATACTATTAATAAAATTAAAAAGTTTAATATACTTTCTATTTTTTATAAGGGATTAAATAGCTTAAAAAAACTTTTAAATTTTAATAATTATATTTATATTTCTTGCTTTTATATTATTAGTATATCCCTTAATAAAGCCATGTTAATAAATCTATATTTTAATAGCTATAAAAGAACTTTTAAAAACTTTAAAAAAAGACTTTTTTATACTAAAATAATATTATAAATTATATATACCTTACTATAAGAAATTTAATATTAATAATAATAAAAAAATTAAGGCCTTTTATATTATAATAAAAATAAAGATTTAATGCTCCGTAGTTATAAAAATATTATTAAAAAGCTTATAAATTTAATATAAGTATATAGGCTACCTTAATACTAATATAATATTTAAACTTTTAATATTTATTACTAGTATATAAATTGATCCAGCGCCTTAGCTTTTAAATAAAAAATTACTTTATATACCATGTAAACTCTTATAATTTTTAAAGTAAATATTATAAATTAAATTAATTAAAGCAACCCAACCCTTTAAAAAAATTTATTTTAATATTTTTACTTTTAAAGTATCTTAAAATAATATAAAATACGCCTTTTATTTTTTAAATAATATTACTTTAATAAGGTAAATAATATTATATACTAAAAAAATAATTACTAACATGCCATTTAATTATTTAATACTTATGCCTTTAAGTAATTTAGCCTTTATATTTAGTTTTTATATATAAATAATAAAATATCTTAGCTTTTAAATAACTTTAAATTTATTAAGAAATAATAGGGTTTATGCTTTAAAATTATTATTTTAAATATATTTAAATAAAATAGCGTAAGCAAGTAATTTAAAAAAATTATTTTTTAAAAAGTTAAAATACTTTTATTAACTATAAATTTACCCTAAAACTTTATATTTAAAATTTTTAAATTTAAATTACTTACTTATTAATAGCTAAAAATCCCTAACTTTTATAAAATAAAGCTAAAAGCAGCTATGAAATACCTTTATCGATATAAAAAAGCCTATAATATATAAAAAATCTAAAGCCCGCGTAGTAAAGCCATATAATATTTAGTTATTAAAATTAAAAATATAGTATTTAACATGGCAAGAAGTTATAATATAAATAACCTAATTTATATAATTAGTTTAAAATATATAATTTTAGTCTAAATTAATAAAAGAAAACTAGTTAATATATTATTTTTTATTATATTTAACAATAATTTCCCTAAACTTAACAGTTAAAATAAGCCTATTTTTAAACCTAATAATATAAAGATAGGTATAAATAACAAGGTTAAAAAATAAACCTTATACTAAAATTAATAATTAAAATAAAACTATTTTTAACTTACCTAGTAACTTAATATTATATAATAATATATATTAAATAAACTTACTTATTTTTATTACCAGCCTGAGCTTAGCAAGTTTTATAATTAATTAAAGCTTTTAAACTTATAATAATATTAAAACTATTATAATAATACCTAACTAGGGGGTAAAAATAAAAAAAATACTTAATTTTTAAATTAATAATATTAAAGGGCTCCCATAACTAGAAAATAATAATAATAATAATATTAATATTACTTTTCCTTAATAAAACTAACTTAAAGCTATATAAAATTAACTCAAAAAAGGGAAAATATAATACTAATCTTAAACTCTTAATTACGCAGGTTAAATTAAATAAAAAGTTTTAATATAATTACTTATACTAAAAATAAGGATTAAAATTTTTTATAAATAAAAACTACTTAATATAAAAAGAATTATTTTAAAATATTTTATACTAAACTTTTTTACTAGCTAGTAAAAAACCTGACTAAATATTATATTTTTTTAATTTAATAATTTTTAAGCCTTCTAAACTAGTACGCCAGGTATTAAGTAAAGTTATTTATTAAAATTAATCTTAAAAAAATTAAAAAACTAAATAAAACCATTAAAATATTTCTATAAAAATTAGTTTATCAAAGGCGCGAGAGTTAAATTTAATACTTTTAAAAAATTCTATACTTTTAAAATTATATTTATATTAAAAGGCAAGATTATTATATTACTTATATGAATATTTAAATATAAATTTAATACTACTAGCTACCTAAATAAATTTAAGACATGCCTCTATATTAAAAAGAATTTTAACTTATTAATTACGCTAATACTATAATAATAACTTTTATTACTTAATTATTTTAACTTATAATAATATATATTACTTATTTTAACCTTAATATTATTTAATTAAATATCATTAACACCTTTATTTAAAGTTTTATAAATAAAAAAATATATATTAAAATATTACCTGGCCCATGGCGCGTTAAAAATAAAATATTTAAATTAAATTAATTTTTATATAGCCTTAAATAATTACTATATATTTAATAAAAAAGTTAAAAATAAAATATTTAAATTAAATTAATTTTTATATAGCCTTAAATAATTACTATATAGCCTTACCTTTTTATTATAAAGTACCTTATAGTTATTCTTTATTAATAATATACTTATTATAAGTAAGAAATTAGCTAAAGCTAAAAAAGGCTACTAACTTTATTAATTATATAAAGTATATATATAAATTATAAGATTTTGATAAAGTAAAGTGGTTTCTAAATATTAAAATTATTTATAATTATTATAATTAAAAAATCTAATTACTTTAAATCTTTTATATTAATAATTTATAGGTTAAATATAAACTTATAACACCAAGTAAAATATAAAAAATATTTTTATTTATTAAAAAATAATATTTATGCCTTTAAATTATATACTTATAAAGTAAAATATTTTTTTATATTAATAACTTATTAGCTTATTTTTTTATTTTATTATAATAATATGCTTTAATATATTTAAAGTAACTAGTAAGCTTGCTTAATATATAATATAACTTATTAAAACTTATATCAAAGTAATTAAGTATACTATTTAATACTCTATTATTAGAAAAAACCTAAAAATTAAATACTAAGCTAATATTAAAAAAATATTATTATAGCCTTTAATACCTTTTTTGATAATGATTTTAATTAATATAGTTTTAATAAATAGCCTATAAAATTATTTAAAGGTTTAATTAACTAAAACACTTATAAGTAAAAAATAATAATAACTTTTATTATTAAAGCTAAATTATTTATTATTACCAAGAAAGTAAAAAACCTTATATAATAAAAAAACCTTTTAATATTATTAAGTTTAATCTAAAGATTAAATTACGCCTTTTTTATAATAATAATTAAGTTTTATAATTACTTAACTTTAATAACCTTATGTTTATTATATAACTTTATTATATTAATATTTATTATTACTAGCTATATAAAAGGTATTAAAATAAAAAAAATTAAAGTTAATTAAATAAAAATAAAAAATTAATTAATAAATAATCTTATTAAACTTTTCAATAGCCCGCGTTATAAAATCCTTATTTACTAACTTAATTTTATTTAAATTAAAGCTATTTTTTATATTTAATACTATTATTTTTATTTTTTTAAGCGCTAGGGGGTATATTAAATAAAAGGTAAAAAAGTTTTAGAATTTTTATAATAAACTTAATAAAATAACTTTAATTAATTTTAATAATAAAAAAAATTAACCTTTAACTTTGGCTAGATTTTATAACCAAATTAAAAAATAAAAAAAATATAGGTTAGACTCTCCTGTATCTAGCTATTAAACTTTTATATTTTTATTTATCTTAAATTTAAAAAAAAATCTTATGTTTTATTTACCCCTTAATTCTTATCCCAATCTTAAATAACCTATTTCTGCCTGAGGCATCCATAACTCCAAAAAGTTCCGTTGTATTCATTCCGCAACCATACTCCTGTCACTGTGGGTTGGCTATTCGAGTCAGGCACAGATTCTAAACGCGCCTCGTGGATTACGCTTGGTGGATACGTAGTTCAAAGTCAAGGTCAAGTGATAAGGCCATCATTTGAGACCCATGAATTAACGGGCCTAATGTCGGAACCATTAACAAAAGCGCTATACTTTGCTCTGAGAGGACGCCAGGAACCGGATCTGGGTATGACTGGAGCGTTTAAAGCGCGCAACAAGCTCGCTATATATGTGGCCCAGAGGTTCCATGGTTTCAGGGGCTGGTATCCATCTTATGGTTGCTGGGACAGCTCCGAGAATGGTACGTACGAGGCTCAAATACCTAGCCCTATGCGGGCCGCAGAGCCTCGTTTTATACTTGCGGAACTTCCGCAGCCATGGTTCCCCGGTCGAATCTGCCGAACTATAGGTATAGGGACACAAGATTGGTCTGTGCTTAAGGCGCAAGTTAATCACCAGGTTTAGAAGAAAGAGCCTACATGAAGAAGAGAAAAAGACCTTGCTTTGCTTTCCGCTGGGGGGCTGGTTCTTAGAAAATGTCCCCATGCAATGAGATCACAAATGTCTTGACTCAGTTAACGTGACCTTTCCCTAAGAATAAGATTCACGAAGTATAAAAAAGTAAGGACAAGTGACCGAAGCATCAAACGTATTGAAAACTAATGTTCTTTAAACAAAGGTGAGCGCAAGCTCTCTTACGAGGGATGAGGACATTTATTTAAGCAAAAAACATGAGTGCATAATTAGGGTGACGCGAAACTCGCGGACTAACTAGATAGGAGACAACAAGCAAAAGAGAAAAGAAAAATCATGGGCGAAAAACGATGAAGAAAACCCCCTGCGGCCAGAGAGCTGTTAGCAGTTACTTGGAGATCCCGGCAACGCGTTTGGCGCTCCCTGAAGATGTAGGTGATAGTTTCGCCGCGAGATAGGGAGCGAGGCCACGGCGCGCTTTAGCATAGTCATAAGCAGTCTTGCCACTTCTATCCTTATACTTCAAGTCAAACTTGCTTGTTTCAAGCAAGACATTAATAAGGCCCCGATAGCCCGCTTTAGCAGCCAACTGCAGTGCATTCAAGCCACTATCCTGCTGGGTCTGAGTAATATCAGAGTAAGGAATCAGCACCTTTACCAACTCCAAGCGCCCATTGCGGACCGCGTACAGAAACATACTTTCGCGCGAGATAGGTGCGCTCCCTTGGCGTCCAGCTGGGCGGCGCTCATACGCCCTCATCTCGACATGGCTGGCAAAATGCATCGGGTCGGATGACGACGCGCCCGCATGCAAAAGCCAGCGAACAATGTCCGGCTGATTCCCTTCGACGGCGAGTGTCAACGCGGTAGCACCCAGCGTCGATTTGGCCTTGAGATCCACGCCCCGGCGTAGCAGTGCCTGCACGGCTTTGCGGCGGTTGTTCGCGACGGCGACCATCAGGGCCGTGTATCTGCCGTCTTTGGAAGGACCGCAGGATGCGCCCCATTCCATGAGCTCCAGGGCGAGGTCTTCGTTGTGGAGCAATGTGTCGCTCACGATGGACGCGGCGCAGAACGCTGGCTGCGCGAGCGAGGTGTATGACAGGATAACGCGGGTTGTATCCCTCTTTCCTAAACGCACGGCGGTAGATAGAGCAAATGTAGCTGCGTCTTGCGCGCGTGTCGGACGTGGGCTTTTGAAGCGCGACACTGGTGCGCGCTCGTTGGCCGAGAGGGCATCTAGTAGCTGCGCAACTATGGCCGGGGATGCGAGTTCGACGGCCGTGGCCAGAAGCGTCTTCGGGGATGAACCAAGCCGGCCGGTTAACTCGGACTCACAATGTGGCAGCAACAGACGGACTCTTTCTTTCTTGCCCTGCATGATGGCTATATGCAGTGCGCTACGGGTATACCAGTCCCTATGGCTGAAGCAGGAAACGTGATGGACGAGCAGCGCGATTGCTTTGTCCTGCCCTGCCCTCGTCGCCGCAATGAGCGCCGTGGTGCCATTGATGATGCAGTTCACGTGCACATCACCGCGTCGGAGAAGTTCGCGGAGGAATGGTAGATCTCCCACTGCTGCCGCGGCGCAGAAGAGAACGTCCGGGTCGGTGTAGTCCTCGGGAGATGCGCGCGCTTTCCAAAGGGACAGGAAACGGGGGAAGTATGGAACATGGTGCCCCGCCATAGGAAGTTTATGTCGCATGAATTTGAGCGCAGCAGCGTTGTCCCACGGGGAACCTGCATCGAGCAGACACTCGATGGCTTGCAAAGGGTTCCCCATGGAATCCATCGCTGCCGCGATGGGCAGGCGACCATCGGAGCACCTGATGCCAGGGTCAGCGCCATGCGCGAGCAAAGCCCGTTCTGTGCGGAACGACCGGGAGCCCTGGTAAATGGCGTGTTCCAGCGGCGTCTTGCCGCCAGCGTCTCTCCCATTCGGGTCAAGCCCAAGCCTTACAAGCAGTTCGGCGTAAGAGGCCGCGGCCAAATCGGTTCTCTTGCATGTGCGGTGCAGGAAGTTCAGTCCATCCTGATCCACCTGCCGGATGTTGAGGCCGTGTTCAATGAGAAGCCGAGCGGTACTAACCCAGCGTTGCGGGTCCGGCTCGCCCTCGCATACCTGGACCTCTGTGAAGTCTCTGCAGAACAGTGTGTAGTCCCGGTGGAAGCTCGGGTCGTCTAACGTTGCGCCCGCATCGAACAACGCCTTCATAATCTCGGGTTGGCCATATTTATAAGCCAATTCGACTATGGGGGTAGATTCGAGCCGGTATTTGGGGGAAACGCCAAGATCGAGTAAGGCTTTGAGGATATTGAGATGGCCTTCACGGCAGGCCAGGTGCAGAGCGTCTGTGGCAAGGTCAAGATCCTTTTGGATTGCAACTTGCTGCTGGTAGCGCTGGAGCACTTGCATCACTGGCTTTGGGCAATTCTTCCCGTCAGCCCACTTGAAGACATGCTGGTTTATTTCATCGGGCGAAAGGCGGCCATATAACATCAGCTGGCCTATGCGGTTGGCCTCGTTTGAAGTGCGCGAGAACCGGACAAGATCTCCTTTTGGGAGCTCGCTTGCAACTGCAATCACCAGCTCCTCTGGGAGGTCAAAAAGGCGAAAGGTAGCCATGTTGAGTGCCAGTCCAAGCCGGATATCGATGAGTAGGTAGTGGTAGTAATGCTTGAAGTGTCAGCACTCAGAATTCAGCGTTCCTAGGGGTCGATGAGAAAGTGGATTTTCCTGGAGGCTGGGCTGTTATTTATGCCAAAGGTGCCCTTTGTTTCGTAGGAGTACAATAAAGCTTTGTTCTGCACTTCCATGTTCAAACTAGAGCACGGACAAAGGGCACAAAGCAATCTTCGAGACAAAGCAATACAACAGTCCAGGGAACAGAGGGAATTTCAGTAGATCTGGGTTCCAGACATCACCGTTGCTAGCACGCAAAACGCAGCATTCACAACAAGCAAGCGGGCCCTTCACACCGTGCGGCACCTCTATTGCCTTCAACCTCAACAGGAGAGAACGAATAGGGTTATATCATTAGGAGGCACCCTCATCCCAATCTGTCACCTTGTTCCTAGGAGCTTTCCAACCCCAAGATTCGTAAGGTACCGAGCACACAGACAGGGATTGACCATTTTGCGTAGGTAGGCGGGCATTGCTGCCACAGAACACTCGCTGGAGTGAAGAGAAACGAGAGGCAAAGGAGAAATTTTATCGTCTTGTTACAACGTCCCATCATGGTATGTTGTGCCTTGATCATCCAGATTCAACCATACCATTACCATCTAGGCGGAGGGGGTGTTTTAATAATGCTTCGATAACTATATTAGCTCTTGATACAGTTATGGTACAGTATAATAGATCTTTCCTGTTTAAGAGGAAAGGATTGTGCTTTTCCCTACATATTTATGGATTGACAAGCTAACGCTAAATCGAATGTTCATTGTTACCTAAAGTGTTGACTAAAACCTGAAAATGTCTAGGCGAAACGCTTACGACATATACTACGGAAAAGAAAATCTGGGAGGGAAGACATAGGTAGTATGTATTAGATATTCGGTAACGACTGCAGAAGGTAGGTAAGTAAAACAGACAATGACTCAAAAATCAGAAGTGGACAGCAACTGTAGCATGCTTGGAGTGCATGCTCACGGCTTGGTGACATCAAAGTAAGGCCTCAGGATGTCCACGATCTCCGCATACCCATGGCGGGCTGCATAGAGGAAGACGGTATCCCTCTGACAAGAGCCAGACCCAGGCCTATCCCTATCCTCAACCATGTCATCGTAGTTAGCAAAATGCATTAGTTCAGACGCCCTTGCACCAGCCGCAAGAAGGCGCCGCACACATTCAGGCTGGTTATGTGAGACCGCCAGGGTCAGCGCCGTCTCATGGGTACCGGTTCTGGCGTCAAGAGGCGCGCCTTTGCCCAGCAGCGCCGAGAGCGCGCGTACGTTGCCGTGCAATGAGGCGCGCATTAGGGGCGTATAGCTGCCGGGCTGGGGATCCTTGTATTCGGCGCCCCAGTCGAGCAGCTTCAGTGCGATATCGTCATTCTTTCCGCCGCCTAATGCGGTGCATAGGATGGCGGGGCAGAAGCTGGGCTTGATGAGGTCGGTACGTAAGAGGAGCACTTGGACTGTGTCGAGCTTGCCTAGTTGGATGGCGACTTCCAAGGCGGCTGTGGCTTCCTGCTGTGCTGGGGTTGGTTCTTGTAGGTGGGACTGGGGCTGGCTCGAGGACAGTTTGTCGAGGATCATGGCGACGAGGTCCGGCGATAGGTTGTTGACTGCGTCGATGAGAGGACTCAATAGGGGGGCTTTCGGGCTGGTCCATGTGATATGAGGCAGCAGCACGCGAATGGCTTCCTCCGATTGGTGCTGCAAAGCAATCCTAAAAGCAGTACGACCCCCGGAGTCTTCGTAGTCAAAGCAGGAAACGTGCTGAACGAGCAATTCGATTGCGGCGACGTTGTTATGTTCAGCAGCTGCCATGAGCGCTGTCGTGCCGTCGAAGTTGCAGTTGGGATCAACCTCTCCTACCTGGAGGAGTCCGCGGAGCATGGGAACGTTTCCCACCGTCGCAGCAGCGTAGAATAGCAGTTCTGGTTCGCTGCAGTCCCAGCCCGTGGAAACTTGTGTATTCCACGATTCCAAAACAAGAGCCAGAGAACGTGTCCATTGGTTTGTGAGTGCTTCGAGGACCAGCCATACGCCCCATTGCTCATTAAAACCGGCTCCTGCGTCCAATAGGCATTTGGCCATCTCATGGGGATCACAAGAGGCGTGGCGGCGGTTGATGGCCATAGCCAGCGGTGGCTGGTTGAGAACAGACCGCACATGAACATCTGCGCCGTGGGAGAGCAGGAATTCAACAATCCCGGGCAAGCCAGACCTGACTGCCGGGACCAGTGGCGTTTCGTCATTCGTGTTTCGCACATTGACGTCGAGGCCGAGTTGGAGGAGAAGCTCGAGATTGTGCAAGGTGGCTGCAGCACCGGGGGTTCCCCTACATGCATGATGCAAGAAGCCCTCTCCACCTCTCTGTTGGTGAAGGTCGAATCCGTGGCTGAGTAGCATTTGGCCCGTCGCCAGACGGCCTGGCTTGCCTGTACAGAGCAGCATATAGTTTCTGGCAAAGTGCGATGTCAGCTTCGCACCGGCATCGTATAGAACCTGCATGATTGCTGGATGGCCATGCGTCGCGGCCACTTCGAGCGGCCAATATTGATTGCATTTGGTGTTTGGGGGGATGCCGGCGTCTAACAATGCCTTCATCAGATCGACATGGCCCTCCTCGCAGGCTAGGCTTAGGGCATCGGCTGCAAGCTTGGGGTTCTTCTGCAGTTCAACTTGTTGGCGATGACGATCGAGCACGTGGAAGATCGGCTCCAGCTGATTCTTTTGTTTAGCCCATTTGAAGACACGCTTGATGCCCTCATGGGACAATCTATCGTATAAGGCTAGCTGACCGATGCGGCGGGACTCTTGTGAAGTACGAGAGAACCTGGCCAAGTCCCTATCCCGGCACTGGTCCGCGACCAAGAGGACGAGCTCCTCCGGGAGTTCGTAAAGTTGGAAGGTAGACATGGTGAACAACACAGGTGCAAGTGTGGTTTGTAGGTAGGTTCTGTGGAGGACGAACGGGAGAGCTGTACCTAGAATAGTATTCCGAGACTCTGAATGAAGCCGTCGAATCTAGATGCTGAGTATGGACGTTTTCTCAGGTGACGAGACTCTTATTTATGCCCGAGTATGCCTTTGTTGCAGGGGTCCCTTTGAGAAGACGACCATAAGGGGTGATTTCGAGTAACCCATAATTGCAGGGATCCCTTTGAGCAGCCTGAAAAGCGACAATGAGTTTGTTGTTGTGCGCTTCTTTGTTCTGAGTGCAATTAGGGGGGATAAAGAGCCGGTCCAATACAAAGAACTGAACAATGAGAAGGAATCGTCGGGAATGTGTCTCCAGAAGTCGAAGTTGCCGTTCAAGTAGAGATATTCAAGAGTCTGGATAGACAAAGCAGAGCGTACTTCCTTCGTACCCTGAAATTCAACAAGCAGGCCGACAATTTGTAATGCATAGCGATGGGGCAGTTTAGCAGCCCTGAGCTGGATGTGGTGCACTCAGGTAGGCCCTGCATTTGGCCTAAATGCGTGGGTTATGCGCCGTAGGGACTTGCTGGTGTGGAACAGAAAGAAAAGTCAGAAGAGAAGTCAAGAATGAATGGCTGCCCAGCCCAATAAATAGTAGTAGCATGTATCAGCGGACACACCGGGGCCACCAGAATATGATTTTAAAACTAGGGGTAAACAGAAATACGAGAAATCAGGCGAAGTGAAAAATGATATAAAAACAGTCAATTTGCATTAAAATCAAAGTCTAAATTCAGTGTAGCAAAGCAACTCAACACAAGTCAGATCGGTCTGGCGGGGGGCAAAGCCTCTTCAGGAGATCCTCCGGAAAGCCAGGGTGGCTGTAAGCATAGCAGAAAGCCCGCTTATGTTGCGTGTCCTCATACTTCAAGTCAAACCTGCCAGTGTCAAGCAGAAGACGGACAAGTTCAACGTGGCCCCCTTCAGCGGCGAGTTGCAACGCATTCCGGCGGGCCGGATTTGTCGTCGTGTCAGTGATGTCCGCGTAAGGCATGAGGATCTTGACGATCTCGACCATCCCATGCCGGACAGCAAATGTAAAGGCGCTGTAGCTGCTGGAAGAGACAGGGGCATCACCGGCGTCGTCCCGATTGGGGAATGGGCGATCATGCATTCGCTGGGATGGCTTCGCACCATTCTCTACAAGACACCGAACGACATCTGGCCTGTTCGCTTCAACAGCAAGTGATAGCGCCGTTTCACCCCAGGATGCTTCGTCATTGGGCTTTGCGCCCTTGTCCAGCATCGCCGCGACGCTTTTCGCACAGCCCGCCTGCGCCGCCATCATCAGGGGTGAAACCAGCCCGGCGCGGGGGGGAGCGACGCAGAGGCCCGCGTGGACAAGGGCAACAAGGATGTCGTCTTCGTGGGGCAATGCGTCCAGGAGAAGCTCGTCGTCGATCCCCCACTTTATGACGTCCGCGCGCTGGAGCAGCATTTGGACCGTCTCGAGCCGGCCCCCTTGTATGGCGCTGCGTAGCGCCGTCGCGGCGGCGAATTCATTGCGCGTCCTGTGGTGTCGGTCGAACGGGAATAATTCTTGACCTGCCGGCGTCTGGCAAGCTGGGTCCAGGAGACGGTCCAGGAGCATGGCGACGATGGCCGGTGGCCCGTATATGGCTGCGTCGCGGAGGGGGGTGCGGCGCGCTCTGTCGGGTTTGATGAGGATTGAGGTCTGCGGGATGAGGAGACGAGCGAGTTCGTAGTGCTCTAGGCACACTGCCTGATGCAGGGCGGTGCGCTGATGGCGGTTCAGCTGGTCGAAGTTGGACACGCGGGGGATCAGGAACTTGGCTGTTTCGATGTGGCCGTTTGTCACCGCGGCGATGAGCGGGGTGGTCCCGCCTATGTCGGTGTCTGGGTCCACGCCCTGCTCCAGGAGCTCGACGAGAGACGTGATGTCTCCCAGGGCGGCGGCGTAGCACAGCATATCCTCTGCGGGAGGGAAGCACCGGAGTTTGGCGGACCAGTTTTTGTACAACAGCATCAGGCTGCTGCGGGGGTTGCTAGCTAGATCGGGAAACTCGGCTTTGACGGTGTCCAGCAGTAAGGCGAGTGTACGAGTGTGCTCGTTTATACAGGCCTGACGTAGAAGCTGGAGACGTGGCTTCCCCTTAACAGTGGCACCTCCATCCAGGAGACACTTGACTATCTCAACGGGGTCATACTTCGAGTCGGCAAGCGCTAATTCCAGGGGCGTCAGCCCATCAGAAGAGGGTTTGTTAACATCGAACCCAAGTTGAATAAGGAGCTGGATTTTCAGGGCACGGTACGCTGGTCCTCCGTATTTGTCTCTGCATGTGTGCTGCAAGAAGTTGTCATCGTGGGGGCCTAGTTCGTTAATATCAAATCCATGCTTGATAAGGTCACGGGCCACCTCCAGCGCATCGGGCTTTTCGTCTAAGAGTATCACATAGTTGTTGGGAAACCGCAGCGAACCAAGCTTTCCCCCCGCGGATGATAAAATGCTCATTATCTTCCTCTGGCCATGCATCGCAGCCACTTCAAGAGGCCGATAACCGGAGTGAGGGCTGGCAGTATTTGCGTTTGGCGAGACTCCAAGGTCTAGCAGGGCCTTGAGCAGAAAGGCATAGCCATGGGTGCAAGCCAAATGCAGCGCGTTACAGGCCAAGTCTGGGTTTGCCGAAATTGCACGTTCATTGCGTTGAATAAGCATGAGCATGGTATTTGGTTGGTTGTGTTCATCAGCCCATTCAGAGACCGCTTTGATGTCTTTCTCTGGCAACCTGTAGAGCATGAGCCGGCCCAGACGGTTAGAGTCTTTTGAACACCGGCAAAACTTGGCCAGATTCCTGTTGTCCATGTGACTGGTAGCCTGGATCACAAGCTCCTCTGGGAGGTCGAAAAGACGGAAGGTAGCCATGTTGATAACCAGTGAGTGTACTCGGTTTATAAAAGTTCTGAAAGTCGAAACGCAGATGTCCCGAAAATAAATGCTCCACTGTAAAAGTAATCATGTCTTGCTGTGGGTAAACGACGTTATTTATGCGCAAGCAACCCTTGGCTGCTAACTGAGATTTGTGGTGGGAGGATTTAAGGGGACAAGGAAGTCATTGTTGTACGTAGTGGACTTATTGACGCTGTTTCATTTCTTTATTCCCGGACAAAGAGTCAGGTAGGAGAGATCCTGTGGCACGAAGACCATGAGTGACAACGGCAACATGACAGACCGATAAACATTAGAGCGTCCACGTAGATATAGCCGAAGGCGTCACATTGCAGATTTCCTTGAGTTGCAGGTTGTCGCATGGCCAGCTAGAGGCGCAAAGGCATCATAGTCTTAACGTCTAGCTAGAGTGTACCTATCCCATATTCAGAGAATAGTGATATTCTCACGCAGATTAGCGTACGATCATAGTAATCAAACTGTTATGATATTCCTATAGTGCCTGTATATTATTTACTGAAGTATACCATATAGCAGAAAGGCTACCACTAAGCGAGTTTAGATTTTAGATTTTAATTTAGTAAGATTAAGCAAAGCAGGCCATGCCTTAATGGTCTAGATTCCAGTTTAGACAGTAGGTATCCTTGCTGGGAGGCTACCTATACTAACCCAGCGATGATGACCTTGTTGCCATGTAATATGGGCACCGCATAGCCAGCTTTTGGGTTTCCCCCTGACAATACAACGCATGTAAATGAAAATGATTAAATCAAGTAATATATAGCCTGCTACGCCTCCTCCCTTGGCCCCAGCTCAAAACTGAACTCCCCCAGCAGCGGCGGAACCTTCCACCTCCCAAAGAGCTGCCCGTTCTCACCCAAGATCTGCCGTAGGACCTTCTTCCTCTCCGCTGCATCAGGCCATACCCCCTCCCATCCGCTCACGTATGGCTCCACGACCCTCAAAGCCTCCCTCAACCACCTCCCTACCCTGTCCTCTCCAATCCTCCCCGTCTTCGCCATCCCCCTCTCCAGCTCCTCTAGGAAAGCTTCCCTCTCCCGACCCGTCTCAACCGCAGCCCGCATCGCCCCCAGCAACACATGCGACCGCACTGCAAGATCCAACTCACCCACCTCCGCCACCACCCCCACCGTCTCCTCCACCGCAACCGCTGCCAAAAACTCCACCTCCTCCTCACTCCCAACCTCCCCCTCCCACCCCCTGCACCACGCATACATCCCTACCCCGCCATCCGGCTCCCCACACCACATCACCTCACTCTTCCACCCGCCATCCACATCCGGCTCGACAACCCCCCTCCCCGTCCCCGCGCCACTCTCCTTCCACAGCTGCGCCGAGTACTTCCCCTCCCACGCGTACACATCATACGCCCCCTGCGCAACCGATATCCCGAAGCTGTTCGGCTCCCACGCTTCCCGGGATCCCGCGGGCGCCTTGGCTGAGTCAAACCTTCCAGACCCGAGCCCCATGTACTCAAGCCAGAAGCGGGCCTGCGTCTCCGAGTACGGCAGCACACTCGGGTGCGAAGTACGCAAGCGCGCGATGGTCGTCTCCAGCGTGCCGAGGGCTATGTCTGTGAAAGTCGCGAGCGGGAGAGCGGGCTGCCTACGACGCGTACGCGCGACCGTGGAAGCCCAACGAGGAAGTTTCGTGGCGTGGGCCGGGGGTCGGTGGCGCGGGAGACTCAGCGGGGAGTCGGAGTCCGGTAGGTCTTGGAGGTTAGGGAGGCGGTAGAAGCGCGCTGTTGTGGGCTGGGTGAGGAATGACGTCGAGTAGTAAGTGCGCCATGCGGAGGGGTGGAGGAGGGCATAATGTGTTGTGTAGAAGGACTGGAAGTCATCGGGGGATGGGAAGTCGCCCTCGAGTTGGGAGGAGGAGCGGTAGATGGCTGCTGCGAGCTGGGCGAGGTAGAAGATATCCAGGGTGCTGTGGTATCAGCCATTGTAGGACGGTAGTGTCGGATTGGATGATGACTTACCGATTGAATCTCAATTCGCCCTCGCCAAACGACCATCCGTGCGCGTGCAGCTTCTCGACAACGTCGAATACGCCGTTGCCATCCCACAGCCCCTCATCCAGATAAATAAATGCGATCCGCAGCACTTTCTCGTGGCAGTCCACCGGCACCAGGCCGCTTTCGACGTCAGCAATGAACTCTTCAGCGCTCATGGCGACCCTCTTTACAGCGAATGATGGCAAAATCTCAATGCAAACGTCAGAATGTTGCTGGTTGCGTGGAGTCAGGATGGATGGATTGAAGCAATCTGTACTACCATGTGCTTGGTAAGGCAGCGAGTACCGTACCGTAATGTTACCGCTAGCCCCTTCTGGCATAGCTCGCTCACATGACTGCTGACCATGAGAAAAACAATTCCGCCTTCATGTCAGACCAATTTCTATATTCAATTTCTAGAAAGACTTCCATCCACGTGGTCGGAACTGGCAGTGGCCATTATCCATTCTTTCCCACTGTGCTACGATACTGCAGGCTACGCACAAGACCCAAAAGCCCCCTGGCATCCCATCCCACAATAAGCATTCGAGGCCCCGCAATATCCATACTCAGAGCAGCAGTCGCCAAACCCGGAGCCCTCGCACCCCGCACCAACCGGGTCGCTCATCTGGCTGCACAACCCATCAACAGACACCGGCGGCCCGGTGGCCGGAGAACAGGCACCAAAAGCAGCCTGGCACCCCGTCCCGCAATACGCGGCCGTGTCCCCGCAGTAGCCGCTTCGAGAGCAGCAGGCGCCAAAGGACCCGGACGCGCCGGGGCAGGTTTGGGCGCCGTTCGCGGCGCCACAGAGACCGGCCGTCGAGGGATTCGAGGGGCTGGGGCTTGATGGGGTCGAGGCTGTGGTGGACCCCGACGTTGACACTCCATTTGAGCCTAGGACGATCTCCGTGGTGTATGTTGATTTTGAAGTTTGCTTGATGGTGGTCGTGAACGTCTCCGTGTTGCCGGGGCCCCACGGCTGCGGCGTGTACAGCGCCGCGGTCTCGGTGCGCGTGATGCTCTGCGTGACTGGCGGGCGGCTTGGGAGACTGGCCGTCTCACTGGTGATGGTGAGCTGGCGCCTGCGCGGCGGCGGCGGTGGTGGCGGATCAATCCCCACGGCTGGGGATCGCTTCCCGATGATGGGGAAATCAAAGCCTTCGAATCTACAGGACAGCTTGGGACCGCCGGCGGATACGATGGCGCGCTCGACGCAGCCGGACTTCATGAGCAAGGGCAGGTTGAACCAGACGCGTGAGAGGTGCGTCGGGGTGCGCTCGACCCAGTCCCAGCCCGTCAGGGCGCCGCAGCCCTTCTCTTCGGATTTCAGCCTCGACCCGCCGTCCGTGCTCCAGCCGTCGATGTTGTATACTTCGAAGATGTAGAAGAACTTGGTGGCCCTGGCTACTGTCAGCTTACTGCCCACGTCCGCTGCTCAATTGCTTGCGCAGGTATGGTAGGGGAGCAGCAATGGATAATACCCCGACATACCAATAACCGCAGTCGGCCCGCGCGGTGGGCGGCACCACCACCGTCACCGTCTTGGTCGGCGTGTTCGTCACGGTCACGGTCTTGATCACCGTGAGAGTCTCCGTCAAACCAAACTGTGTCTTGGTAAATGTTGATCCATCGTAGCCGGCCGGATTCGTCGGCGCGAAGGCTAGGGGAATCTGCTCCCCGTCTATAACGGTCTGGTCAGCTGCCTGCTCAACGGACAGCGCCTTTGAGACATCCGGGTCCACCGAGCACTGCGGGCTGCCGGGCGTCGTTGTCACTGTTGTGTCCTGTCCGTTGCATGCCGTGCTTGTCACGCAGTTGGTCTGGTCATGTTAGCCTTCGCTCTCCCTCGATCTACCTGCGGTAGGTTAACTCACCTCTGTTGTTGTCGACGACGAAGCCAGATACCAGGCACTGTAACTCGATACCAGATACGTGCACGCCGATGCCGCGGCGGGGACGTCGCACTCGTTGGCGCTATCGCCGCCGTTGGAACCCTGTGTGTTTCCGCAGCCTCCTGCAACGAGACAGCCGACGCCGCCGCAGGATGCGAGGGGGCAGTCGGGGACGCAGCCGAGGATACCACATCCGCCGCCGCAGCCGAAGATGCTGCAGCCGCCGGCGCATCCGAAAAGGCCGCAGCCACCGGCGCACCCGAAGATGCTGCAGTCGCGCTTTCCGCACCCGGGCTGCGTGCAGGGAGGAATGGGGTTGGGACCGGACTTGATGGGGAAGGGGGCTAGTGGGATTGGGGGGATGGGATAGGCGACCGAGAAGGTTGGCTGGGGTTGGATGATGACTGGGACAGGTATCGGGTAGAAGATGACGGGGGGGATGATGGGGAGTGGTATATCCGGGTTTGTTGAAGTCATTGGTGTTGGACTAGTGACGGGGAAGGTGGCGTGGTTTGGAGGAAGAGTCCATACGAACGATGCCGGAGTGATGCTCTGGACCGGGTTAACCTTGTAGTCTGCCGTGTCTGTTGATTGCAGTGTCACCGGGTGAAGGCTTACATCCGTGATGGTGAAGCTTGGGACCGGGATCGTCGTGGTCTTCACGTAGACGCCGCCGCCTACGTGCGAAGAAAGGAGCGTGGTTGTCAAGGCCGGCCAGCTGGTAACAGTGTGAGTGACACCGAGTGGATATGGAGGGAGGACTACGATGCAGGGGGGAGTACAGCCCGTCGACCGATCGGTGGACTTCCAGATGCTCGGGGGAGGATACACGATGTTTGCGTCTGGCCCAGCCGCAATGGTATCGCCGCCGAAGCCATTCAAATCAACAGCCCAATCGATCACTCCACCCATCCGGAGGCCCTGGTACAGCGCCTTCCGATCTGCCTTGACCTTGTCGTCCATATAGCCAACCCACTGCGTGGACTCGTACACCGCAACGTTCGACTGGCTGTCGGTGTCGAAATACGACGAGTACGACCCGATCCGCTGCAGAGCGCCCGATGCAGCTCTCCACGCCCCGGTCCCAGCAAGGATCGCACTGATCTCGGCATTCGCGATGTAGCCCGCGGTTCCCGTGCATGGGCCGGCATAGGCGCCCGAACCGCCGCCGGTGTATGTGCACATGGGCCCGGTGCAGCCGGGGGTTGTCATCTGGAACGAGCGGCCGTAGCTCGTGACGCCGACGGCGATCTTGCTCGACGGCACGCCGGCCTTGGTGATCATCGCCAGCGCCAGGAGGGTCTCGGTGATGTTGGTCTGCGAACGCAGGCAGTTGCCCGCTGGGCAGCCGTCGATCGCGTACTGGTTCGCGTAGTCCCACTGGCCGTGGAGATCGTAGGTCATGTACACGATGTAATCGGCCAGGGCTGCCATCTCGCGGATGTGGTAGCCTCGCAGGTACCAGTACGAAGCGGGCGCGCAGAACGAGAGCGACTTGCTGGAAGGCATCGCTGCTCGCAGTTTGGTGAAGAAGGTGAGGTAGTTGTCTGCATCTTCGGCAGTTCCTATGGTAATCTTCAATTCAGGGTTCCTCCAGACTTGTGAGAGGCAGGTCACGTACCTGGTGGAATGCCGGGGATGTCTGGCGCAGCAGGGTCTACGGCCAGGTTAAGTCCGTTCCTTGTTATTAGCGCCTAGGGCCAACTTACATTCCCAGTCTATGTCAATGCCGTCCAGGCCATGCTCGCCTACAAACGAGACAATGTTCGCGACAAACCTATCCTGATTGCCCGGTCTGACGGCGTCGCGGAAAATGTGGTACGTAGCCGGTTCGGTGGAGAAGCTCCAGCCCCCGAGCGAGAGGATCTTCTTGAACCCAGACAACTGCTTGAACAGCTCCCACTGGACTTGGACTGGGCTGACGTCGACGGTGTAGCTCGCGGAGACGTGGCCGAATGCCAGATGGATGTGCGTGAAGGGCGTGAGGTCCATGGCGGTGATCTTCATGTTCAGGCAGGGCCGCCCGAGGTTGTAGCCTTCGAAGTAGCCGATGCTGATATACTGGGCTGGTGCAGACCCGGTGACGATGTTGGTGCCGCAGTTGGAGATGCAGCCGTTCTGGCCTGGGGCTGACGTGCCCGGTGCACCTGTCGCCGACTTGGATTCGGTGCAGAAGTCGCGGTTGATACCGCACTGGCCGTGCTTGTTCTAGAGAGGGTTAGCAAGTTCCCTTCACACCCTCGGAGATGGCATACACAGCACGCATTGAGCGGGCAAGGATTCAAGCTGGCCAGACTCGTGCCCGGTCCTGGCTGCTGCGTGCCTGGCTTCTGCGGTCCGCAGACGGCATTCGCAATTGGCGCCGGCATGGGCGGCGCACCCCTGCTCAGGCAGATATACTGAAACGCCTGCAGATTCACGCAGCCCTCCCAGCTCCACGTATCTTTATTGAAGCTTTCGATCTCGGCGTTCGTAAGGCTGTTCGCTGCGCCGAGGGCCGCGCAGTTCTCGCCGGGCTGCACGTAGTGCGCCGCGCAGGTTCCGTCGGGGTTCGGCTGCGGGCGGAAGTCGGGCAACGTGCCGGCAGAGCAGCAGACGTGCTGGCCTACCATGAGGGTGGAGCAGAGGGTGCTGGCGGGGTTGTAGACGGTGAAGTCGTGGGGGGAGACGCCGCACTCGGCTGCTAACGATTCGCCTACACATGGTATTAGTGGCTGGCGATTGGGAGATTTGCTACTCAGATTACTCACAGGTATCGCCGGCGACAACCTGGATAGTCCAACACGGGGCTCGTCCATTCAACATGTTTAAAGACCGGCAGTGCTGTTACTGACCAGACTCGGCACCGACAATGGGATGTCTAGCCAATCTTCCGCTTCGTCGTAGGAAGTGACGCATTCGCCCGACGCCCAGGCGGCCACAGCGTCCTGGACAAAGCGCACGTCGCGATCCCCGCTTGCGACAATACCAAAGCTGTACTTCGAGCTCCGGCCGCCACTGGCACACAGCTGCGCCACAACGCTGTCCGAGAACCCGGTGCTGTTGATCTTCGCGGTGAACTGCTGCAGTACAAAGGCCGAGATGCTGCCGACTCCGGGACCGGCGAAGAGGCCGACAGCGACGGAGTTGGAGTATGCGAAGACGGCCGTGTCGGTGCACTTCGAGGTGTCTCGTTGGGACACCGCGGCGGCGAGTTGGCGAGACGCGGCCTCGAAGTCTCCCAGTGTGGCTGGGGTGCCGGTCTTGTTGAAAGAGAGCTGAAGCGACTCCTGGACCTGGGTCATGCTGTCGCTGGGCAGGCAAGATGCGTCGTTAGTGGTGTCGCCGAGCCTGCTTGTGCCTAGCGCCACGGTGGAACCGGCAGTGCAGGCGCGAAGAGTCTCATCCTTGCGCAGGGAAGTGAAGAGCGAAAAGTCAAGCAGCATGGTCTGGTTGCACATTGACAGCCGACCCAGCCGGGGATACAGAGTCCAGTTGCCCGGGTTCGAGCCGGATTCCACGCATGCTGATGGGCAGTGACTGATTGCTGAGGTCATGAGTTCCGGAGCGAGTGCGTTCGCACTGATGGGCACTGGGACGGCCGTGGCAGACGTCGTTTCGACTGGGTGTGCCACCAGGTATGAGCTCAGCTTGTGCGAACCACCCTCTACTTGTAATGCCGTCGCCGGAGACAGCAGGGGGGAGACGGCCGTAGCAGTGGCCAAGATATATGGTAGTGAGAACCACATTGTCGTCAGTACCAGGTAAACAACCGGTGGAGAGTAAGGTAAAGCAAGCAATTGGATGTAAGAGCTACCAAAGGGAAAGGAAAAGCGACCTTATATGAACTGTTGCCTTCACACCCTCCACCATACCTAGATAAAGTGCTGGCAGACCAGCTCCCTGCAGCCAGTCAATAAGTTAGGTAAGTCGAGTTAGTCAATGTCATCTTCGGTCCTGGATAATAAAATGTCTTTTACTTGCACCCCATCAGGGCCTAGACATCCAAAGCCAACTCGACTGTTACACTGGGCGATTTAGGGTGGTGGTGCGGATGATGCACGTCTAAACCTCACCACCACGAATCGCTATCTTCAACGTTACACCAGCCACGCTTTGGCCTCACCACCCCGCCCCGTCGGATCCGAGGGGATCCATGTACAACCTTAGATCTCTGGGCGCTAACAACCAGAGGCCCGGCGTTGCTCTGGTGGCCAGTTGGCGCAGAGGGTTTCTCTCAACGAAGGTCGGATCTTGGCCGATGGAGTTTCTGGCCACCGAGACATCCGAATTGCTTCTGCTTCCTAGTTAGTAATTGCTTTGATGGTTCTCTTGAAGGCTTGCGGCCTCCAGACAAGTTTTATATAGAGGCCGCTGGCCATCGTGGGCGTAGGTTCTTCAAGCAATCCTTTCAGTCTAGAAATCCTCGATTCTCATTGGTCAGATCACTTCGTCTAAAGCTTCATCGTCATTCGAGAGCCTTGAGACAACACGTCTTACATGCACCTCAATCCCAATAAGGGTCAGGGTCTTGTGCCAGTCTCCAAATATCTTGTGAGAATATGTCAACCCTGCTGTGGGAAATCCTGGGCAGGCCAGGTTTCCCCTACCTCAGCCATAGTCCCCGTGGGTGTTGAGCTGAAATCCCTTGTTTGCTGCCTTGCTGTCTGATAGTGTTACCTCAAATACTCTAGAACCCCCTCTCTCGTATTTCTTTCCATGTACCAGTAGTTATTGTTTCCTGCTTCCTAACTAACCACAGATATTCATTTCACCAATCACTCATGAATTCACCACAAGCCACAACATGAAGTCCTGGGCCTTCCTGGTGCTCGCTGCCTCTGTTTCCGCCATCCCCTTGGATATCCCCGCTGGCCGACTCCACAAACGCGCCCCGGCAAGACAACACATCGGATACCGCGTCGTGTCAAAGGTCCGTCCACCCACCCCATATCCCCTCCGTAGTCCACCTGCAACCAACTATCCCATCCAGAACGAAGCCGACGCCATCCACGCAAACGGCGGCAAAGCCGTGCAGTCCGTCGGCTCGATGGGCCGCCAGCTCGGCCCGGGCACCTACATCTCGCCCAGGTTCCAAGGCTTCCCCGAGTATGACCCTAGCAAGGGCATACCCTGGGACTGCGTCGTCACCGTCGACGCGGACGTGTGGGACGGCTGGAAGAAGGCCTGGGTGCCCCGGCTGTTCGAGTTCCCCGAGGACCGCGAGAACAATCCGGACAAGTGCAAGCCGCTGATCCTGTGGACGCCGCGATGGAGTGCGTGCGAACTCAACCCTCTCTCTCTCTTCTTTTTCTTTGCTGGCTAGGCCTATTCTGACGGCTTTGGCGCTGCAGGAGCGAACCGCGCGCGCTTCCTCACGTTCCTGGACGAGGGTTTAACGCCCGATAACACCGTGCTCTTCTCGAAGATGGCGGGCCATGAGGAAAAAACCCAGCCGTTGATTCCGCCGCCTATCATCGACACCGGCGAGGTGTATCTCGCGCAGTGTGCCGAGCGGGAGACGGAGGCCAATACGCAGATTGGCGAGATGGGGACTGTGGATTGGGGTGTGGAAAATATGCCGGGCTGGGGGCTGGGGTCGGATGCGGCGTAGCTGGGGTGCCGGGGAGCATTGGTTAAGGTTGGAAGGAAGATTCTCCTGAGGTGCTAGGTGGATGGTTAGTTGCTATAGATTGAAAGGTGAAGTTATATTGGATCTTCTCTATACTAAACATGAAAAGGAAAGGGCTCCGGCCGGTTGGACCATCCTATCGGGATTTATAGTGAAATATACACGTTGTGGTAATGACTGTTTATATACATGACAAGGAACATATCTATCATAGCTCCGGCTCTGTTGTGCCTGTAGCCCTCATAGTGGTCTGATCCAGGTTGTGACTTTCGGAATCTCAAGCCTGAACGTGTTGACCTCACCTGAACGTGCCCTTGCATACAGCACATCTATACCTACATTAGTTCACCTTGAACTACGTACCCACCAAGCGTAATCCACTAGGCGCCTTTAGAGGTTGTGCCTGACTCAGATACCCAAAACCTAGTGACAGTAGTTACTGCAGTTTACTGGATCAATGCAACCTCCCTTGCATATCCTGTGGCTTGTCGGCCCGGATATGGCCGATATCTTGCCCTTGCAGGAGCCTATTAAAGCAAGATTAATAAATTATAAGTGCGTTACTTTTAATAAAAACATAATAAGAAATTAACTAATAATACAGCCTTTTTCCATGCAAGATTCCCTACTTAATTATTATAAGTTCGCGCCTACTAGTCCAGGCATTTATATACAAGCATTAGTCCGCATTCCCCTATAATTAGGCATTCCTGGCACATAAGATCCGCTCGCACAATGTGCAGCCGTGCATATTCTTAAAGGATTAAGCAGACGCTCCTGCGGTGTCCTGTTAGGACTGGGGATGTTGAGCTTGCGAGGTTGCTTGTTAAGTGTGGGGGTGATGTTAGTGCTCGTAGTAATGGGCCACTGGCTTTTGCAGTGGAGATGCCGAGAGCTACGGATGGGAACTGTGGCATAATGTGAATGTTGTTTGAGAATGGGGCGGAAATGGGATGATGGAGAGGGAAGGAGTATTGCTTAAGGCAAAGGGTAAGGTGAATTTCATATAAAGCGAGCATTTAGGGAGTTAGGGCTTGTGAGGTTGATATAGAGAGTGTATGGAATGGGTTTTATGTTATGGTAGACCAATAATAACGCATACATGGATGTTATAATAATCAAGTATTCCGTGTAGCCAGAATGATATATAGAGTCGAAATCAAGTTATATCTCCTCAACACCCAGCTGACACCCTGACCCTCCCGGCACCCTCTCTATAATCCGACGCCCCTTAGGGCTACCACTAACAGCCGATCTCTCTGCACCTGCAGACGGCTCAATGATAACATACATCTGCTTACCCCGGTCCAGGGAGCCATCTGCCCTCGAGCTAGAACTGAAGATCCACGGATATAGCGCGCGCTTCAAATACGCCTCGTCAACACCAAGCTTCAACGCATCCGCCATGGCCGATTGCATGCGCCCGATATACTCGTTTCTGATCGTACCGTCCTTTATGTACTGGCTGCTGAGGTAGACCAGTGCCTCGACTTCCTTCACATCCCGACCTGCACATGGGCTCTTCCCATTCATGGTAGGCTGGGACGCCTGTCCATGTTCTCCCATTGCCATCGCCGTCTTTATCCCTTTCAAGGGGATTGCCAGGGGCTCAACCCTAACCCGGAGAGCCACCTTATCGTAGAAGCCGCGTGCTATGCCCTCATTCGCATCGAGTGTCTTGATGTCCTTGGCACTGACCGTGAAGAGGATGCCTTGCACGATACTATCGTTTTTCCCGTTTGACACTTCACCAACGGGGACGGGCACGATGTTCGCGACGCCTCTCTCGTTAATCTGCCACCTATACCTGGTCAAGACACCCCTCGCGAATATCTTGCTATCCGGACACCGGGCCGCCATCTGCGCGAGGTGCATATTGCTCCCGAAGGCAAAGTAGTACGTTGGTGCAGATGCCTTGGAAGGCGCAGTCTTTGATCGCGCAGCGGCTGTCGTGCTCGGTCTCTGCCCCTGGCTCTGCCGTCGGGAAGCCCCAGGGCTGGCTTGGGACTTAGGGCTATTACCACCAACAGCCCCCGGACGCACACCAGCAGCAAGCACCTTCCCAACAGACTCCGCATATTCCCTCCCCAACCCCAAACTAACCGCATCCCGCAACCCCAACCGCATCCGAGCAGCGTACTCTGCCCGCGGTAGACCGTCTTTAACGTAATCCTTGCTCGCGTAGACAAGCGCCTGGACAATCTCACCTCCACCAACGACTCCCCTCCCAGACCCATCCTCCAATCCCTCGCTGGAGAGCATAACCTCGCTGACATCCCGTCCAACGAAACGCCCCCCAGCAACAACCAGCTCGACATTCAGCATTTGTTTCTGGTATGCATTCGGCACGCCCTCCGCTCGATCAAGCCGCTCCTCATCTTCAGCATCGACAAGGAAGGCGAGACCATGCACGGCGCCACCATTCAGACCCGACTCTGAATCACCGGGGACCTTGACGACATTCGCATACCCGCGCTCGTTGATCTGCCACCTGTACCCCTGCAATCTCGCAAGGCCAAGATACCGCGCGCCGGGACAGCGCTTTGCCATTGTGCGTAGATGCATGTTGCCGCCGTAGGCGAAGTAGATCTTGTGCGCATGCTGTTTGGGGTGGGGAGGGGACATGTTGGGGTTTGTTACACGTCGAATGGGTGGGTAGGAGCTCGGGTACGGTAGGTTCAGTACAGATGGGAAGGGAGCCGTACGGAGTGAGGATGGCCTGGCTTTATGGAAGGACGTTAGCTGAGGCTGAGGGTTCGCGGGGTAAGGCTCGCTAGGGCTAGGCTGCAGTTCGTCTTTGCTTGCTGGCTAGGCGCCCGCTTCAGCCGCAGCTTGCTTGGCTGCTGCATGGTGGAGGCACTATCACCGTTAGGTGTGCTTGGGAGAAGTTTCATGATTGTTATATCTACAATCCCCATAGACGTTCCTGACGCTACTATAAAATGGGGAGCTAAGTGGGAACAAAGGCGAGAAACGCCGGGAGTTTTATGTCTTGTTAATATAGAACTATTCAAGCATGTCTGGACTTCCAACTTCTATTGAAGATCCAGGCTATAGTACGACGCCCTCATTATATACCAAATGAAACGAGCAGACACAACAGAGTAGCAGTTGTGCGAGCTCTGGCCAAAGAACTAAAGGGGAGTGCATATTAAAAAGATATATCACATATATTGCATTCATTCTGTAACGACAGTGATGGTAAACAAAATAAATCTATAACAAAAACAGATAAGCATGAAAGACAAACACCTGAGCAGAGATCACACCAGTCTGGCTTAGCATATTAGATCAGGTTATAGCAAAGCAAACAGTGAAACGACCAGAACTTAGACCGAGAGCTTGTCCAAGATATCCTTCGGACACGGATGCCTCGAATCCGTAGCATACTCACAAGCCCGCTTCCCCTGATCATCCCTGTACTTCAAATCGAACTTCCGCGTGTCAAGCAAGACCCGAACAACCTCCCAATGCCCCCAGTAAGCAGCAACGTGGAGGGCATTCGGCCCATCACGCACCTCCTTATATCTACGGCCAAGCCAAACATCGCGGAGCTGGGGCAGCGTAATCTCAAAGTGCGGGATCAGCAGCTTGACGATCTCGGCCTGGCCATGGAGAACCGCGTACGCGAAGATCGTGTCGTTACGGGTCCGGCTGGGGCCAGACGGGTTGCTGCGGTCGTGGTACTCGTTCGTCTTTTTACGGCAAGCCATGTCGAGCTCCATTTCGATCGAGGTGTCCGCGCCTGCTTTGAGGAGGCACGCGACGGCTTCGGCCTGATTGTGCTCGACGGCCAGTGTCAGCGCTGTGTATGTCAGGTGAGAGTAGCGGTCGAGTTTGGCGCCCTTCTTGATGAGCGCGGATATTGCCCTCGTACGATTATGCATCGCGGCGACCATGATCGGCGGGTAGGGATGTAAGGAACAATCGCGCGCTCCGCGATCAAGGAGTTCCAGGGCGAGGTCTTCGTCCCAGGTCAGTGTATCGTTGAGGGCGTTGTACCACTTCCCGGGGTAAACGATCCATGGGTTCTTACAGTCCAGAATTAGACGGATTGCATCCTTCTTCCTGTGGCGCACTGCTGTCCGGAAGGCCGCCTGAACTGCTGCTGCTTCACCGGGCTCGTTGTCGCCGTCAATCACCATCCCAATTCGGCGTGGCGGCATCCCGGGGGCAGTTCTGATCTTGGTGCTTTCAGTTGACAGCTGGTCGAGAAGCATGGCGACGATGGTAATGGGCTGGCATCTCACTGCGGCAGCGAGGAGGGCTTGTGAGGGGTGGCCATCCTTGTCTTCGAGAATGAACTTGGTATGGGGGAATAGCAAGCGGACGGTCTGCTCAGAGCCCCGGAGTACGGCATTGTGCAGGGCAGTCCGACCGTACGCGTCCGTCTCGTTACATGACTTCCTGGCACTGGCATCCTGGAGGAGGAACTTGACCGCATCCTCGTTGCCCGTTCGAGCGGCGGCAATGAGCGCCGTGATTCTATCAACCTCGCAGTTGCCCTCAACTTTGCCCTGCTTCAGGAGGTCGCGCATTAGTTCCACGTCTCCTGCAGCTGCCGCTGCGCAGAACATGACGATCGGGCTGCTGGACTCAAAGCTCACAAGCTGCTTCTTCCAGGCATCCAACAAGAGCACCAAGGAACGGGAGTTCTGTTCCCGCAACGAGAAGCGAAGGAGTTCGATCCCGGATTCCCGTTCCAGAGTCGCCCCCGCGGCCAGGAGGCATTCCAACACCTGATGCGGATCCACCCGGCCCTGGGTATTGAGGCGTTGAGGGCTATTGGGGTCACCGTTCAGGGCGGCTATCTCCAGCGGCGTGCGTCCCTGCTGGTTGGGTCCATTGACGTTGAATCCGAGGTGTAGCAGAAACTCAACGTTGGCCTTGGTGGCTGGCCCGCCCTCACGGTAGTGGCATTCGCGGTGTAGAAAACTGTCTCCCTGGGGACTGAGTTGATTGAGGTCGAAGCCACAGTCCGTAAGCATCCGGGCTTTCCGCACGCGCTCCCCTTGAGGTATCTGAACGTTGCTTCGTGGATCTCCGCACAAGATGAGAAAGTTGTGCTCAAACGAGTTAACCCCAGGCTTTGCACCAGCAGATGCTAGGAGCTCCATGACTTTGAGCTGGTGATAGACGGCAGCTACGGCGAGTGGTTGAGGAGCAGGTGGGCCATTATACAAGCCCGAGGTTGCAGTGTTAGGTGAGACGCCTGCGTCCAGCAAGGCCTTAATCAGGTGAGTGCCCCCCCACCGGCAGGCGAGCTTCAGCGCATCCGGTGCAAGTTCACGCAGCTTTGCCTTGTCATGTTGGTTGTGCCAGAGCAGAGTCTCCATGGTTGTTGGCCTGTTTTGTATATTAGCCAGGGACGAAACACGCATTCTTTCCACGGGGGAAAGCCTACGGTATAGGCTGATCTGCCCGATGCGATTCGACGCCTTTGAGCTCCGACAGAATGCTGCCAGATCTGTGTCTGGCATATGGGCCGTGACGATGATCACCAGCTCCTCCGGGAGGTTGAAAAGCGGAAAGGAAGCCATCTTAACACGGTAGCCAAGTGGATATGATTGTAGTCCCTGGCCTCAAGCCGTCGGTTGGTGAGAGTCGGTATGATATTTATGCTGCAACAACGCTTTGTTGCGAGTATTTCCTGAAATAGTTGAAAGCACACAACAAAGCCGTTGTTCTGTGGATTCTTTCAGGCTTCTTTGTGTCAGCATAGAGACGGAAATTCATGCCCTACACAGAATGAGCAACCGAGAAAAGTGTGTTTCGAAGACCGTGCAAACGATGCCCCTGCCTGACTTGGTCGATGAACCGGAGGAACCCTCGTGATCCTCGGACGGCAGCAGGGAACAACCACCTGTCGAAGCGACCGAGGTGCAGAAACTTGGAGTGCATCAGCACGTAAAGCCAGACATTGGTGGCTTCGATATCGTGCACGACGTGTTGCCAGGTCTGACATCGCAAGAGGTCATACTTGAGCCCGAAGACAAAATCCGTCATGACATCGAAGGTGAGGTAGGAGCACCAGTCGGCCACGTTGATGGCCGGGCCCCATGAGCTATTCGTTCCGGTCTGTGGCAAGAAGGCGTCGAGGAATCGTTGCACGTAGACGAGCACGTTTGGTTCGAAGGCTTTGACGTTCGCAAGCGAGAACGAGCTGGCGACCGTTTTCCGACGTTTGGAGTGCTCTTTTTTTGTCGACGAGGGTGACAAGGTTGAGCTTATCTTTTCCAAGGACCGTGTACACTGGGTCTTTAATCACATTTGCGCCGATTGAATAGATGTCTAGAGCGTAGTGTGAGTTGAGTTGGAGGGCTAGTGCTCAAGATCCTACCTCTCATGGCGTTGGGGCTGTTGAAAACCAGCCTATCTGGAGCGTAACGAACAATCGGGCCTAGAGCAATGGCTGGTAAAAAATGAGGTCTTGATATTACAAGGAGCATATACCATATCGCTGATGGCAACGCAATGTATCCAGATGCACATCACCCTTCCAGGTATGATATGTCCCTCGGAGAATCGTGAGGTTTGCCAGGAAGGGTCCGGGGTATCTGGCCAATGGATGGAAGAAGACATTGTAGATACAGCAGCCAAGCAGCTTTTTGCAGTCAGCATAGTTCCAATATGACTGAAGCTTACCAACCAAAAGAACAAGGATAAACGGGAGGGCCCAGTTCAAAGGGACCGACAGAATAATGCTACCTTTTAACAAGGGGCTCATTCCTGGTAAGGCTTATATTGCTGTGACAGTGTTGAATAATGCACACTCCTTGCTTGCCGATGTAGGGTGGCATTGCAAGCGAATCTTATATACCCTGTCCGGTAGGTAGCGATGAAGAAAGAGACATCGGCGATTCTGAGATGGAAGGTTGCAGATAGGGCTTGGGCTCAAGACCGGTGGATGCATACAAAGAATATGATGAAACCTGATTCAGGTGGATGGGTCATCGCTGCAAGTGAAGCTGTTCGTCCATGCAGGTAGACAGAACATAAAAGGAGAAACAATCTGCAGTCCTCCAGCTGGCTGCGATCGATCAGGCAAGCACCATGCTGCCGCATCTTATCCGGTTCCTTCCTCCAGCGATCCTCTTCGGAGCGGCGTACGTCAACGCCTCCCATCGCCTTCTGTGTTGGGCAGTCATCGGTGGGGCCCCATTGGGGGGATTCTTCTTCCACGCCCATATCCCAATCTCGACCGGGTTCTTCTCCGGCGCATTTGCAAGGACCCATCCTCGTACGGTTACATCTGGCAGCCACTTGCCCCCAGCCCCAGTTGGGCACTCGCATCAGCATTCACGTCTCAGATCTGCAAGATGGCGTTGGCCCGGGGAAAGAGGAAGCGAGTGGAGACGGTAAGCTGGAGACCGGGCGATGCTTCTTTCTGCGTCGGCAAGTCCGAGGTCTGACTCCTTGCTGCCCTGTCTTCTGCATTACACTGCCCCCTGCACACCCCTGCAGCGGTTCGTCATATGTTGGTTCACGTTCACGCAGGAAGCAGGGATCCATGGTGGACCTGGCGTCAGTTGCTACCACCTTGTATATGTTTATGGACAGTCCCTTAGGATTCTGATCCAAATGTCTCTCACCAGAGCCATGCAGACTCCCCTGCCCAAATGTATGGCCTCAGCCATCCTGGTTCGAGGACTGAATATTGCAAGTCGATCGGCGTTATTAAGCCACTGGTTTAAAGTTGGATCTGCACGCCTGCGTCTGTGGCGTCAGCAGACGCAGGTTGGTTGGTCCTTGCTTTTTCTTGCCCTTTCCTTCGCCGATTGCTCCGTTCGGAGTATTTCTTTTTGCCTTGGTGTGCCCATAAGGTTCCTTGTCAGTGCCATGTCATCTGCGATGGGAGATCGCCGATCACAATCAATAGTTCGCGATAACTCGTCAGTCACTGCACGATCGGCCAACCTGGTCTGGTCCTGATGGTCGACTCCGTGGGTGATGCCTTGCCGGCAGGACGGGTCGGCCATCGATGCTACATGAGGCATCGATGCTACATGAGGCCGGAACAGCTGAAGGTCAGCCAACCTTGCTACACATTGCAGATGTTGTTCGGAGTAAAAGAAAAGCAGTCGTTCGAAGTGGTCATTATTGTTTAACATGAAAAAACGCATCACTGCGGTAGCACTGTATCAACAAACAACGTCCCAGCAAACGAATCCGGATATCGCCCTCCAGCAACTTCAGCCTCACTAATGATAGCCCTGAACTTCTTCTCCTCCTCCACTGTCAACTCAACCCCCAAACTCCCCACATTCTCCTCCAGCGCACTAACCCTCGTCGTACCAGGAATCGGAAAGATATCGTCTCCCTGAGCGAGGAGCCACGCAAGCGTCAACTGCGTAATCGTGCACCCTTTCTTCTTCGCCAACGCACCCAGCTTATCAACAGCCTCAAGGTTCTTGTCGAAATTCTCCTCACTGTATCGTGGCAGAATAGCACGGAGATCATCCGGCCCAAAGTCACCGCGCGAGCGAATCGAGCCAGACAGTATGCCCCGGCTCAGCGGGGAGTACGCAACAACAGCAACACCCAGCTCCCGCGCTGTCTTGAGCAGGCCGATCTGCTCAGACTCGATCTCCAATGAGAACGGGCTATACTCAACCTGCACCGCTGCGACATGGTGCACCTTGCACGCGCGGCGGAGGGACTCGGAACTGCACTCGCTAAGCCCAATATACTCAATCTTCCCCTCCTCCTTCAATTCAACGAGCGCTCTCATGGTTTCCTCCACAGGCGTGTTCGGATCAAGCCGGTGCGCGTAGAAGAGATCGATTTTGTCGACCCCCAGACGGGACAGGGACTCGTAGCAGCGCTCTTTGGTGTTCTCGTAGCTGGTGTCCGTGACGCGCTCGCCGTCCACCATGCGGAAGTAGAACTTCGTCGCCAGGAAGATGTCGGCGCGTTTGGCGGGGTTGGCGGCGAGCCAGCGGCCGATGAGCTCTTCGCTGTCGCCGTAGAGCATGGCTGGTTTTGTCAGTGGGGATCTTGAGTAAGTGCAGGTAGAATGGGTATGTACCAGTGTCCCAGAAGGTCTCGCCAAGCTCGTAGGCTTTGTCTAGCAGGGCCAGGCGCTCCTCGTCTGGTTTGGCGGGGCCGTAGAAGACGCTCAGGCCCATGGTGCCGAAGCCGAGGCGGGGGACTGGCGGGCCATTCTTGCCCAGGGGGCGGGTTGGGAGAGGCATGGTGGTCGGGGTGTCAGTGTCTTTGTGGTATGCTAGTTACTAGCAGGATGATGGGTCCTCTTATATGCCGAAGCCTGGAGGCGCTGGAGGCCGGAATTAGGCGGAGTTTGGCGGGTTGTGGGTGTCAGCAGAGACGATCTCACGGTGTCCGGCTCGGGGGTAAGATCCTTGTCAGCGTGCAGGATCAACTACCATGTAGCTGGAGGGCTGACCTCGGGTCGAGCGGTGATTGATCTACGCAGTGGGGTATGGGCTGAGGCTGAGGCTGAGGCTGAGGCTGAGGCTATGGTATTCCTCCACTGAATTGCTAGCACCTATCAACAAAGAATGCCCAGTGCATGCTCAACCTTCCCGATCCCTTGCACTGGAGGATACGTCTAACAAAACAGGCCAATGCAGAACCTCAGATGCCTGTAGCCCCAGGCGTGACACACGGCTTTACCTCGGGCGCCCCGGAGCAGAGCACCTTTGTCTCGGTCCAAATGTGCTCCTGCTGCGGGATCATCGACGTATACGGGATCTCGGTCGTGACGCAAGCACCGCATACCAGCTTCTGCTCGCAGTTCGGGCATTCGTCGCCGCCGCCGCCGCCGCCGCCGTGTCCTGGTGTGGGTGGTACGCCGGCACCTGGTGGGGGTGGTGGTTGAGCAGCGACGAGGGTAACGAGCGGTAGGAGGCAAAGGGTCGAGAGCTGGAGGGCGGGGAGTCTCATGGTGGGCAGACTGGAGATTGTTAGCCGTGGACCTGCAAAGGCGTAGCAGTTACATACTGGGATCGATGCCTGAGAGATGTTGGAAGAAGGGAGGACGGTTGGTGAAGTTCGAGATGACCCTCTTGCCCTTTATACGCAGGGTTCCGAGCCTTGTTCTTACAAATATGGTTAGGGACTATCTTATTATGCTTGATCTCTCCTTCTCGTTCCTAGTATGGAAATAAATGCCGTGGGTCATGCTACAGCTTGATTTGGCCGGAAGATCCGAGCCTGAGTCCCCCAATGCTGTTGTCAGGATGGATGTGAGTTTGAGGGATCACCTTGTTGAACTTAGATCTGGGTCTTTGTCCTATCAGTTCCATGGAAACAGATGCCGTGGGTGGTGTGATGAACCTTAGTGCAGCCAGGAACATCCGAGCCTGAGTTTGCCGATGCTGGCATCAGGCTGGGAGTTAGAATTGCCTGATTATACTTCGATCTGCGCTCTATCCAGTCATTTCCCATGGAAATGGATGCGATGCAACTCAATACAGCCGAGAACATCCGAACCATCTTCAGCCGGCGTCACGTTGATATCATCCCCATGTTGCTCTACGCAGTATCTGCTGCAGACATGATATCATGACGCCTAGAGGCAATAGGTGACCCCAGGAGGCTGGAAGAATAAGACCTCCATAAGGACGGGAAGAAAGATGGCATCGCTATTGTCCTGCTCCCTCTCTTTCCCAGATTCCCCGAGCCCCTTCGTCCAGTCCTATCAATATATTCAGATATCTCACGCTGAACATGGCCAGGACTCTCCTCCAGCTACTCTCTCTCTTAACATTGATCCTAGGCACCGCAGCCCAATGCCTCTCGTCTACCAGCGGCACCGGCATCGCCAACTACGACGCGTGCTGTTCCCACCAGCAAAACGGCACCGAGGTCCTCAACGGCATCGAATACGAGTACCACTGTGCATCCTGGATGGAGCCCGACAACGCCCGCATCCAGCACGTCACGAGCGCGCGCGACTGCGTGCAACGCTGCCGCAGAAGCACCACCTGTGCCGCCAGCGCCTGGCACCGGTCCAACTGGTGCTACCTCAGCCCGTTCACGAGCGACCTCGAGATGAAATCCCATCCAGATGCAACCGGCTGGCTGGCCATCCGCGAGACCCGGCCGGGGCCCGCGCCCGACTGCCCGGACTGCAACTGCGACCAGCTCGTCGCAGAGGCCAACCAGACCAACAACGCCGTGTGCGCCCAGCAGAAGAGGGAGATCGAGCTCGAGCGCGACCGATTCGAAGCCAACAGCACCCAGTGTGCCGAGCAGAAGAAGAGGGCCGAGGACGAGCGCGACGCCTTGCGAGCCCTGCTGGACCGAACCTGTAGGCCTCCCTTCCCTTCCCTTCCCTTCCCTTCCCTCCCTTCAGCCACCGTGACAGCCAAAGCCTGACCTTGAAACACCCCTAGGCACGCCCAAACTGCAAGAAACCTGGATCTTCACCTCCGGACCAAAAAGCTTCAACATCACCTGTGGCGCCAACGGTCAGTCTCCCAGCTCTCCCCTCTCCACTCCCGCATCAGTCCGTTAACAGCCCTGTCCCACCTAGTCTGGGGTATTCCCAGCGCCACCGATTTCCGAATAGACACTGCAAGTGTTCGGGACTTCCAAGAATGCGCCGATCTCTGCGCGGGCAACAACGATTGCGTCCGCGCGCGCGTGCAGACGCTACCCAACAACGCCGAGTGCCGGCTCTATCGCAACCCGACTTGGGATCGCAAGTACGATGAGTCTGATTTCGACTTTAGTGTCTTGACTCTTCTTTGAGTTTGGGACTCCTCGGGCCGCGGACATTGTGAAGTCCATGCTCCCTCGCTAAGGTGGTCCCGGCATTTGGTGGCGCGGTATTTAGCTCATAGGGTAGTGGATGTGTGGATTGAGATGCCGTAGGTGCAAAACGAAAAGATAATGTCTGTATTTCGGCTCCTGCAGCCAAGGGGTATCCTTATTTGGTAGGCGTATGTAGGTGTGCAAGGCGGATTGTGGGAGGAGGCTTCCCAGTGATATAAAGAGACACAATAGACCTGCTGCCGCCATTCCCACACCACAACTGAGGCGACCGATACGGTGGTGGAGGTTCAATGAGATGCATGGTCTTCAGAATGAGCAGACGCGAAGGTCCAGCTAACTACCGGCACAACGGCCGTAGCGCTGTTGGAAGTATCATTCAGCAAGCTGCAAGGACCTATTGAACTGCCTAGATGTCGAGAACAATGAGAGTCATGGAGCGTCAAGTAGGTAGGCTTTCATGCGGTTGCTTCAGGACCACATAACTTGTCCATTTGTTAGATACCTAGCTACAAGCTACCAACTCCCACCGATCAAACACGAATCCAGAAGAATCCCCAGAGTTCTCACTCCTCCTGTTGTCTCAAGCTTGCGCAACCAGTCCCAACCTTGTGGCTAACAAAGTCCTGCCAACCCAGACTTCCATCTACCACGTTCCCCTCTAGGCACCGTGCTTCCATACCCCGGATCAGCGAGGGATGCGTACATTCGGTCTGTTCTCGCAGATTCCCAGTGCCTAGGCTGGGGATCTAGCACTTCCCAAGCGCAGCTATAGGACATCCATCAGCAAATATCCAGTCTCTCCCATCATCGCAGAATACATACCAACAGTGCACTTGCTATCAGTGTAGTACCCATTAACATAGCAGCTCTTGCCATCCCAGTTAATGCGCTGCCAGGTGCTGCACCACATTAGCCTAGCCACCCACGCACCCATCCATCCAAGGCTCGGGCACGTACCAGTTCCCCTCATAACAATCCCCACTCTTATAGCAGTTGAACTGGTAGTTCTTGCCGGGGATCACGTACGCCGTGACGCCGTACGAGAAGCCAGGTCCGGAGCGGCACTTCACGCTGGCCGAGGCGCTGTTGACGATCTTGCAGACTGTGTTTGCGCGCTTGGTGAGCCCGAGAGATTCAGGGGATTCGAGGGGGATGGAGACCTCGGGGTCAGCATCGGCGTCGACGTCGGGCGCGGGCATGTTGTTGTCTGGCGGCGCGGGCATTGCGTTGTCGGCGATGGCGGCTGGTGCAGGTGCGGCCTCGGGCGCGGGCATTGCGAGGGCCTGCGCGGCGAGGGGGAGGAGGACGGCGAGGGTGGGGAGGGAGAACTTCATTGTGGATGATGGAGTGGATTGGTTTTGGTTTTGGTTGGAAAGTTCGGCTTGGGCTTTGGATTGTGATGCTGTGAGTTGATGAGGAGGATTTCGATGGGAAGGGGAGCCCTTCTTATAGCTTCTCAGATGACGCTTTGTTCTTTTTTGGTAGCAGTGCTTTTGGCCTGCTCGCCGTACCAAGACCACTATCTCCTAGACTCCGCCTGTCCTCGTGGAATACCTCCCCATTGGGATAGACGCGATGCTACCCAGCGCATCACTGGGGTGTTAGGGTGACATTGAGAGATTGCAGGGAGGGGCGCGACTAAACAGCGAGCAATCAGGGTCTATACCTTCAGGGCAAGATACCAGCGCCTCCTCGTGTATGCAGATCATCCTCGTATATCCCCGCAAAATCACGCAGTTGCTACTTAGAGAGGTTAGGGCTTCTCGTATTCTATTTTGGGCGTGCGGAACAAGGTATGTGCCTTGCAGGGTCGTGTCCAATCATTCGTTTGTTTGCTATGTGAATCCTTTAGGCCCCTACCCGAATGTAGTTTCGACTTTTTCTTTTGGAGGCTGTTTGGTAAGGAGTTCTTCGTGTCGTGGGGGTGAGCTCGGAGAAGGGGCTCGTATTCGAGGAGTCTTGAGTATCAGGTAACTTCTCTCTGTCATGGGATATTCGACTAGTCTTTCAGAGGTACTCCAATATCTAATTGTGGTCAGGAAGGATCTCGCTGGCCCTCGTCCGTGGCCCTTACGGTTCGCTGAGGTGCATCTATCTAGGGCGCTGGATAGAAACACGGTCTTGCCCTATCGAAATCGCCCATATATAAGCATAAACGAACTCAAGATATAATTCTAGAGTTGATTTCCAAAGTACAAAACCAGTGAGGGAGAATTGAAGCCAGACATCTGGGTTACCAGCGATGGTTTCTGGCCAGAAATCCGATTGCACTTCTATGAAGTGCGAGACGTATGTCCAAGCACTTCTGGCTTACAGTGCGCATCTTGGTAGGTTTGGCATGCATGTGCATGTCCAGGTGGCAGACTATACATACTTAGCATGGAATACCCAGCAGTAGTCCACCAATGAATCCAGGATGGACGGCCCGGGGTCGTGAATTCCACTGGTACCATAGGTAGTGTTTTGGCGGTACAGAATGTGAGGCTGGCTAGGGGCTTCGCTCGAACTGGTTCAAATTGGAATGGATAACATCGGATCCAGGGTGGACCCTTCGAGAACGTTAGGTCGTTGTGTTTGCTAAAGTACGTCTATCCACGGTTCAGGCAACCTCCGCCATTCGTTTCAAGTAGATATTTCATGCGTCCTCTACCTCCAGAGGAAAACTGTTCCACCCAGTTACCCAGTCATCCTTCGACCCAGCAGGCCAGAGCTCACGACAGAGCCGGTCCAGTCGTTCGGGGAGCTGAAAGTCCTCGTCACGATTAGCCTTTTGTTCTTCCCGCCATGCGTCCCTGGCCTCCTTTCCAACTTCCTCTATGCTCAGCGGGCCACGCTCACTAGACACACAGAGCAAGAGCGATCGAGCAAACCCGGCAAGAAGATGAGTCTCCGGGTACGGGAAGGGATGAGCGCCAAAGGGAACCAGACGCAGGTTGCGCAGGCGGCGTGAGGCTTGACTGGTTGATATCAGATTCCAGATCGCGCCTGCGAGCGTCTCATCCATCGCTGCGTTGGCAAATGTTTCTCGGAGGATATCCAGATCGGTCTCCCGGCTCGATGGAGCTTGCAGGACGGGCCGTCGCCGCGGATCATAATGGAGATCCAGGACCAGGCTGTGGAGAGCGCGAAAGCCACCGAGAGCTTTGTAGGCCTCGCATTCCTCGCGGGATCCCCGCGAGCGCTTGAGCTGTAGCCGCAATTCTTCTAGATTTGGGCAATTCTTTGCTAGTGGCGTAATATCGGAGGCAGTGACCTCTGGGTATTTGTACCCTGTATCCCTGCCGCTCCGAGGACGTGCTCGAAGAGTTGGCTGAAGTATGAGGCCGCGTAATGAGGGTCCGTGGCTCTCAAGTATATACATAAGACTAGTAACGCTGCGCAGACCGCGCAGGCAGAGGTGTTTTAACGGCACAAAGGCTTTGATCGCGGTTAGAACTTCGGGGATGTCAGCGTACACATCTGGATCAGGCCGCGCGATGGGATTCGCCTGGATGAGGAGACGTTCAAGTCTCGGGAATGCAGGCGCTAATTGTGCCAAAACAGCAGCATCGGCGTATTCGTCGATGTCGAGCGATTTTAGAAGCGAAAGATCGAACGCGCTCGTGAGTCGCAGCAGTAGACGCTCGTGTTTCGTTGATAGTGTAATCGACTCGAGACAAGCGATTTGGGTCGGGCGATACGTGGTGGCCAGATTCCGCCATTCTTCCTTCAGCATGGCGATAGGCGTCCGCGTATCCGCGTCGGTATTTTGCTGGATGACAAGATGCTTGAGGTTGGGCGCCATAAAGACAAAAGGGAACATCTCGTCAAGGTCATCGAAGTCCGATTCAGGCGATCCCCATTGGCTTATTGTAGAGATGGCTAAATTGGAAAGACCTTGAAGTCGCAGGACATCGAAATCAAATTCATGCTCTTCACGGAGGCGTACTTGGTTTGTGGCCAGCCTCTGCCTCAGGGTAGGCGCACTGTATCCCACGCCTTGCCGCCACCAAATATTGATCCGACAGGCGGGATGATATTGATCGATCGCCTGTTGCAGAGAGCCTGGGAAGTCATTCTGCATGACGAAGTCTAGGCCTTCCAGGTGAGCGAGGCGGGCGATTAAGGAAGTCACCGGATCCCAGTTTCTGTCCTTGAATACGGCATAGCGAGCACTGATGATTTTCAGTTCAGGGACCGAGCTAGACCCAAGGATATGAGGCTCGAGAAAGGTGTTCATTGGCATCGACGCAGGCGGCGGCGAATAAATGAATTCCGTGGCCCAGTGCTGTGATCTCCAGTCCTCGTCGGGAGCGTCTTGGGCGGGCTGCGGAAGACATATCAGTCGGAGCTTCTTAGCGTGACTCATGAATCGGCGCCCAAGGCCAGTCTCGGCTATCTCTGACACCACAGCCTGGAGGGACTGGGTGTTCCAGAATTTGATGGTGAGCGATTCGTAGTAGAGAGGCGCGGATATTCGATAGCAAGCATTGTTGATAGCCATAAAAACAGACAGATCTTGTCGTGAAAGCTGCAGATCATCAGTGGCCGATTCCACTTTCGCAAGACAAGGAGCCATACCAGGAGGCATATTTGTCTCCAGAGCTCATACGGGAGTCGCTGGTCCATTGTGATGTTCCCTTGGAACGAAGAATCTCGACGATGCGGGAAGAAAAGGTGACGGGAATACTGACGGACTAACTAGCACTCTGGAGAGTTAAGAAAGACAACCTTAGTAGATAGAGTAGGTGTCGAAAAGCACGGCGGAAAAGGGAAGATTGAGCTGGAGCTCAAAGAGACCATTAACTGACGGGTCGCTTATTTAGGTTGACGGGTCGCCTGCTTATTCAGCGTTCCGCATTAGGAAGGAGGGGGGTATTGCCCCAGGTGCAGGTGCATGTGAGGTCGCAACTTGCAGAAGGTTTCGCTACTGCCCGAGACAGACGTGATAATTGATTTGTCCTTGGCATCCAAGTATGGGGCGTATGTCCTCTTCCCAACCACACTCCGACAAGGGCGACGCCTAGACCTGTTTATACAGCACCGTGGCCTGCTTATTCCGAATACACACGCAGCCTCATGGCCCTCGCGGTAAAGCCCACTGCCGCCGAGAGAGCCAATCTCGACTGTCGGCTGGGCACGTTGGGTCGCAGTTGGCGTTGTTATGGGTATGCCATCCGCATCTGACGCCATGGTACTCTGGACAACAAAGGGTACGCGTGGATTCTGCCAGGCATGACTGTCAGCATCGATTCCCCGTTTTTGGCTCCTGAATCAGATCGGATAACGGCCACATAAGGAGGTTGGCAAGTCTCTCCGCACCCCGTCCATCGGCATTGCCTACTCCGCTTCTTCTTCGCCAGTACGACTACCGTCCGATTCCTCTCCCGCTAGACGGATCGTCGTCTTGAAGATTGGTGTTTCGATACCTGCCTCCATCTCCGAACCAAGCATCCTCGAATATTTCCCACTGGATGTGTCATGGCTGACGGCCCACACCATGACACCACCAAGACAAAAGTCTCTGGCAAAGTCAATCTTGAGTCGGAACGTTTTCTCATCATCGTAAGTGACCCATTGATCATCCCATGCGAGTACCTGAACTGCGGCCTTTTCATCAAGCCTTGGAGAGACGCCACGTTTGACGCGAATCTCGTCAAGTTCGCTGTTCAGGAGGATGCCTGTCTGGAGACTACAGTCTCCTGTCTCGCCGCCAGATGCAACTAAACAACCGGGCTCGCTAGATTCATACGGATTACTATACCTGGTGTCAAATGTGGAAAGGCGGAAGCGAGCTTACCTGCAAGCTGGATCCGCTAGGGTAAATGTGCGTCCGTAGAATGCCATTCCAAGGACTACCTGGTGAGGGCTTATATTGTTGCGCCAGAGCAGATCCATCACATCCCTTACCTCGGTCAAGTTGGTATGACTGCCCAGAAAGGCTCCAGTCCATTTGGTTCCTGTGCATCGACTTAGCAAACGGGCCTCCGAGTAAATGTTGCGCAGAAAAGTGCTGGCATACCTCGGTCCCATGCGCCATGAAGGTCGTAGGACATGTAGTTGAAATAATCGACATGCTTGGCCAGCTCGTAGATGTCAAAATGCCGCAGATACCAGTACGATGTAGGCAGAGTCATGCTAATCTCGCTCCGACCACCAGTACCCTGCAGGACCTTCTTGAGGTTGGCCATGAACTTGGGAAAGTTGGCATAATCTTCCGCCCGACCATTGCGATCATTCGCTGCGGGATATTCCCAGTCAATGTCCACGCCGTCAAAGCCATACGTCGCCATGAACGAGACCAAGGACTTGAAGAACTTCCTCTGGTTGGCTTCAGATGCAGCAAGGTCAGAGAATGTAGTTGCTGTTGGACCGGGATTGCTAAAGCTCCAGCCCCCAATAGCAATGTTAACTCGAAGATGCGGATCGTGTAATTTCAAGTCAGTGAGACTGGTCATAAGGTGTGCCTCGCGCCGATTAGGCGGCATGACTTCGAACGTGTCCGGATCAATGGTAGCAAAGGCGTAGTTAAGATGCGTGTATATTCCCAGTGGAATCTGCTCCGGCCACAATATATTGCAGACCCTTCCCGGAGCCCATCCTTCATAATACCCTACCACGCGTTGCGTGGACCGATTGCTTTTGCAGCTTGGCCTCTTGACCTTCTTACTTCCACAAAACTCCTCGGTTGTTCCACAGAAGCCGTATTTGCTGCAGCAGACATTCAAAGGGCACGTGGTAGCGTTTGCGTACTCGGTCCCCCAGTCGCCAGGGTCGCATTCGGATTTTTGGTTGCACGACGAGACGCAGTTCTCGGGGCCACAGTCTAGGTATTGCGAGCCATGGTCAGTACTAATGCGAGGCAGCTCACGACCCGGAGGCTCTTACAGTCAGGGCCCATTCCGCAGACTCCAAACTTGGAGCAGCATCCCGTTGAGCAGGGATTTGATGCACTGCAGTCTTGTGCTAAGACTTGTGCTAAAATGCTTAACACGACAAGGAACAGACCAGAAACCTCTCCGATATGACAAGGTCGCATAGTTAAGGGGTTCTGGGAGTCGACAGATTCCCAGTGAGTCGTTACAGTGAGAAGAAACCTTCAGGGGAAGGGATGCGCTTTTGCTCAAGACAAGTTTTCGACGATGCGACCGTGCCTAGATCATTTTCTCCCGCCCAAAGGTAGGTACGGCTATATCTCGGGCGCGCAGACAGGCTAGCTGAAAAGGTCCATAGTATCACTTCTCGAGCATTCTTGCAAGCTTGCTTCGTTACTGATCGTAACGAAGCGCCGCTTTTGATGGTGTCTCTGGTGGATTTGGACGCAGCGCGTCTCCTTGGATGCCTGGAACTAGTCGATTCTATCCATGGTACGCAGAATTCAGGGATAGTGGAGAAGCTTTTGAAACTAACATGGCTATCGGTACCTAGCTTCCGGAATCGACCCGTATCAAGAAGCTGCCGATTTGCAGGATAGTCAATCGTAGATGCCTGTCGATCTGCCAGCGGTTAGTATTTTTCTGTGCGAGGACTCGGAAGCGCCAACCTTGAACTGCAAACTTCATCGTAGAACACACCAAGAGCTGTACAGACAAGGATTGGGCATCCGGGGATCTTGCAGCGACCGTGGACCATAATCTCGACCTGCCTTGCCTGGCATGGTAATCTCTCCGGGAGAATTGCGGCTCCACCAGCACCCTGCGAGGAGTCTAGCACGAGCCTCCGAGGCTTAGTACAACCACTTCTTGACAACTACCGGAAGTAGGAACAGCCGGCTTTGTTGCTCTGAGCAGCATTCTCAGCAGCATGACAGCTAAGAGGAAGGCAGCAGTGGTATGTGATAGAAGTTCATGAAGGGAAACAAACTGCAGGAACCGGCACTGCCAAGACTGACTAAGCGGGTCACATGGCCTTGGCATCGGCCTGGTCTCCTTGGCGTCCAGGGGTTCGAATCTGAGATCTCTCCACCTTTCTTTAGGAACCTCGCAGTCTTGCCCTATGCAAACTTGTGGATCTTTGTTAATCTCCAAGCACTTGAGAATTCATGTATGGCGCAGCTGATTGGCTATGTTTTGCGACTCAACTTTTTCCCCGGCGTGGATTTCTAATTCTACGGTAGCTTCCCAGGGCCATTGTTCGCGCTATTGTATTGCGCACAAGGGCTTATTAGTGATAACGAAGGTGCGAACTCGTACGGCGCTTCTCGGCCTCAAATCCCAACATGAAAGCGGGCTGCCGAAGGGTGACCGGCACTGTCGAGTCGGGTTGGGTAGGCGCCGACTCTGGCCGGCGAACCGCTGCGAGATTCAGTGAGAAAGCTCTTAGTCGCAGTTGTTCAGAGTGAACCCTCGAACCTCCTAAGGACATACTTGCTCGGGCATATGTTGACTGTCGTGGCCCCGTGGACCAACATCGCTTCGACACAGGAGTATCTTGCCATCATCCCATATTTATCCAATGCGATAAGGTTCGCACTTGGTATGGGCATTGCCTGACATGGCTCGATTCAAGCCAGCTTTCTCATCTCTGGCGGCGCGTATTCTTTTGCGGTGCCTTTTTCTTCTCACGCTCATTTGGCTGGCCTCCTCAATCCTCGCCTGGGTCCGAGGCGAAGACGACACAATCGGGAAGCGAACATTCCCCGGTTTCCAGCTCTACAAGACCGAGACCCTCCAATCCCTGCACCTGACCGACACCTGCGTCACCGCGCTGTCCGAAAAGATCCTCTGTGTTGATTACCTATACATGCTCCAAACCCCGGGCAGCGGCCAGTACATCGAGGACACCACACTTACAGACATCATTTGCGATGCCGGCTGCGGCGACAGCCTCAAACGATACTACGACAACGTGGCCCAAAACTGCGGGAACCAGATCGTCGGCTCATCGAAACCCACCAGACTCGGCGGCGCAGTCTACGCAAACTACAACATGACGTGCCTCAAGAACCCGTCCACAAACCGGTACTGCCTGAACGAAATCGTCGGCTTCACCACCGTCGACAGCGTGAGCATGATGCCCCGCGACGAAATGTGCTCGTACTGCTACACGACCCACCTCCAAATGCGCCAGGCAAGCCCCTACGCCGCATACAGCGACTACGACCGCGAGGCCCTCGAAACCGTACAGGCTGAATGCAACCTCACCGGCCCCACGGACCCCCACGAACCACTCTACATCTCTCCTCCATCCCCCGAACCCATGTGCATCTCCGATATAACCTACACCACGCAAGCGGGCGATACCTGCGACTCAATCGCGCGCCAGTACAGCGTCGCCTCGGCAGCCGTCCTCTACGGAAACCCGACGCTGATCGCAAGCTGCTCGGACCTCGCGCCGAACAAGGACCTGTGCATCCCGCTACCCTGCGAAAGACCGTACGTCGTCGCCGATACCGACGACTGCTGGACAATCGAGTACGAGCATAAATTGGATCCCGGCACAGTCCGCAAATACAACAACTGGCTCGACTCGGACTGTCTGAACCTCCAGTCTGCGCGCGGCAACCTCGGCAGTATCCTCTGCCTGTCGCCGCAGGGCGGGAAGCACAACTCCACGGGCAAGAGTGTAACGACAGCCCCGACCAGGACAGGCTATGTGAATCGGATCATGCGCCTCCCTGAGGGCGCGGCTGTTGCGGTGGGCACCACGATGTACTGTGGCGCTTGGCATACAGCCCAGAAGGGCGACTCGTGCGTCGAGATCTGCCTGGACAGCGGCATGCCGGCTAGTTTGTTCCGCGGTGCGAATCCGTCGTTGGCAGGGGGTGACTGTAATGCGAAGCTAGTGGCGGGGCAGACGTACTGTGTTGGGCCGCATCCGCACTGGGATGATGATGCGTATTGGGACGATTAGGGTGCATCACGACTACTGCATCTGGTATATCTTAGGCCTATCTCGACCTCGGCGGATAGTGCATAGCTTATTCACATATTGAACTCGATAGATCGGAGTAATCAGGTCATCGTCATGAAAAACGGTGTGACTCTAGGCCTAGGGTGAAGTTCCTTTCAGACTTGCCTTTGACATCACGGCTCAAGACCATGAAATTGAAATACAACACCTCTTTTTCTCCATGATCATAAGAGCATATGCACTGCTACGTACTATGGAGTACCGTATACTCCGTAGCAGCACCGACACCTGCAGATGGGCCATACCTGAGCGGGCGATAAGCGCCTCCGACATCGGACCCGGGATACCTCTACTCCGCATCTACCAGGCAGGTATAAAGATCGCTCTTTCAGATATTCCAATCATCCTACACATATTTTTCGCATAGCATTTTTATGTGAACCTTTTATCTGTATTGGGACTGTGTAAACCCCTAAACCCTGAAGCCATCGCTCACCCCTCATCACGGCACCCTCTACCACCATGGCCTCCTCTACCCAGAACCAAACCCAACCTGGACAGAAGGATCACTGGTCCTCCGAGGTACACTGATCCAGACATACCCTTGATCTCACTGCCAAGCTAAACACTTTAAGGCCTACTCAACATCCGCCTCGTTCGTCCCAAAGCTCACGCAAACCCTCCTCCAATACCTTGACCCGCAGCCAACCGACAAAGTCCTGGATATCGGATGCGGCGATGGCAAGTTCACGGACTTGTTCCTGCCTCATATCTCGAAGGTCCTGGGCGTCGACTCCTCGCCGGCGATGATCGACGCCGCGAACAGGGACTACGCCGGTGACAAGGCCGCATTCAAGGTTTTGGACTGTCGGTATCTGGAGACAGACGATGAAGTCGTGAATGGAAATTGGGATAAAGTGTGCGTTTCTTCCCACTGATAACAATTTACTTGGGGGGAGGAATTTATGACTGATGACGGCACCAGTGTATCCAACGCAGCCCTGCACTGGATCCTCCGCGACGAGAGCACGCGCCTCTCAACCCTAAAAGGCATCCACGCATCCCTGAAACAAGGCGGCTCCTTCGTCTTCGAGATGGGCGGGCACGGCAACGTCGCCGAGATCCAAGGGGCAATGCAGTACGCGCTCCTGCGGCATGGGATTCCAATCGAGAGAGTCCGCGAGGCGTATCCGTGGTTCTTTCCCTCGGTCCCCTGGATGACGAGTACGCTTGAGAGGATCGGGTTCAGGGTGGACAAGATGGAGATTGAGTATCGGCCGACGAAGCTGACGAGTGATGCTAATGGGGGATTGGCGGGGTGGGTGAGGCTGATGGGGGTGGCGTTTTTGGATGTTGTGGAGCCCGGCATGAGGGAGGATGTTGTGAGGGAGGTTTGCGAGGTGCTTGAGAAGACTGTTACCCGTGAGGAGGATGGGAGTCAGTGGTTGGGGTATGTGAGGCTGAGGGGTGTTGCTGTGAAGGTGTAAGCTGAAGCCCTCGATACACGAGAATTTTTCTGCAAGTATATGCGAGTATGCAGTAGACCATCTACCTTAACGCGATAAATGCTGTCTTTCTTTTCGCTGCTGGATCAAGATAGCCAATGGGATATCCTCCTCATCGTAGAATTCGGCCTCTTCGTCAACGCCGAAGTCGCGCAGTCTTTCGCCTTCAGAATTCTTCCAGCCTTCTTCGCCGCGATCGGAGTCCTCATTCTTGACATCACTGTCCACATCTGACGACTCATTTGATGAATTCTCAAACCGTGCGTGGAACGGCTTGCGGCGCTCAAGTTCGACCAGGCCTCTCCGGCGTCTAAGATCTGCTTCTTGTCGCCTTCTGAAAGCTTCGACTTCAATATTCCCACTTGTGTCTGTGGTGCCGTACATTAAATCATTCTGCTGCTCCCTAGGTGGGAGAGGAATGCGATCTGGGTCTGGCGGTGGCCACGAAACAGTGGGGTCTGTTTCTGTGAGCAGGGTACATTAAAAAAGAGAGACAGTAACTACCTTCAAACCCATTTTCCTCGTACTCCAGGCCGGTACTCCTGTCAGGTGTCTTTGCCAATGGCCAAAACCAGCTCAGTACCTGGGACCTTGTTAGCTGCAGTGACACAGTTCTGAAAAGTCGACATACATTAGCACTCCCGCCCATTCCAGCTTTGATATTAGACCAGATCCCAATATCGTAAGGAAACTCTTGCTTCACTATGGGCACACTGACGCCCCCTGGTCCGGGCAGGGAGCCTCCAAAACGCCGAGCTCGTCGAAGCAGTGTTTCGTGCCGTTCGATCTCCCATGATTCAATGGTAGTCGTGTTTGACCCAAGCGACCAAAGAGTCCTGAGAAGAAGCAGAGTAAGTGCAAAGAGAGTCAAGCTATTGGTGACAAAAAGGATGAACAGATGGCCGATCTGTCCCATGCTAGGTCCCATGTACTGCAGCAATTAGCCATGATCCTTACAAGACACGGGGTGGCCCTCTTACACTAGGCAAGTTCCTTGACCCCCAAATCTTGGAGACGCGCACCCACAGCCGAGTCTCAAGATAGGCTATCCCGACTACTGCCCAGAACAGAAATCGCACGAAGTGCGGAAAGGTGAAGTGCGAGACACAGTTGGAGGTCCATGGGCAGTGATGGTCCATTTTTGGGATGCATCTGAGCGCATCAGTATAGTTCTCTTAAGCCACTTGGAATTCGTACCTCCGACACGTCTTGCAATGATGTGCTCTGGGCGGTTTGAATGCTTCACATCTCCGACACCATCGCTGGCGACCGCTCGCTTGATCAGCCTCCAATTGCTTACGGTCTGCCGGCGCCCAATCCTTGGGTACGCGACCCGGCTCAACCGTGCAAGAGCGATAGTAGCAGATCCAAATGCAGATCGCAAGAATGTTGATGCGCCATACTTCGTCCTGTGTGAGCGGCGCGTCGTCAAAGTACAGGAAGAAAAGCTGCGACGTGTACGCGAGAAACGCAATCAGTGTACATACGGCAGGGATCGCAAGCCGCGATATTGAGAACGACGAGCACAGCATTTTCTAAATCATCAGCCACAATGAAGACTGCAGATGCTGACAGGAGATTTGTCGGACGCCCGGAGGGCCGGCGCCCGGGACGCGCCTATCCTGATTAGGACTAGCGCAGCATATAATAGTTAAGGTTTTCTTATAACTTACTGCTTGCTATATATAAATAATTTAAAGGTTTATTATAAGTAATACTATTAGCTAGTTATTAGGTTATAAGCCCTTAAACTTTTTTAATTACTTTAAAATATTATTTAAAACTTTTTTAAGTATTTTTATAAGCTTTAAAGCTTGTAATAAGCACTATTATATACTTTTTTTACCTTTTTAAAACATAATTTTTAATATTTACTATTTATAAATTAATAAAACTACAATTTTTTAATTAATTAAAACTTAATATTTAATATAACTAAGCCTTAATAAGCTATTCCCCCTGCAGGAATACCTAATTTTATTATAAAAATACTTTAGTAAGTAACTTAGCTAATAAATCCCCTTAATCCCTTACTTAAATAAGTATATTATAAATACTACTTACTTAAGGCCATGGTTCCTGTTATTATATACTTACTTAAAATTAAACTTTTAGGCTAAATTAATTATAATAAATAATTTAATTAAGTAAAAAAATATTTACAAGCCTTATGCCTTTTTTAATTAATTAATTTTTTACTTACCAGGCCTCCTAAGAATAGGTTATACTAAAAATAATAAAAAAATTACTTAATACTTATTATTAATTAGCTTTTAGGCTAAATTAGCCATAAAATTTATATTAAAGTTATAAGATTCCTATATTTAATAAAGTATACTAATAAAATATTTAATATAATTTACTAAATTATTATTAAATAAGGCGTACCCTAAATTATTAAAATAATACTTAATATTATTAATATACACAAGAATTAATTTTTTACTACTTTTAAGTTTATTATAGTATTTATAACCACGTGGGATATTATTAAAAACCTATATATTATTATTAAACCTAGTATTACTATGCTATTAATTTTTTAAAAAATTTATAATAACCTTAAAATATAGGCTATACTTTAATAATTATTTTTAATTAATAAAATTTTAAAAAACTATAGCAAGAATAACCTAAGATAATTATATAAAAATACCATAGCTAAAATTAAAATAATTATCCTGCTTGCTACCGCGGCCCCGCCCTTGGAAAAATAAAAAAAATAAGTTTATTATAAAAAATCTTATATTAAAGCACTTACTAGCCCTTTAAATAATATAAATAAAAAAAAATAGGCTAATTAAATAAAGCAGGAAAATAATAAAGTTTATTTTTATAAATACTATAAACATGGCGGCCACTTTTAAAAAAATTATTATTATTTAAACCCTTAACTTTAACCTAATAACTAAATTAAGCTTTTTAAAGTATAGGCGCTATACTTAAATAAAACTAGTGTGAAGTTATAAGCTATAACTTTATATAATAATAATAAATTTAATAATTATAATTTTAAATATAATAAATTAAAGCCTAAAATTAGCCCTAAATTCTTGGTTATACCTGCTTTTATTATAACTACTAAACTAATAAAGTGGCTTATAAATACGGGATTAGCTAAGTTTATTTTCCTTAAGTATTTTAACTTTAAAAATTATATAAAATACGGCCTAAACCGCTTGGAATACTTATATAAAATATTTAGTAAAGTAATTAAACATGCTAAAGGTTACAGAATACTAATTATTACTATAAAAGGTGTAAATAATATATATAAAAAAATTAGGGTTTATAAATATCACGCGCCTAAGGCTTTAATTTACCTATTATTTATTAAAAGGCTAAAAAAAATGCTTGGCATATAGTATTATAAAAAAAATAATATTTTTATTAACCTAAATAAATTTATTATAGGGCAAGCTTACACATGCTATAGTATTTTTTTTTTAAAGTTTATATTTAAATAATATTTTTAATTAACTATAATTAATATAAATCTACTTTACAAGCGCTTTAGCCACGCGGGTATTTTTAGACTTTATGCCATGGCCCGGGCAAAAGGCCTTAATATAAATATTATTAATTAATTAAACTACTTTGCTTACCTTAAGACTAAATTTTATAAAATATTATTTTAGCCCGTCCCGCGGGAAGTAAATCCAGGAGAATTATAGTATATAAATATATAACTTATTTAACTAATTAAAATTAGTAAATTTAACTACTATTTTATAATTATTAATAACACCACCTAATTAGCCGCGGTATACTGCGTTAAAAAAAAAAAAAAAAGTATTTTAATAATTAATATTATACTAAAAATGCTATAAGCGCCTTACAGGATAATATATCCATGCTATTAAAATAAATAATAATAAAAAGTTTTTTAAGTATAAGGCCTGGGCTAAGCCAAAAGGTTTAATATTTTAATTTTTTTTACTAAAAACTTTAAAGTTTAATAGGATTTTAAAATATTATACCTAGTATATTAATATAATAGCCCAAGCTATAAGAATTAATGCTAGTTTACTAAAAAAAGTATGGCCTAAAATAATTAAGGCCGCTATTATAACCTTAAATTAACTATTTATTATTAAAAATTCTTATAGTAAGTTACCCCTATAGCTATAGCATAAATATTACTAAATTAATAACCTAATACCCTATTTTAATAACTTTCGCGCCTATGGCTATAAATTATATATTTATATATTAATTAAAAATTATAAATAATCCCACAAGCTTGCTATAAAAGCTTTAATTAATTATTTAATTAAATATAAAAAAAATAATAATAAGATTTTTTAAGTATAGGTCCTAGGAAAGCGGGTTTACTACTTAAAGCATGTTTTATTTAATAAATTAAAGTTTTATAAAAATAATTACTTACTTAGTACTATATTTATAAAGGGTGCCCTGCCTTAACTAAATAAATTAACACTAGGGGCTATTATATATAATACTAAACTTAATAATATACTTATTTTTAAGCTAATTTTAATAATTTAGGTGCTTAAAATATTAATTACTAGCTAAATTTAAATTATATCCCTAATTTTATAATACTAACTAACTTTAGTACCATGTAGTAATATTAAATTAAAGTTACCTGCCTTATTAATATTAAAATACTAGGTTAATTTTATCCTAGTGTTAATATAATACTTACATGCTGGAAATATAAAGATCCCACTAAGGTAGCTAATTAATAATAATAATAATAATGCTAGCGCGCTAAGCCTAACCTTATTAAATTATTATAATAACCTTAATTTAGTAATACTATCTTAATTTTTAATAAGAAATATTAATACCATAATAACACTAGCTTATACACTATTATTAATAAATTTTATTAATTAATTTTAAATATAAATTATATTATTTTTACTAGTAACCTAAGCCCTACCTGCTTCGCGCTTTTAAAAGCTTTAAAATAACCTTAACTTACTAGGATTAATATTAAATAATATTTAAAATATATACAGGCGGATTTTTAAGGCAGATTACTTTAAGCTATATATATTTAATATAAATATTAATATAGTACTAGATACATTAACTAATTAAAATTTAAAAATATTAAACTATAAGATACTAGGCTAATTTCCTAATTAACTAAAGGTTTTAATAATAAAGGCCACCTTATATAAGATAAATATAAATACTAATATTTTTAATATAGTAGTTATTTTATTAATTAAACACCTTAAACCTTGTATTAACTACAGCCTATTAATTAAAGTAACTAAGTATATTAATACCAGAGTTATTAAAATACCTAATAAAATAGTTTAGTATTTACTTACTAAAAGGTTTTAAATATTAACTAAAGCTAAATTATATATTAATAATATTAAGGTGCCAAGATTTTATAAAAAAGCACGGTAATTTAAATTTTTTAATTAATAAAAAAAAGCTATATTAGTTTATATTAGCATGGTAGTTATTATAAACATGTAAAAGCTTATTAAATAGTTAAAAGGGGCTAAGATTATTTTTAATAAGTAAGTATTCATATTTAAAAGTAATAAAAATAGCTTTATTTTATTATTTAAAGCTTAAATTATCACGTGTGGTAATTACTAAGTTACTAGATTAAATTATAATAAAAGCTTTTATTTAGTTATAGCTAATATAGTAGTTAAATATATATTAATAGCTATAATTATTTAAAGGCTTAGCTAGCGCTAATTTAATATTATTAGCGCTTACCTTAATATAAAAATAGCTAATTAAAAGGTTTATATATAATAGCCACGCGGCCATAAAATTAATAATAACCTTATATATAAGGTATAAAAAGCCTTATTTAGCCTTTATAACTTTATATACTTATAAAACTAAAAATTTAATTAATTATTACACGCCAAGGGCTTTAAGTTATTTATTAAAAAATTTTATATATATATTTAAAAGTTACCCTACGTGCTAATTATTACCTATATAAATAATAGTATTATTACTAGTAAAATAAAGGCTAATATAAATATTATTATTAGCCTTTTATAAAAAATTTATAAACTTAAAGTTAGTAATAAGTTAACTAAATTTTTTAAATTAATAATATCCCGTGATTATAAAAGCAGGATAATTTATTTTTTTTAAATTATATATATAAGATAAATAGCTTAGTATTTTAGCCTTACTAAGGCTAGGCTAGTAAAAACGCTAATAATAAAGGGGTATATTAAAACTATATAAAAAGTTAATTAATTAAATATTATAAATCTTAATATACCTTTAGTTTTTAACACCTTTAGCGCTTATGCCTTTATCTAATTAGTTAAATTTTTTAACTAGCTTGGGAAGACCCGTGTTAACCTTGTATTGTGGAGGGGCAGTCCTAGAACATGGGAGCTGAAGGAGCCAAACGGTGGCGGAAGCCTAGGACTGGACGGTACGTAGTACAGGTAGGAACAACAGTAGGGAAGAGAACGTATGTATTGGGGTGAATAATAGACTAGGTACAGGAGGCCGGTAGCAAGGCTATAAGTACTACAGGAATCGATGTTGGGGTGCAACCCCACTACAGTATATTTAATTTAATTTTTATAATATTAATAAAAATTTTTAATTACTAATAACATGGCAGCTGCCAAGCACGTGGTTTATTATATTATAATTAATTAAAGTAATTTAGTACTTGCTAAAACCTATATAAAAAAAATAATTATTTATTTTAATATATTTTATTAAAATTATTTTAACAGGAAGTTTACTAAGGGCTTTATTATATACTTTTATAAGTTTCTTATTACATGGAGTTTAAAAAAATAAATAGTTATAATACCTTTATTTACTATAGTAAAATTTTTAGTATTTAATAAGATTATTAAAATAGCTTTATTTATAAAAAAGCTTGCTAAGGCACTTAAAGTATAAAATAGTAAGTTAATTATAATATACTTTAATAGTACTAGCGCTATTATTAATACTACTAGTTAAAAAATTTTAGTTACTACACGCTAGTTAGTTAATAAATACTTTTTTATATAAAATATTTATAAGTAATACCTTATAAAATTTTACCACGTGCTAAAAAAAAAAAACCCTATAAATAAAATAACTAAACCACTAAAAGTAACTAAGTTTACCACCTTTTAAAATATAACAAGCCTTAAAAAAGCCCTTTAATTAATAAATTAAAAGTATAAAAGTTTTATTATTTTTGTTTTTAGTAATATTTTTTATTTAAAATATATATATATAGCTTTATAATATGGCCACGCACTACTTAGTTAAAAGGTATGTTAAACACCCGGAGGGCTAGCGCCTAAAACACGCCTATTTTAATTAAAACTAGCGCAGCATGTGATGGTTAAGGTTTTTTTATAACTTGCTGCTTGCTATATATAAATAATTTAGAGATTTACTATAAGCAACGCTATTGGCTAGTCATTAAGATTCAATCTTTTGGTGTTTGCTGGCGAGAACAAACTGCTGACTCAGCGGGGGCACGTGTTTCCAGGATGTCAACGTGCGTGGAAATAGTTTCTCTTCCAGTTCTCTTCATCAACTTCCATCAATTGCTCCCGGTAGAGCATCTATATTCCATCTTTATATTAAATCTACTGCTGTGCAGGCCACTTAGAAGACTATATCCGATTCATGAGCTGTCAATTGGCCCGCCGCGTCGAAGATGCCGATTGTGGCTCTTCCACCCACAACGGTTCGGGCCATTGGCTCAACGTCAATCATCTCTGATCCCTGCTCACTGGCAAAAGAGCTGCTGGACAACGCTCTAGACGCCTCAGCAACTTCGGTATCTATTGAGATCTCACAGGATACCGTCGACTTGATCCAGGTCAAGGACAACGGACATGGAATTCCTGCAGCCGATCACAATCTTGTATGCCGACGCGCCTTCACAAGCAAGATCCATACAGTCGAGGACCTGCGCAATATCGGCGGGAAGTCACTCGGCTTTCGAGGCGAAGCTTTGGCCAGCGCGGCCGAGGTATCCGGTACTCTCACGGTCTCTACCCGGGTCGATACAGACCCCGTCGGCTCGTCTTTGAAGTATGGCAGGAATGGGGAGCTGGTCAGGTAAACTCCTCGATACTTACGTCCTGCTCGAAGGCTTATTTTCAGCACCGAACGTATCTCTCATCCCGTTGGGACAACTGTTCGCGTCTCGAACCTGTTTCGCCAGATACCTGTTCGCCGACAGACTGCTATCAAGAGCGCTAAGAAAACGCTTCTCCGAATCAAGAAGATGGTCCAGGCATACGCCATGTCTAGGCCGTCCATCCGGCTGTTCTTCAAGATTCTGAAAGCTAAGAATGAGAGCGGGAACTTGATGTACGCCCCGGGCAATAATGCTACGCTCATGGAGGCAGCGTTGAAGGTCGCCGGCACAGAGGTTGTGTCTAACTCTGAACTCAAAAAATGGCCAGTCTCCTCTGATGAGGTCGGCGACTCACGAGACGACTCAGGGTATAGACTCATTGCGCTACTACCCAGACTTGGCTCAGGTATGTCAGTCTTTCATGGTCGTGATTACGCTGACGGCAGTAGATTTCACCAAATTCAACAACTTAGGTCAATACATCAGCATCGACGGCAGGCCGCTCTCATCAGGGCGGGGCGTTACGCAAGTCATTGTCAAGCTTTACAAGACCTATTTACGTTCCGTTGCATCGCGAGACGGTCTTTCTCCACCAATAACTGATCCTTTTCTCTGCATCCATATTCTGTGCCCTGAGGGAACATATGACGTTAACGTCGAACCCGCCAAGGACGACGTCCTATTTGAAGATCAACACGCTGTCCTTTCTCTGGTAGAAGGTCTTCTACGCGACATCTATGGGGATCAGCCAGATGCGCACGCGGATTCTGAGCCAACGGAACAGGAGAGAGAGCCTCCCTGCCGGAATGGATTCGAGGCGCTCCTGTCCGCAAGGCCGAATCAATCGACATTCTCAACTCCTACTTCAGCCACTAACCAGGACAGAGGCTTCATGAGTGCCCGCTCGATTGTGCCTGCAGAACCCCGTCTTAGTCCTCCAGAGCCTCACGGTCACGCAAGACGAGCTGACCGCGCTTCTTTCTCTCGGTTCAACAACTCAAGAGTCTCGAATGCACTACCTGGCGTAGATGCGCAAGGTCAAAGACGTCCAGTCCCATATAAGGAGACGCACTCACCAGGAATCAATCCTAGCCCTCACGGGGCACGACGGGCCAGCCATTTTAGTGCTTGCCTACCAAGTCCTGTCTCGAGTGAGAACTCTCCTTCGAGTCTAGGTCCGTCCCAGCTATCGCCAACGACCCCAGTGCGGAGTATGCGTCAGGAACAGAGGGAGATAGACAAAGAGCGTTACGGTAACGGATCCTTAGATGCCTGGTTTCTAAGACTATCCCAAGCATCGCAACCTCCTGGACTCACTGAAGAGTCCCAAGCACCGAACCAAGAGCCTTCGTTGTCCCAACTCACGCAGAACCGCTTCGGACCATCGAGCGGCAGTCCAGACAGCTCATCAGTCTCGAACATAGAACCATCACAGACCCAACTTATTAACCGTCCTCCAAGCCCTATGCTAGATCTGGACTCGACAGAACCACCTCCACGCGTCTTACCACAACCGGCAAAGTTCGTGAACAAGCCCGGCCTCCCCGTCCTCGAGCAATGGTCTGCCAGACTCTACAACGCCTCGAGTCCCGACGAAAACCCCGAGCTCCAGAAAGCGCTGGAGTTCGAAACGAGGAAGAAGGCCGCTATCCAAGAACGGCGAAAGCAGCTTCAGAGCTCTGCTTCCGTCTCGGCAAGCACAAACTCGCCTCACCAAAGCAAGTATCTTGCTGCGAGGGCTGCATTGAGCTCTCAGCCTGACTCTATTCCGCGGGTCTCGGTAGTGGGAAAAGCGACGAGCTCCGACAGCGCTGTAAAGCCGCTCCTCAGCCCGCACGATCCAAGAGCATATCTCTTGCGCCTTCAGAACGACGGTCCGGGCAGCTCGAAACTCAAGCGGATAGCTTCGGGCAAGTTACCGTTTGAGAAGATCCCGGACGGGTATGACTTGCATGCTGTTGGTCTCAGGTGTCCCGTCGACATGCACTTGCTCCGTGCTTCTTCTAAAGCAATCTCAAAGAGTGATCTATATACGCGATCCGGCGACCAATCCGAGGGATTTACATCGCCCAATATAAACGCAGACATCACGACCTGGCATGATCGATTGTCAGAGTTGATCAGAGCGCAATATAGATCGTCGGAGGGCTCTGATTTCTCGAGACTCGAGTTTGATTTTTCCGGTATATCTCAGATCTCACGCGCCAGTGTATGATCGAGTGTCAACCTACGACGAGCATGTCATCTGCATGAAACTTTCAAAACATCTATGCCATCCGAAAACCAGGGCGTATTATGCTCAGCAACAATCACTGTATCGTTATGGCCAATATTCTTACCGGAACTGAGAACTAGCGCGTCCGGTTACGGCGCTCGACGGGTGAGCATTTCCGGTACATACTCATCACCCTGCTCAACCTCTTACCGTCCAGCGCAGTAGAATCTTATCAATACGCGGCGTCTGCAGGAACGATGTATCTCACCAAGCTATACAAGCAGCTCCCCAGGCCCAGGGTGATGGGCTGAAGAGGGTTCTTTGAACATCACACCCGCCTCTCTTTTAGGCTTCAAGGGTTATATGCAGGTCTTGTTCGTTCGTTATACGAGTAAGTTGGCCGAGTATACATTGACCTTGCAGTTGGCTAATTGGACCACCATAGGTGATCAACTAGAAATATCTGTTACAACCTGAGCGAGGCCGAAGTATGTTCTTCCTTGTACGCAATGTACTGATCAAAGATTGTTTGTTTTCTTTCATTTGGCTCATTTGAATCTGCCTTCCCTTGCTCTGTGCTACTCTACTACTGTGCCTTCATCTGATTTTCTGAAATCTTGCCATTTCCATCGCGCTATCGATATCATCAGAGCCATCCATGTCTCCTCAGCAATATTCTAACTAGAAGCACCTGGCCTAAAGAGTTTCGAGACTTCTTGACTTTCCGCCTAGCACCTCTTTACCTTCCTTTGCTTAAGCTGTAGACCACGAAGGCATCGTCTTCATGACTATCCTATGGCAGGCATTTCCAAAAGCTTCCTTCAGCTAGACAAGAACCAACCAAGCACGAAAGTAAAACTAGAAGAACCGAACTAAGACCGATTTGCCTAGGTATTTCAGGGCCCGATTGGCAAATGAAGAACACATAGATAGGTAGGGATATTCCAGATGGACAGAGCAAAGATTGGATACGACACGTGAGACCCGTTATTTCGCAGGCGTATTGTATTGCCTCGCATTCGATACTTCTTAGAAGTATACCTACTTCTTGAACCAAGCGAGGGGAATAGGTACACTCAGGTTCATAAACTGTGCGGATTTCTCGCCCCGACCTGAAGCTCATCTCTCTACCAGAGATCGGCATCGAAATCTCGATAGTCTCACCCTGCGGCAATCATCTTATCAGATCGCCACGGGTGATGCTTTCCGCTCTGTCGCGAGATGCCAGGTCCTAGACAGCCAGAGCAAAAATGACAGTTCCTCTCCAGCAGGAATGGCGTGTCGGCGACTCGGCGGCCTGGCCTCTTGTAATCCCTCCATGTCGAGGAAGCAAAAAATGATTCCGACACGGGGAATCGAACCCCGAGCTGGCGTGTGAGAGACGCCGATGTTAACCATTACACCATATCGGACTGTGCATGTTATACGCTTAAAGGGTTGTCTCTATGAACGGGTTGTGCAAAAATTTTGGCCAAGTGGAGCGGTATGCCGTTTCACGTGATGTGGCTTGAGGCTGTTACGTAACTGGCGCTGCACGTGATGTGCCAAGACCCGTGCCAACGAAAACGGCATTGTACGGCGATCGAGTTTGGGGACTTCCTGTGACTAGGCCTAGACAGGTACATGTTGAAGTGGAAGAGAGAAAAGAGAAGGGGATGAATTGGTGCGTATCTAGCTGAGTGCCCAGAGGTCTAACACAGGCCTGTGGGCTGACGAATCTCTAAGCAATGGAGGCAACGAGTATACTGCAACAGTAAATATCGGCCCATCCCATCAATACCCTCTCCCCCTTTTGTATTCATTAATGAGCGGCAGTCCCTCCCTCACCCTATCCAAATTCTCCCTGACAACATCAAACGAGCGCACAAAGTACTCCTCGCCAAAGGCACTAACATGCGGGCTAATCTGGACATTCGGCGCGTCCCACAACTCGCTATCCGGCGGCAGGGGCTCGGGTTCCGTAACATCCAGGGCAGCACCACTAAGTTCGCCGGACTTGAGCGATGCAATCAGCGCGTCTTGGTCAATGACCTTCCCTCGTGAGATATTAGTCAAATACGGGTTGCGGTGTTTCGGGTTCTTGTTTGACGCTAAGACAGCGAATTCCTCGGCGCCGAGGATGTGCGTTGTTGAGGGTGTTAGAGGGAGCGAGACGACGACGTGGTCGAGACCTAAGGAAAGGAACTCGTGCAGGGACTCCTTGGACGTCCCATGGTGCCAGGATGCTGGGAGCGTGCCGTCGGCGTCGCCGGTGCCGGGGATGATGTAGTGCGGGTCGCGGCGGGATTCAGGGGTTGGTTTAGGGGACGCAGTGTATGCGTAGACGGTGAGGCCTAGGGAGACGGCGACTCGGGCGACTGTCACGGCAGCTTATTTAGTATACCAGAGTCAAAGTAACGAAAGTGCAGAGGAGCCTACTCTGTCGTCCGATGCTCCCGTAGCCGAGGATACCGACTTTCTTCCCAACGTGGTCCTGGATCCCGCTGGCATAATCATTGCCCGAACCCCAGATGTGCTTCTTCTGGTTCTCATACGTGATGTTGTATTTGCGCGATGCGACGAGCCAGTGCAACAGCGTCCATTCTGCGATTGGAGGGCCATGAATACCGGAGCTTGTTGTTACGGGGACCGCGGAGTCGGTAAGCACCGGATCATGGATGACTTTGTCTAGACCGGCCGAGAAGAAGTGTATGAACTTGATACTACGCGCAGTTAGTGGGCATCCTTCCGAGCCACGATATTGGACGCTTCGTAAGGAACTGGCGAGCTTACTGTTTGGCATCTTCGGGCTCGGGGAGATTGCGTCCGGTCACGATGATGTTGGACTTTTTCACAATATCTTTGATCTTGTTAGGTCGACCGCAGGCGATGCAGATATGGACAATTGAGGCTATGGTGCACTCACCAGCTGGAATTCGATCCTCCGACTGCAGCGTCAGAAAATTAACCTCAGCATCCGGGAATTTGCTCCGGACGTCGCCCACGAAAGACTCCGCAAAGTCTTGACCGAAGACGACAAGGATTCGGGGTTTGGGAATAGCTGCGTCGCCCATGATCGCGATCTTAGTGCCCACGGAATTGACAAATTCCACCGTTCGCTCGGCGACAGGTGGTATTATATAGCAAGCGGGGTTGTCATCCGTTTGCCTTTATCTCCAAATCTAATGAGTCAGCGCCGAGGGTATTACAACCTTGCTGGCTAGATAACGTTGTAGCAATAACGGCCTATGGTCACGCAAGAATTCACCAAGCCAGGGCCTTTTTGCGATCCTTGTTGGTTGGCGGTTGGGGTAGATAGGTATACTAGAGCCCACATGGCGCAAAAGCGGAGCCTCGTGAGCCCATAACTTCTTGCCATATCGCCGAACATAAATGCTGCGTCTGCAAGTCGAAATATTCCTGAGCGTTATTGAGGGTTTCTGTAGGGCATTCGTTGCCCTCCTAGATCTCAACGTCGGTACCATTTTCCTGAGCGTACAATGAACGAAACACATCACTGATGAGACCATAGTATATTCCGGAAGATAGCTGTGTCTTCGATGATATATTGTTGATACGGGCGATCAAAAGCATGCATATCTGCATTCTTCTGACGTCGAAGAATGGATATGGATGGCTTCTGATGATGCGCATAGGCACGGCTATCAATTCGGGTAATGCCTCAATTCACATGGAATCGGTGAGCTAGCAATACCCCGGTTGGACTTCGACAGGCTTTAGTTGTCCCATCTTTGAGCTTCCGCTTCAGCGATATGATAACGCAGCAAGAGCACCATCCCCATGACCGAGCCAGTGCGAGGAATCAGATGAGTGGCCCTTAAGTTTTCCGTCATCCGAACAACATAACCATCAAGTTCAGGCCTGAGTGGCTCCTCGTAAGGACTTGCAGCTCTATCGCCAGATTGGTGTCTTGTCGCGCTAGGAATGCAGAGTCCGCGACACGAACGTATGTATCTTTGTACAGTACGTTTTCCCTCCGCACTTGCAGTGACAGGGATCCGAAATTTCTCATGAGACCTGGTAGCTCGGACATGGCCGGAAGAAGCTGCTGCGAGAGATTCACGCAATTCATGCCCTGGCTGCGATGCTTTGATATCGCCTGCGATTCCTGAAAGCTCAGGTCCAAGGTCATCTGGACATAACACAAGATCCGGCAGCCTACAGACCGGAGAGTCTATAAGTGTGACAACGCGAACCTCGCTGTGTGACTTTCGGTGCGTATACCAATGTATGCGGGTAGTTTGGTTGCCAGTCTGTTGTTCCACTCGGAACTTCGATATTAAAAAAGAGCTCTTTGCAGCTTCATGTTGACAGATTCTTGATGTAGCGGATTTATATCATTAGCTGCGTGGCCGTCCAAGTAGGTTTATTGACGGCCGAGTAGACGTTGTATATTTTCATGCCTGATGGGCTCAATCTGACCCATGACCTATTGCTGACTTTGTCAGCTGACTGTGATGCCTAAGTAGGATCCCATTTTGTACTGGTTTTCTCGGAGGAGGTCGGTACAACGTTGGATTCGACGACTAGAAGTATTTACCGTGCATTGGATCCCTGTCAATGTTGCAGACTGTGCAGTTATAATGGTTCACCAGGGCTGACCAGTAAGAAGACGTCAAGTAGGTCGGATATATAATCCGATGTCGTCCTGGGCCCGTCCGCAATCTGGAGGAAGCCGGAGAATAATGCTTCCAAGGAATCTCTTCAATGCCGACCAAGGAGGAACGCTTCGTCCAAGTCCTCAGCCATGGGGTGCATTTCAATTCAAGGATGAGCTGCGCGACTCATCAAATTATTCATTCCGAGCGACCGCCAGGCCGTGTTGAGCTGACGCTAGAGTATGCAGCAGAACGTAAAGCCAGTTTTAGTCAGACCTTGTACGCGCTGAAGCCGCCTGAATTTCTCAGAAGCCAGTATTGCGGCCATCAGCTGTCCTCGGTCGATGAAAACGTCACACTGTTGAGCAAGGAGTCAAGGACAACTTGCGATCTTTAGCGTCGTTCGGTACGGCGCCGAAGCCCACGGAATTCTGAATTCAAGGATCTGACTCCTGAGCCTCCTGAGGGCAGTCTGCCAGTCGGTGACGTTTGCCCATCGGACGCGATCCGGACCTGGGGCAGATCCCATAGCCCCTTGCCAACTGAGGGTCAAGGGAAGACAAGCAAACCCACTGAGATTATGTAACTGAGAGGATTAGTAGCGCGCAGCAACGTGAATCTGGGTTTGCTGCACTAGCGATCCCTGGCCCCGATCGTGGCTCAGTTATATGCCAACCAGTGCCCTCTCGCGGGCAAAGTAACCTGACAGTCTGACAGCTCATCTCCTACTTCTCCGCAAATTCTTGACTCCAGAGTTTGTGTCGCAGGATTGTCGGAATCATTGAACCGCAGCGATTGTTTCGCTGGCAAAGTATCCTTGACTTCGGGGTTGTTCGCATCGCGAATACAGCCAGCAGCTCGAAGATGTCTACGCGGCTCCAGGTATGCAATCAACATGGCTGTACTGCGGTATACATCAGTAACACGTTCTTCGACAGGACAATCACGACGAACCGGACGCAGACTATGAGTTCCTAGAGGCCGAAGCCAGACGGTACAAGCACGCAGTGATCTCACTCGTCGAAACTATCCGGAAGAATACTCCGGAGGAGACCCTGAGGCTTATCGAGGCCATCCGCAACACCAAGTCGGTCCCAGAGGCCGCTGAGCTTGTCATGCAGCTACCTGGCTCTGGGAGTCCATCAGGAGGGAATGTTCAAGGAGGAACCGGGGCGGGCACTCGGTCATGAGGAGAGTCGAAGCTGCTTTCATACCGCTTTGGTAAACCTGGGGTTTGGGCCATAGAATCGTTGCAACTTGGGGAATGCTTAGAAAATACAGAAAGAGCCAAGAGTGTTGATAGCCCACCTGTCTCCTTTAAGGCGCTAACGTATAACAGCCCTTGTTGTGCAATTGCGATGAGGTTGTCGCAGAACACCGTAAAGCCACTGGCGTTGTCTGTATTTCCACTTGCGCGTTACCTAATCAGCTGTCAGTCACGTGCATGTCCCCGTCCTTTCCCTTGAGCGCCCAAGCCAATTCTTCTTGTTGTTCCATTCATCTCGTATACAGTGCCATCTTATGGTATCAAGATCTCGGTAACTTGGCGGGGTGCATGACGCCCAAATGCGACTTCGAGGTTTATCGACTCCTCAATGCCTGTGGAGTACGGAGCACCCCATACCTAGCCCATGATTCTGCCTACCTGGAAGGGACGCCAGTACCGAGTTCTAAGGTACTAAAGGAAGGCTGACACCCGGCTTTCATCACAACTTCACAAGCAGTCAATGAAATATCGATCCATACTCCCCATATACGGCGGGAAGATCGCCTGCAGTTTGTCGAGCCAAGACCTTGTGATGTCTCAGACGTTCAGCCAGCCTCACAGCATCGAGACCCTGCCTCAGGTCAATGCGCGAGCTCTTCGTCCCTCCGCATTGGTAGTCTACAATTGCCCGGCCTAGGCCTATCGCTTCTCTCCAAGGTCTCGCCTTCCAGCTTTTAATCTGCCTTCGAAAGGTCAAAGAGATGCGCACGGGCTTTTGCTCAGATGACCCCATAATCAACCATTGACCAACTCAGACCAAGACTAAGTTCGTCGCGGTGTCGCCGTCCGTCAATGTGGCTTGCTTGGATACATTGACGATAAGCCATCTTCCAGTCACATGCAGCCATTTCAAACCATCACAGCGGAGTTCGTGATCGGCGCTTCCTTCTGAATCTGTCGTGGCCTGACCATTCATCGTCGATTCCTCGATCGCGTTCGTCTCTTCAGTTCCACTTAGATCGGCGGCAATTTCCGCTTCTGACGTTCTTGAATCCATTGTCCAGTCAGCTCTTCGTGTCGAATTTGAGTCGTGCATCGTGACTCGTATCACTGGTATGATAGAAGCAAGCGGTGTGTGGCGGAGCTGCAATTTGAAGGTTTAGTCCATGCGCTTACAACCTTGAGTACATCGACATTGTCATGGCGCCCTGCTATCTCCTGGACAGAATGATTTCCATCTTCGAGACTCTTGCTGGTGCGCGAAGTATATCGAGTCCAACCTACGTTCTTCTCGGCTCCCATGAAAGCCGATCAAGACCCCGAATGCGTACTTCTGCGTCAAGCACAGTCCACGCAGACCCAGTCGACCCTCTGCAGTAGTTGATGCCCTCGCCTCACTGGCTCAGAGCTGAAAAAATATTCCGTGCTGTTCCGGTGAGTTCGCCGAACCGTGCAGATCTGCAGCCCGCCATCCACCCTCGTCAGGGTCCAGCCGTCCCGGCAACTGGTCTGTGAGCTGGACTTGTGTGGCAGGCTAGCCAAATACAGAGGCTTTACCCACAGCGACAAGCAATCAAAGTACGAGAAAATGGAGAAAAATGGAGCTCCTATCTCTGTGAAATCGCGTCTCCCGCGAGCCCCGTTCATCCGTCACGCGACGGAAAGTTTGTTTGTGGCAGAGCGGAGGCCAAGTCGCTTACAAAAAGGAGAAAGCACCCTTCTGCATGCATATTTTCTTATTTGCTCTCTTGCTTCCTCGAACGGATATCGATAAGCCTCATCAGTGAATTAGCGAGCCATGGAACAAGAGCGATCAGCGGGCCGCAGTCTCGCGCGTCGCCTCCTGATGGCGGCGCTCGACCGTGAAGAAAAGGGATATCCTCCCCCAACGCAGACCCCTCCGCCGATGATGGGAAGCCTAAGCTATGACCCCACCGTCGCAGCCCCAGAGTCCGCCGAGTCACGATCGAGGCACTTTACACTCAACAGAACAGACGCCAGTGTCCTCATCCCACCAAGCGACAAGCTCCTGGTCTTCCGCGCACTTACCGGCATCGACACAACACCAGCACTAAATCTATCACATCATACACCGCGGACAGCCCCTAATATTGGCATCTACACGCGCGTCGTGAAAGCCGAGACGCACGCCGCAAGCCGATACCGCTTCCACGCAATCCTGATCAACACCTGCCTGGGCATCCAAATCGTGGTGGCGGCTGCACTGACAGCCCTCGGTGCTGCCCGGGGTCCCCACAACGCCGTAACCGCTTTCGGAGCCATCAACACCATTGTAGCCGGTGTCCTCACCTACCTAAAGGGCTCAGGGCTCCCAGACCGCTTGAAACACTATCAGAACGAATGGCGCAATATCCGAGAATACATCGAACAGCGCGAACGCGAACTATGTCTGCAGGGGTGCGAGTTGGACGTTGAAGAAGAAATCCAGATCATCGAGCAAATGTACGAGGGCGTCAAGCGCGAAATCGAAGCAACGAAGAGTGGAGGCGATAATAGGGTCTCTGGTCGCGACAGAACATCTATGCGACGGCCCTTCATACCGCAGTCTGAGCAGAGGAGGGAATATGCTCCGCGTCCGCCGAGTCCCAGAACCCCGGGGGCTTTTGGAGGGCATTACAGCGAGCCGCAACGCCAATATGCTCCCCGTCCACCGAGCCCTGTGCGAACTTCGGAAGCTTTCGAGAAGCATTATAACGACCCGCGACGGGAGTATACCCCTCGTCCGCCAAGTCCTGCGAGGATGCCAGAACCCTTTGAAAAGCATTACTAGACGATTTCGATTGAGGCGAAGCCAAATAATGAGTTGATATACTTGATGGATCACTTCTCCCTTGGCCCTCAGAAACGACAGCGTACGCGTCCTCGACATTGGCCGATGCTTCTGTCGTGACGCCTCCTAATGAATGTATGATATTGCATAATACTAATTCAATCGTTTTTCAAGTTCATTCTCCTACATTGATCTCTTATAATCCGGGCTGCTGCAGATCTAACGCAAACAGATACCTCTACTACATCAACGCATCCGCCTTTCATGCTCTCATCAGCGCTAACGGGAAGTGACATCCAGTCAATTCTCTATCAGCCTTCATTCACGTTCAGATTCAGCTCTACAAAAAGTCGCCAACAGCGTGAGTGTGAGGAAATGAACTCGTTTGCGACAACGTATTTTCGCATACGCATGATTCTGGATGATGCCAAATATGTACAACGCCTAGGCACCTTCACGCAGAAGAAGCTAAAGCTGAAGCTGAACCGTCCCAAGGAATACCATTGGAATCAATCAAGAAAGCAAAAAACGGAGACATCGATGTCCAGCTGGCATACGACTTCGAACATTCAACATAAGCTCTTCCCCACCTGCTCTTCTCCGCCGCGGCAGGAAGGTCCATGGATCCAGTTCTGATCTATGCAACCCGCATCGAGCGAGGTCCGGAATGGACGTTCTGAATCTGCGCTCGCCGTGTTTCCTTCTTCATCCCAGCAAAAGGTCTTATTCGCCATTCCGCCGTGGGGTGAGATGCGAACCGTTTGTCTGACCAAAGATAAGATGGAGCAATGCGTGTACTCCAGGAACGCAGATTGATCTAGTTCTCGGTCCATTCGGACGAGACTGGTATCATTGCATCCCAGGCACCCGTTCTTTCCTCTCGGGATGTTCGCTATCTAGAAGAGCAGAAGAGCCCGAGGTGGATTGATTTCAACTCAACGCTAGCCTAGGTCTTGGGCAATCCGCCAATTTGTTCTCATGCATTTTTTGTCTTGTCTCGTCCATCGGTATCCCGAGTCAAGCCGTTCTTCACTGTGCTATGTTACGCTTGCTAGGCATACGGGGTAGATTCCGGAAACGCGAGATACGCCAGGTCTTAGTCTTGCGCGCTCATGCTCATCAGGGATACAGCAGGATTGTCTTCTCTTTGTCCGGACATGTTGTGAAGCTGACAGTCCGAACGAGTCGAGCCTTTGCTGCGGCTATACGGGGGCCGGTGAAGTAGAAGTAGGATCGGAGCCTTTGCTTGGGAAGCATGAATCAAGGCAAACACCACAGTGTGGCCTTCATATGGGCTACCGGCCCCGCTGTACCGTGAGATAGGTAACGAGCGAGAACCCGTAGCAGGAGCTCTAGGTAGATGTACGTACAGGATACTTCCAAGATGAGGTCAGGGTACGTCCTCTGTACCTGGGCGCTATTTCCCCAGACCAGTCACCACACGTGCACTTGCGTAACCGTCCGAAATAGCACAGCCATATGCCGTGCTACGGCATCGGCGATCATCAACCGAACCACCCGTACCCCGGATCCAACAACCTCTGAAACACGGCCAATAATGGGTGGCACGACCAGGATGATGTGCATGCAGATCAGGCCGCACAAACCGTCGGGGTCGGAGATTGGCCAATCTTAGACAGCAGAGGGTGCTGATCATCTTGAGGATCTATACGTCAATTGAAGTATATACTCCGTAAACATGAGACGGTTTGATATATCAATATTGTTCTTGTCTATAAGATATGAGATCAGAAGAGAAGGTATGTAAGTGTGGGAAAATGCCGATTAGGTACACGACGATGATGCAGATGACGCAATGGCAGGCATGCAATGCAGGTAAGAAAATAGAGATAGATGTTGGGTATAAACCGCTGAAGAAAGAGAGCGAAAGACGAGAAAAGAAGAGAAAAAAGCAACACCGGGAATCTATCCCACCAGGTAGCTGTACAAGAAGAACGAAAAGAACGAAAGACAGTCTATATCTGCAAACTCAAAGCAAAATACTCAGCCCCATAACGACAGCGCTAAGGGCACCAGCAACAGCCCCCAACTCGCCACCCCTCAACCTCCAGCTCCAGCCCGCGCCCGTATAAGCCGGCTCCTCCTCCGCACTGGGACTCCCCGTGGGAATAAGACTCAGGCTCGTCGGCCACAGCACAACCGAGCTAGTCGGGATGGGCGTCGGGCTAAGCGTGATGCTGCTGTTCGCCGAGTCCGATGACGTCGGGTGGCCCGTCGGTCGCGGGCCGTCGCCCCCAAATGTCTCGCTTTCGCTATCGCTATCGCTTTCAGTTTCGCTGGGCCTCGGCGGAGAGAATGGCGTTGGCTCGGATGGGGGTTTTGTAGGGACGAGGGTGAGGCCGTATTCATCCGCGCAGGCTTCGGGGGTTAGGTCGTTGGGGCAGCAGTAGGGGTCCAGGAGGCAGAAGGTGGAGGAGGGGCAGGCATCTACATTAAATCCGGTTAGTTCGCTTCAATCTCGCTTTGTTTGCGTGGAATTGGGGGGAAAGAAAAAAAACTTACATGTTCCTCCGGGACAGCAAGTTTGTCCTTCTTCTGGGTTGTAGCAGATGCCGCTGGAGCCGCAGGTCGGCCAGTCTGGTGGACAGCCTTGAGAGGTAACTGGGAGGAAGGCATTGTTGCTATCGGCGCGTTCGAGAAGCCTGACCGGTTCGGAGGCTGCAATGGTCTGGCCCGCCAGCAGGGGGGGCAGGAGGGCGAGAGGAATCATCTATTTGGAGAAATTCCGGGGGAAGAATGCGTAGGATTGATCATTAAAGAGCTGAAGAAAGACTCGAGGAGAGGAGAAAGGGCGGGATGGGAATTGGGGCGGCGGGACTGACTCGACGCTAGTACGGAGGAACTGCCGCAGGGTCGTCGCAGAATCGGATTTAACCGCTTTGGGTCTACGTGAGGATAAACTCGGTCCCTGGTTTCAGGTTGAATGCATAAATTAATGCTCAAGTCATATATATTATGGTCTGCTCCTAACTCCGTCCAGATATCAATGCAAACACCCAAGCATCCTAGGTCATCAGTCATAACTATAAGCCCGCTAATTGCAGCCGTTCCCTGAGTGCTTCCATCTCGTCGCTCTCACTAGTGCTGCTACTTTTCTTGTCTCTTAGCGATACCGAGCGATACTCTCTGTCGCCTCCAGGCGCGCCCACCGTCACCCATACAAATTTGCTGCTACCACCGCCAGTTGCTTGGGCTCGCTCCTGTGATCCTTCCCAGAACATCTCTGTGCCCGGTCGGTCTGGTGATGCTCGTCCTCCCAAACGTCCCTGTCGGATCCAGCTCTTCAATACATCTTTGATGAACGCAATCTTTTCGAGAAAGGAATTCGCTTCCAGGACCTCTCTGATCTTTTCATCCAAGGGGCTAGTGCCTGCGCCATCGGCAATGCTGAGGAAAGTGGCTATCTCGTCAGACACCACGGCTCGTGTGTCGAACCCAGACGGGTGCATTCTTCCTTTGGCCGCGAGATAACGCGCCGCAGATGGCGAGAGATGGTAAAAGTCCATCCACGGCGATGAGTTCCTCGTACGGCCAGGCGCCAACACCAGCTTCGTGTGATCCGGGAAGTTGAACTGAAAAGCGCCATCGCCAAAACCCCAGACACCAACGTTGCCTAGTCTTTGGTAGAACTTGACAAACTGTCCAGGCGCTCCAGTTACCGTGTCGTCAAGCAGTCCTTCATCGCCATGTCGACCAAGAGACCCAATCATGTACTTTCCAAACTGGTCGACGAGCTTGACACGCTTGATCTTCTCGGCATCCGCTCGCGCACGGCTAAGTCCAGAATCCATTCGAACTTTGACACCTCCGGTCGAGTCTTTCACCTCGAACATTGACGGGGGTATCAGTGCTCTGCGGATACCGCCGCGGCATTCGAGTAGGTCGTCGCTACAGTTCTCGTAGAATTCCACAGCTTTACCATACCGAGGTACGAGCTGGTCAGCCTCAGAATACGGGCGCGACTGAGCATCAGACTTCTCTTGACTGCGAGCTTTGCGACGAATGTGCTTCTCCCCATCGCGAAGTACTACGCCGGTCGCCGGCTGTCCATTCTCGGCTTTGAACACGCAGCCAACACTACCATCGTCCAGCACATACCCTATCCCGTACCGATTCGTGTAGTCCACCCACTTGATGACATACGCGTGCGGCTGCCGCGACGGCCGTTCCGACATAAGTCGTCGTCGGTTCGATGAACCCGGTACCAGGTTTGATAGCATATTCCGTAGGTCTATATTGACGTCATCAACAGATGACCCCGGCAACAACTCGCATGGATCGTCTGGGTGAAGTAGGGCATGCAGCCCTAGACTCGACCTTGGCTTAGTTGTGGATGACAGCGAAGCTTTAGTTCCCGATCTGCTTAGGGGCTGGGACTGAGCTTCCGGTCGTGACCTTGGAGGCGGCTGGTCCCTCTGCCACGCTTCAGGGTTGGGCTTTCTAGAGGTGTCTTTAGAGTCCTTGTGGACCGATCGTGCAGACGTTTGTCTCGATCTCGGGGGCAAGTCTTCTAAACCTGTAGAGACGGACCGATCCTTTAGCACAGGAATAGGTGGAGCAGCCACCTGGTTTGCAGCTTCCAACTTACGTGACTGAGAGCGTGTCTTTCCAACTGTCAACATTCCCAGACCGTTACTTGCTTGAGATGCCGGAGGCACCGCATGGCTGTCCATTCCCCGGATTGACCCCGTACTCGAATATGACGCCGCAACACCGCGTCGTGTCCGAATCGGACGATCAGCTAATCCTCCAGTAGGCACAGGCGCTACATGCCCTGCGTTGAGCCCAGTATCTCGCACGTCAGGAATGGGTTTCATGGTCGATATCGGTGGGTCGCAGAGAGAGGGAACTTTCCTTACGGTGCCCCTACCTGTTAGCGCCTGCTGTCGAAGGGACGCCGCGTGACTTTGAGAAGCATTCCGCCGCTGCTGGGCCGCCACAAGTGCCGCCTGCGTCCTCGATTGGGACACGGTTCGCAGAGATGTGCTACTGCTTTCGCTGGACAGAAGGCTGCCATCCAGCCCAGAATCATGCCTTCGCATCGGCAGCGATTCAGGGACACTCCAATCACCAATGAGATCATGAGGGTACTTGTAGACAATATCTTCAGGTAGAGGCATCAGCGGTTGGAGACCTTTCTCTTCCTCCGCGACGCACTCAGCAAACCCTGACTTGGAAGCGTTGTGTCCAATGGATCTCCGCGCCGTGCCGTCTGGTTTCCTTCCTACACCGCAGGAGCTGTAGAATGCTGCCTTGCAGGTTCGATATCTTAGGATCGAATCATCCACGTCTCTGATGTAACTCGAAAACTTCTCGTCGAAATCTAGTCCATGACCAGGAGCCATTTCATCTCCTCGCGGCTCGGACGGCCTGAGCCACGTCGGTTTCTGGACACTGCACCCTGGATCCAGCCGTTTAGGTATGCATCCGTTGTACATGTTGAAAAATTCATGCTCGACAATGTCATCTGGCTCTGGACGCTCCGATTCTTCGAGGTTGAGGCAGCAGCTTACCAATGACTTGGCTTCCTCTGGAATGTCATTCGCACACTCTGGGTTTTTGGGCCAGACGTATGTGAGATTTCGGACCTTTTTGTATATTTCTTCTTGGGTCTTCGATTGGAATGGTGGATAGCCTGTAAGCATCGCGAAACTGGAGAAATGTATTAGCCGTCTTCCTAGTCGCCAGCGCTCGGGATCAGATGGCCTTACCAAATCACGCCTAAAGACCAGATGTCTACTTTCTGTGTATGACCTCCTTTGCTTCGGTCGAGAACTTCCGGTGCAATGTAGTTCGGTGTTCCACATAACGTCTTTCTCCTTTTCTCGTCCTTTTCCGACATTATCATGGCTGCCAGACCAAAGTCTCCCACTTTGATGTCCATATTCCGGTCCAAAAACAAGTTTCCCATTTTCAAGTCACGATGTGCAACATTTCGCTTGTGTAGATATTTCACTGCACCGCAGAGTTGGACCATGAATCGTCGGACTTCTGGCAAACTCAAGCATTTCCGCTTCCGCACCATGTCCATTACTGATCCGTTGGGACATAACTCCAGGATCACATATATGCATTGGTTGAAAGCGAACGCTCGGTGAAAGCCGACAATGTGAGGATGGCGCATTTTCGAGTGTATCTGCAGCTCAGTCCGAAACTGCGCAACCTATTAGCTCCTACTCCAGATTTCGGACGCCACTCACAAAATACCTTCTCTTGCATCTTCTTTTGACCCATGTCAGACTTAACAACCTTCATTGCGAACACGCGACCGTTGCGCAGCAGAGTCCCTTCGTAACAAATTGCGAATCCCCCCTTTCCCAGAAATCCGCCGGTAGAGTATCGCTCTCCATCGTCGCCGGGCTCCAGAATCAGCGCTGGGGGTGGCGGCGCATGGTTCTTCGCTGACGAGGCTTTCTGAGCAGCTGCTGCATTCTTGTCCAGGACTTTCCGCTCCATAGACACTTTGGGCTTTATCTTCTGGTTGGTCGACCGCGGAGATAAAGCTTCCATTGTTTGTCAAATATAACCACCTCTTTTCTTCCCTCGTTCTTATCTTCGGCCCTCGAGTTATTAGGGTATGGATCTCGAACGAATGCGCAGTCGGCTATTCCCAATGCATGCAGGCGTAGTGATCATCGATTACGACACGAACAGTGAATTGCAAAGCAGGCGGGGTATATGAACATGGATTGCTTGTAACCCTATCAATCTCTGTTTGTTAGTACTCCGTCGCTCGACCCCCGCAGCAGGTAATAGTACTCCGTACGGAAGATTCGGAGGGCAGGCTTACCAAAACAAATCAACAATGAATATTAACAATGACGCTCAAAAACAAATATGCATCCAACGCCGAACCGTCCGTTTTGGAGGATGGTGGGGGTCGCCTTGGCCAGGAGTAACTTAAGGGATGACGAGACAGCGCAGAAGAACTCGATGGTCTCACGAGCCGAGATAAAAACGTTTTCCCCAAAAGAGTAATCGATAAACATTGAACCAAGTCACCCGCCGCCAGTACAACGGCATTGCTGATTCAGCATGCACTAAATGCCTGGATTCCGCTGACACCTGAGCTAGTCCTTTTCGGTCCCTTAGTGCCTGACGATCTCTGGCCGCCCGCCAGGATGACGATGGCAGTGCGGCTTTTCGAAAGGATCTCTCAGCAATCCTCCGTCTGTCCATGGTTCATGAGTCACGGCTGACCTTCGACAACCCTGCGATGGACGCGCTGTTAGCATATTCGTGACTTCGACTCTCATTGCTTTCCCTACCCCGCCTCTTAACTTCCGCCCACCATGTCGCTCACGCTTAAACTCTCCTCCCTTGCTATCCGCA